ATTGGAGAGTGATCTTCTGTGTGAGCCTAGATGAGGAATTGTGGGAAGGGCAAAAATGATTTGAGTAAGATCATTTAGCAGGTTGAGATTATTAAAGGCAGAAGACATATTCTTAGTCTGAAACTTAGCAGTGGGCCTGTGCTTTAACAGTGGGATAGGTGAGCAGAGTGGGGGAAGGGGTTGCTGTCCTCTTCCTATTCTAATGAGTGTTTTTGTTTCTTTCTGCTTCTTGGTAGCAAATCAGTGACATTTTTAGTATCATCAAAATGTAATTTGCGCATGGCATTTAACTTATGCCTTTACCGAATGCATGATAAGAGGAAAGCAATAAAAAGTTAGAAAGAAAACGATGAGTCCTGTTTTCTGAGTTGGGAGAAAATCCTATGATTAGAGTCATACTCATCAGTGTATGTAGGGAACCGACCTTGGAGGGTGTGGGGTATAATTGTTATGCATGCAAGGTGTCAGGGCCTTGGTGTGACATCTCTGAGCCTCACTCCTCCAAACGAGGCTTGATCTGTCTTCATTGACTCACCTATTGCTACTTCTTTCAGCCTTTAGAGATTGTCAGGGCCAGTAGACATGCCCTAGATATGATTCTCCTGGGAGGCCTGTGCCAAAGCAATTTGTCAAGAAGGTGTTGTGCAGAGAAAATCGTTGTTTGACATGGAGTTGAAAGTCCAGGTGAAATAAGTGAATCTGTCCCTTCCAAATGTTTTTCTGTGTGTGTGTCTGTCTGTCTCAGGAAGAATAGCTGAAAGAATGTTTATCAGAGGGTAGTCTCTTGAGCTCATATTGCAATCATCTGGGGACACTACTAACAGCAGAGATTCTGGGGTTCTAAACCAATTTGCAGACTAAGATCTCCTAAGGTTAGGGTTTGGTGATCTACATTTGGAACAAACTTTCCAATGAAAAATTCAAGCACCATTTATGTTTTCCAGTACTTATGTTCAAGTATATTTGTGTCAAGATGGAAATGATGTAATTCTGATGAAGTTTTGAATCAATGAAAATGAATGAAACTACATAAAAATCTCAAATGTACTTTTGAGCCTAGATACTAATGCTTCCTTGATTGAAACAAGAGGAATCCCATTCCTCAATTATCACAGTCATTGCAAATTCTGCAGAAAGTGTTTGTTAAAGGATGATTCTGAAAACGTATATTTATTTTTATCTTCGTTACAGAAGACCTAAACATTTGGTACGGAAAATTTAAAAATTTCAAGCAGTTTTCATGATTTTGAATGCTCAGTAAACTGTGTAAAATCTGCCTTTACTATTGTACAAAATGAAGCCCCTGGGGAAAATAAATGCTTGGTCAGAAATTCTAACAAGTTCCAGGTTTCCTTTCCCATACAGTTAAACAAAAAGTTCCATATTGACACAGAGGCTAAGATAGAAAGTCAGATAAGATGTGGTTTATTTTATTACTTTGTGTGTTCTTTTCTATTTCATATCTAGACTCATTTTTACTACTTCGTTGCTTTAATTTATTGTTTTCAGAATGTGACCGAGTTCTGTTTATGAAGAAAAGGTTTATAAACGTAGAAGTGAAGCTTAAGTTTTGCTTGCATGAGAGGTCACCTGTTTACCGTGTGGTCAGTAGGAAATGTAAACTAGACAAGTAAACCACCCATGTATTTTGAGCCTAAATGGAAAGAACCAAAAAGTATTTTTGGTATGAAGATGTGAAAGCATTCCAGAAAAATAGGATGAAAAGTAAAAACTGAACATTGAAAATTAGGACTAAAATTTAGAAAATTCAAGTTTTTTTCTGTCCTCAGTTAAATGTGACTTTAGATAAGAGCTCAAAGAATTTTATGAGTTTTCTATTAAAAATTCAGAATGTACACAGTGCATTCTTATTCATTTGCTCTCATTCATGTATGGTATTGTAGTTAGGACATCTGCCACATGAACTGGTTGCATCAGAAGTAATGGTGCTGAAGCTTATGTTATGAACAAGCTGTTGTGGCTTATTTGATTTCCTTTAAATAGTTTTGGTTTTCTGTCTATAGAAGTTCTATTAGACTTATCCTCAAATATTATTAAAATGGGAAAATGTACAAAGGTTGCCTTCCTTTCACTTTAGGTACATAGTTTGCATTTTGAGGTATTCTGCCTTTTTCTTATTTGAATGCGCTAGTGTGACTGCTCAGATGTATAAATATTTCTTAGTATTTTATATTCATATATATCAAATATGTTAATTAGTAAAATTTTCATCAAATAATATTTATAAACATCTTCTCTCTATATACATATGTGTATATACACACGTATATATATCTATATATACACACATGCACACATACATACATATATGTATTTACACACACACACATATACCCACATAAGAACATACACATATATATGCCATCATCTTCCATTTATGATTGGATTTGTGTCAAGGTGCTCGATAATTAAATCTACCATAATATATTAAATGAAGTCTTCATTGGTGAACATTTATATTTTTGACAGTTTTTTTTTTACTACTCTTGTAATCAATACAGTGAAACCCCTTTTTATGAACTTTTCTTAAGGACAGATTTCTGAAAATAGAATTCCTGGGTTACATGGATGTCCTTTTAAAAACTCGAGCTGCATTTTGAAATTAATTTTGTATTCTTCAATTCTGGATTTGGTTAAATTCTTAAGTCTTTATAAGACATGCCAAAATATGAAAAAAAGTATTCTTACCTTAATTTTCATTTTTTAATGCTTTAGAGATTCTGGCATGTGTCTTAAATTTTGACTTAGCTTCAATACCATAAAATAAGTATATTTCCCAAGGTGAGTAGGAATTCACGATGATTTCCTGTGTTGCGACAAAACTGTTTTACACAATATTGGATTTCTAAATTTCAATTTTTTTTATTATAATTGATTTTATGACACAGTTTCATAGGCTCTGGGATTCCCCCAATCCCTTCCCAAACCCTCCCCTCATGGTGGATTCCTCCACCTTATTGCAGTATTATAGTTCAAATCCAGTCATAATTCTTTTGTTGCAAGCATGTACTTTGCATAGTGTCCAGCATCTTATTGTCCAGTAAGTTCAACAGTTTCTTGGGAAGACCATCTCTGGTCTGAAGGCAGAATATCACCCCGACCCATTAAAAGCCACACCATAACATCAACAATTGTTTACAACCTTATGAAGTTAATTGACATGGTATTGAGTGACCAATATGTTAGAAAATGTAAGTTCTTATCCACATCCTGTGATTACTTCATTGACATTTCAATTTTAGTATATACACAACTGGCTGCTGTACACCTTAAAATGGCTATAGGGTACTATTCAGCTGTCTTGTGTCTATTTTCATTTTTGTATTTAGCATTTTGTAGTATTGAAGCATAATTTTTACTGAACTTAGTAGATTTTGGGATAGTCTAAACTGGCTTATAACTCTAACAAGGCATATGTCAACAGTTGAGGTGCAGAACAGTTTTAGGAGGGTTTTCAGAGAAATCTTCAATAGCTTAGTGAGGAGTAATTAATCTTAGTGTCCTACCTAATAAGGTATATGTGAGTCCAGGCTAACTATTTCCTACCTGGTACTGAACTTTCCTTGTTGTTTTCTGTCTATCTAATCTAACTTTTTTTGGGGGGAGAGTGGCTCCGGATCGACCCTGATGGTCATTGCAAGAGAGGGTGGGGATCCAAAGTTGGAACTAGGTAAAAGACCAAAAAAGTTCCTCTCCTGATTCCCAAAGAAAGTTTATCGTTCTTTTGTTTCTGTGGGCCACTCAGGGTTCCTGGCTGTTGTTCCGATGACATTGGCTCCTGCCAGGAAGGATTTGGGCTTCTTCCATCCCATGTGGTAGATCCAAGCGGGAGTGGATGACCTCAAAGTTCTTGGCCTCTGAAGGCACTCCAATTCCCTGTTGTCTCCTTGGCAGTTGGGATGTAGTCCTTGGTGCCCATACTGATAGTCCTTGGTGGGGATCCGGGAGTCTCCAGGGTTGGGATTCAAGCCTCCTTCTGTCTCCCTGCTCCACTCTGGCATCCCCCCACCTGCTCTGTGCATATGACCTCCTGTTAAGAGGTTGTCAGGATCGCTTTTGATTCCCCCTATATGTCTTTGTAGTTTTACTATTGTCTAATACTGATTCGAGTCTGTTGTCTGTAAGTTATCTGTTATGTTCCTGATAGCTTATACTTTACTTCTTCCTCACACATTCTAAGGAGATGTAAGATTTCTCTGCTCTCCCGCCCCATTACCGAGTAGCATAGGGTCTTAAAAGTATGTTAGGTTTTATAATTCTTTGATGTAGATCATAAGCAATCTGACTCACATTGATTGTTGGTTCATTGGTTACATCACAATATTTTATTGCATGTGATACTTGCTGTTTGAGATTGAAATAATATTACAGCTTACAGGTACTATTTTTCGGATTGACATAATTTCATCTTAAATTAAGGCAAATATGTATTATCTAAGTTTTTGGGATTGGTTCATTTCCCTTAGCATAATGGTTTCCAGTTGGGCCCATTTGACCACAAAAAACTGCATTTCATTTTGTTTTAATGGCTGAGTAGTATTCCATGTAATATGAACCAGTAAATGATAGCTTTCTTATCCAGTGTTTTGTTCATGGGCATTTCAGTCGCTTCCAAGTTTTTGCAATTATTGATTGTGCTGCTGTGAACATAGAGGTGCATGTTGGTTTCTCGTGTAGCAGGTGTTTTGGATATATTCCTATAAGTGCTATTGCTGGATCATATGGTATGCAGATTTTCAGTTGTTTGAGTGTTCTTCATACTGATTTCCATAGAGGCTATACCAACCTGCAGTCCCACCAGCAATGGAGTAGGGTTCTGTTTTCCCTGCATCCTCGCTAGCAAGTGTTGTTGGTGGTTTTTTTGTATGTGAGCCATTCTTACTGGGGTCAGGTGGAGAAAGCCTCAAATGTATTTCTGTCAAGAATCATTTCCTTATGCTAATGTGTCATTGATAAGATCTTTTTCTTGTTTTATGTAGGCATTTTTGCACCGAATGAACCAATGTGCAGCATCAAAAGTTGACAAAAATGTAACAGAGGAAACAGTGAAGGTGAGAAGATACCATTTGCTCTTGACCCATGAATGAGTTCCCCTTAGATAAAGCTTTATCTCTGCAGTGTTACTTCAGCACACTTGAGCCTATCTGCAGTTCTAATATGAGGTCCTCTGCCAGTCATTGGTGTCAGTTACAGTTGCCTCCTTCAAAAAGGAGAAATAGAATTTGGGAAAAGAATCAGGGATTGATAAGGTGGCATGAACATTTAAAGTTTAACAAATAACCTAGAATATTTGAATGGAAAAAGGAAAAGAACTCCAAGTCTATGTGTTTTAGTGTCAAAGAGAAGGACATGTCGCAGTTGCTAGCTGTGGCTCTGGAAGACAGGATGTGGGCAGATGTTATAGCTCATCACCGGAATTACTGTAGAACAAAAGATTGGAAAGATTGATGGAGAAAATAAAGCCCACATAATCCCTTCAACTGGGAAAGGAATGAGTTTTTCTTTAGAACTGTAAGAATGCAAATTGTGAGAAGATTTGAAAAAAAAAAAGATGGTAACTGAAAAATATGCTTTAATAATTATTCATTTAAGTTGTATAATGTATGATTGACATTAATGATGCTAACACACTGACTTATTGTACTGAAAAAATTCCAACAGTTATTTAGATTATGTTGGCATTTCCCCATAATGTAAGCATCTGACTTAAGTTTCCTACTGTAGGTATACTGTAATTAACATGCTTTGGTTTTAAGCAAAAAAGAAACTTATAACTCAGATGAGTCTGAAAACACGTTTACTCACATATTTTAAGAATTTGGGACAGAAAAGGAGGTTCAGAATTGGTTGGCTGAAGGGCCAACAGGATTGCTGCTACATCTAGTCATCTATTGCTCCTACCATCAGTCTGTCACATTGCCTCTGAGATGATACCTCCCGGGGCTGCGAAATGGAGCTGCTCCAGCTGTCACATCAACCCACCAAACCTTCCAGAAGGAGAAAGGATCATTGTTGCCGGCTTCTATGTCCTCCCCACAAAAAGCATGTTAGCAAGTCTGCCTCCTGTTACCTTTTCACTCTGGAAAATGGGACTGTAACCTTAGACTTGGGCCAATTCCTGTGTTTCCTTCCTGAAAGCCAATTCTGGGGACCAGTTCCCAGAATTGTATGGGGGTGGAGGAAGAAATTGATGGGAATCAGCTCTCCACTGAAGTTTTCAGTTAGCAAAGAGGATTTACTGCACTATGTTCTACATCTCCTGGACTCCCTTGTTGACAAGCTTGCTTCACCATTGCACTTCTACATGTATTTATTTCAGATGCTGTTCTCAAACATTGAAGAGATCCTTGCAGTGCATAAAGAATTTTTACAAGTTGTGGAAGAATGCTTGCATCCTGAACCTAATGCTCAACAAGAAGTGGGAACCTGCTTTCTTCACTTTGTAGGACGTGTTTCTTGTTTATTTAAAATCCTTTTCCCAGAGTTTAGGGATTAGCTTTAGATCCTATAGAATGTGTGAACTGGACATAGGAGGCAACATCTTACTGGAACAATTTGCAGTCTTTTAAGGCAAAAGAAATCTACTTTGAGCCAGAGGAGGGTGCCTCCTATCACCCATTTTACTGAGTAAAGAATAAACAGCCTTTTCTTTTTCTTGACAATTTGGTTCTTCGTGTCCTCTTAGCTTTGAATTCTCATGAATATTCAGGCTGCTTGCAATGAATGGATTTTAATGTTTTCTCTCAAACACAGAACATTTTTCTTTTGAGGCAGAAAATCCTCACTCTTATTGTGATGCTGTGAGCCTTTTCTTAGAATGTTTCCTTGCTTATGTACTTATGACAAGCCTTGGAAGTGAACAAACCCAGGATACCAATGCCTGAATTCTCTTCTCGGAGACTTCCCAGAGGATTGTACTGCACAGTTTTGCAGGCGTAATAAGCCATTGCTCCTTTTTTTCAAGTTAGATATCTTGTACATGTGTATTACTTTTCTCTCTTTATCAGTGAGAGCTGAATTTACTTAAGCTGTCAAGTAAAAAGCCAGCTGCATAGTGAAAATTATCCTCAGAATGGAAAGGCATTCGTAGTTTTTCTTTTTGTTGTTGTTGTTGCTATTTATACCATTCCATTAACGCTAATTATCAAAATACTCATTTGAATCCATGCAATTATCAGATTGATGCTCAATATTTTATTTAAAATTATATGGGTGTCATAGAAGTAAAAATGTTTTCTAATTATTCAGTTAGTCTTTTCTATAGGTTTCTGAATGTTTTTGGATTGTTATATATAGTGAATAGATTCTGTATGTTCCTTTTATGATCGGAAAGTATTTCTTAAAGTAAACATAATAAAGAGAGAGACTCCCTGTAGCTTAGTAGGATGTTCTTGTAGGATGTAGCAAGATCAAACTATTCTTTGCTTGGGCACAACTGGAAGCCCTGGGTCTTCATGTCCACTCACTCAAGCCTGTTCCTTTTCACTAAAGAATCAATATCATTCGCCAGCTGGAGTAGCTGCTGTCTCAGACCCGGGCTGCTCGTGGGAATCTTGCTCCCTGACATCCATTTCCTCAGTAACACTTTATGAATCTGTCACCCATGAATGTAGCTGAACTATTTCTGAAGTTTATTTTCTCCTGGCTCATACCATCTCTTGGGATGAGTAATTCAATACTTTCTGTAGTTGCTCTATGAACTAAGCTTCATGCTCCTCAATGAGACTTTAAAATTTCAGGACATGCCTGTTTTAATATTTGTTCAATAGATTATTTTATCTTTTTGTTGCGAATGATTTGGTAGCTATTAGTCATAGAACTTTGAGAAAATAATACCAGTGGATGGGAACTTGGAGATCACCATCGCAAAATTACTCTTCTAAAAAGAGCAGTCTCCTCTCTCCACTCGCAGAGAACATTTGTTTCTACTTGATCACACTCAGTGATGGTTCTAATTGTTAGAAGAGCTCTGTTTTGATCTGCAGACTGCCCACCACTAACCTGTCAATTTCTGCTGTTCCGTCCCGGTACTTCCCTCCCTGGTTTAAGTTTTAGAGCAGTGCAGAATTGTCAGACTGTTGTATTATGACAGTTTTGAGAGTATCCTTTGCTCTCTGACTTTTCTGTACTAATAAGTGTCTCTGAAATGACCTTTTAGATATTGTTACAGTCTGTGGTTGTCTTGGTCCCTTGCTGCTGGATATTCTCTGGTTTGCCAGTGTCTGTTAAACACAGCTATCCAGATTGGTGTGTATGAACTCCAGGGTGCTGTGTTTCCCTGTTGGGATATGATCTGTGCATGCTTTTGCTTTAATTTGGAAACACCCATTGCTGTCCATCCCTGGCAATATTAGAATAATCTCTCTGATCTTGCTCAAAAGTCACACTAAGAGTTGTGTTTCAGGTCTCAAGGCAAAAGTGAGTACCTTCTTAGTGTTTTACCACTGCTTGGCACACGTCTCTGTTGCATTCATTATGTTGGAGTATAGTTAATATATAGCTGTTTCTCTCCTTTTCTGGACTATTCTTTGTGGATCATGGTTAATAAGATATATTTATATATGATGTAAAGAAAACACCCAGTATGGCTCTTGAAATAGCGTAAGCTGTTAGTAAAATTTGCCTTTATGTATGACATAAGTTAACATTTTAAAATGATGAATGGAAGACCGATTTAATCTCCCTTGAATTCACAGAAAGACAAATTTCGTATCTATGATGAATACTGTAGTAACCACGAAAAGGCACAAAAACTGCTTCTGGAACTTAACAAGATAAGAACAATCCGGACGTTTCTGTTGGTAAGTCTTTAAGTGTTGTCAGCTAATTAGTAATTCCACGCTGGTGTTTGTTGATGGGACAGTAAGAGCCAAGGAGTAACATTAGTATGTCATAATAAATTAATAGTTTTTTTTTTTAGCAAACCCGAAATAAGAAGATAGAGTCCTTCAATAATGTAGAGAGTAAGAATATGGATGAACATGTAAATGGGGAAATACTGTCAGTGCTCTCTTCTGGTTGACTGTGAATTGTTGGTGAGAGCACATGGGATCCTAATGAAAAATCTTGTGCCAGACTTCAGTATTGTCTTACATCCCCAACTCCCCGGGGCTTAATTTACTTCTGCTAGGAGAATTATAAGTAGGGCAGTAACAGGAAGGAAACAAGTCATGGATATGGAACAAAATAATTATAAAATTTGACCTTTCTCCTACATACATTCCTTAGCCAATTTTTTTTTTTTTTTTAGAATAAAGAAAGACAAGAATTTATACTTAATTTCTTTAGATTACCACAAATGTGTGTTGGGACAGATTGTAAATGTACAATTCAGTGATGTTTAGCAAATTGTTTTGTTATGCAACCTGCTCCAAAATTCAGTTTTAGAACTTTTCCATGCTCTGAAAAGAATCTCTTCATCTCTCCATCTCTTTCCTTTAACTCTAGGCAACTGCAGATTTGTTCATCTCTATAGATCTTTCTCATAGAGATTTTACATAAATGGAATTATATAATCTTTTGTGCCTGTTTTTTTAATATTTTGTAAAAAAAAAACCTGTGGTTTATCTTGTTATACCATGTACCTATTTTCCATTTAGTTTTATCACTTAAAAGTATTTCACTGATTGAGAATTTTATATTTTGTTTATCCACTTGCCAGTTAATATACTGAGCCCAGATTTGGCTACTTTAAATACTGCTATAATTATCTATATTCAAATCCTTGTGTGATATATATACACACACACACATATATGCATTTTTTGGTTGGGCACTTATGGTACATACATGTTTAACTATTAGGAAACAACCAAACAGTTTATGAGGATGGCAGTGCCATATCCACATAACATTTGTGAAGATTCCCGTTACTCTATTTCTTATGCTCAGTGTACTAGTGGGGTATGTGGTGATATCTTATATTGATTTAAATCCACCTGTTGCCTGTGACTGATGAATTTAAGCATGCTTTTATGTGCTTTATCTTTTAGTGAAAGGTGTATTTAATTTTTTTCACCCAATTTAATGTGGAATATTTTCTTATATTAATTTATAAGTTTTCATAATTTTGGATACAATGCCTATATGAAATATCTGCCTATTAATTTGAAAATATTTCTTCCAGTGTGCTTTACTTTGAAATCATAAGAGAGTCAAATGCACACACACACACACACACACACACACACACACACACAGAGCTTCCATCCATTGGTTCACTCTCCAGATGCCACATTGATGAGTAACCACAGTCAGGAGTGAGAAGCTCAGCCTGAGTGTCCTGTGCCAGCGGTACCTGAGTCTGGAGCTATCACTCCCAGGATCTATGTTAGTAGGAAACTGGAATCAGGAGGCAAAAGCTAGGCACTTAGGTCATGGCATTCCTGTGTGGGACATGAGTGACTCACCTGTTGTCTTTTTTTGTTGTTATTTACAAATCTTTAAAAAGATGCATTTATTTATATGTGGAAGGTAGATTTACAGAGAGAAGGACACACACACACACACACACACACACACACACAGAGGGAGAGAAAGAGTGTATGTATTTGATTTAGAAAAACAGATCTTGATTGTCTAGTTTGTCCACAGTGGCTGGAGCCAGGAACCAGGAGCTTCTTTTGGTTCTCCCAAATGGGTGCAGGCACCCAAGGACTTGAGTTTTTTTTTTTTTTTTTTTGCTGCATTCCCAGTGCATAGGCAGGGAACTGGATTTAAAGTGGAGCAGCTGACACGAAAATTGTCAATCAAATGGGATGATAACATTTCCGGCAGAGGATTAGCTCACTGAGCCACTACAGCACCAGCTCTTTGTTATCGTAACTGGTGTGTCACGCACCTGCACATTTATATTTTTTTCTTTGAAAAATAAATTTGTGAGTTTGGAAGTGGGCATTGAGGCACAGAAAGCATAGCTGGTAATTGCGGTATGTGTGCCTTATTTTTAGAGCGCAGGGCCTTACTACTCTGCTTCCAGCCAGCTTCCTGCCAGCACAGAAGATGATGGCTCACATGCTTGGGCGCCTGCCCCTTGTGTGAGAGCTAAGGATGGAGTCCTGGGCTTCTGCCCTCAGCCCTACTCATCCTTGGGTATTGTTGTATTTGGGAAGGGAACCAACAGGGGGAAGACCAATCAATCAGTCTCTTTGTGTTGTTCTACTTTTCAAATAAATGAAAATAAACATTTGAACACTTAAAAATTCTAATGGAATTCAAGTTACTAATTTTTTTCCATACTATCCATATTTTTGTGGCCACGTTTAAGAAATCTGGTATTTTTTTTTTCTGTGAAAATTATGTTTTCCTTTCCCTGCTTTTCTCCATCTATCTGTGTCTCTATTTCTAGCTCTCTTTTTTTTGAAATGTTATTTGGGACAGTATGGCTTGCTCATCCTAGAAAAGAAAATATTTTCAGGTTTTCCGTATAGGGTTTTGTGGCAGAAAATATTTCTATAGACCTAGGCTCAATATATGTATATATGTAATGCTGTTATGTTCACCCTAGAACTGTATGCTTCTTGGAGGAAGGAAGAATACAGATGTTCCCCTCGAAGGCTACTTGGTGACACCCATCCAGAGGATATGCAAGTACCCTCTGCTTTTGAAGGTATTTTCTGTGCAACTTCATTGTAGCAGTATATTTCAGTCTGAATATTTTTGCTGATGATCTTTTTAAGAATTATCCTTTAGAGATTCTAACATTCTGAAAAAAAAAGCCGGCCATATTTAGAAACTGTTTGTTACAAAAGGTATGATGGAGAAGAAATCTTTAGTAGAAAAGTCTGTAAAGAATGGCTTCAAGTACTATTTGTAGAGAAAATGCTTGTTTGAATTTCGTTCACATTGAACATATTGGTTTTAGCATAGCTCCTATCAGGTCCATTGTAATCACTGTTGGTGTAGTTTTGATTTCCTGAAACTTGATGATTTCATGATTTTAATGAAGTTGAGGTTAAAATGATGTAATGTAGGAGCGAAGTTTTAAAATTGTTACAGAAACTGATATGGCTTACATGGGAAAATAGATGACAAAATGTGGAATTACTCTGCTAAGAAATACCCCCTGTGGAAAATAGGCAAAACCACTGTAATGGTTATAGATCTGTGATCTCATTACATAACCAAAATCATAATAAAAATAATGTAATATACTGAAAGCAGCCCTTATTGCAAGGGGTTATGAAACATCAGGATGGCAATTTTTCCAACCAAACTTTTTGTAGCTGACATCAGGATAGGCAGATCGTGGTAAAAGTTTATTATTTGAGCTTATTGTTCAAATTCTAAGGGTTTACTTATTTAGCTCTGTGTCGGGGCCAAATCATCCAACCCCTTGCAATCTTGGCTTTTCCTTACGAAACAGAAATGTTGATGAGGCTAATGAGGATGATGAAGAAAAAATTAGTTCGTATCTACAGGAATGTGTCATTGTGTATGCGTATGTGTACAAGACCCCATAAGAGAGGACTTCAAAATGTTTGAAAAAATAAAAGGAAGCATTTATTTTGGTATGTTTTTTGGAATTACTGCACAAGTGAAGTCTTCAAATTGCATGAAGAATCAAGCAATAATGATGCAATGGGTTTAACAAGATTTTTAGTATTTGTCTGAAAGGTAAACTGAAGAGACACTCAGATCTTCCATCTTCTGGTTTGCTTCCCAGATACCCTACATAGACAGGGCTTGGCCAGGTGCAGCTAGGAGCCAGAAACTGCCTCTAAGTCTCTCACCACGGCGGCAGGGACTCAAGTACATGATCAATTACCCACTGTTCTCCAGGGTACATGGTAGTAGGAAGCTGCATTGGAAACAGGTGGGACTCAAACCCAGTCCCTCTGAGATGGGGTGCAGCTGTACCAAGTACTGACTTAAACTGCTGTGACACAACATCTACCCTTAAGTCATTTTTTTGTCCCACAAAACAAACACACTTTTTCATTATATTTTTTTACAACTTTTTGAAATATTATGAAACATGCATACGTATGTTTATGAACTATTTTATATAAGCAAGTAAAAAAGTTTAAATTTATTATTGTTTTCTCAGATTTATATCATTGAAATGCGTGAAGATTTTTGCATTAAAATGTTGGACTTCAAAAATTAAATTTGTTTATTTTTACTGCTCTATTTTTATTTATTTGAGAGGGGGGTCAGACAAAGGGAGACAGAGACACTCAGGCTAAAAGACAGAACACTTCCCCTCTGGTTTACTAACAGAAGACTTTATGTGGCTGGAACTGGATCAGGCTGAAGCTGGGAACCAGAAATTCAGTCAAGAGCTTCCACATGTGTGGTAGGGACCCAACCACTTTACTGTCACCTTGGCCTCCTATGATATGCACTAGTAGGAAGCTGGGGTTGGGAGCAGAGCCAGGACTCAAAACCAGGTACACTAATAGGGTAGGTATATAATGTAAGTCTTTTTCAACTGATGTCTTAATCTCCAGGCTAAACAACCACTCAGCACCATATACTCTGCATGTATGTTAGCTATTATTCACATCTATTTAATTCTGATTTGTTTTGACATCATAATTACTACCTAGTATCTAAATTTTCTTCTTGACTTACTTTTTTACAAAACAAATGTCACAGATTTGAATTAAAGTATGGTTTTGCTGTAACTACATTTGCTTAAATTGAGTATCTAGGAACATTTGTTTGAGAACAAATCTGAAATTGCTTGTCTAACCCAAAAACTGTATAGAGAAGCTGAGCCAGGATCTCCATTTCTGCAGAGCTTTGGGTCAGGGCAACTGGAGCCGCGGTGACCTGTGTCTGAGAACTACTGAAGGCTTTCATTGCGGACTCAGTTTGCATGTGTAGTGATAGCTGTGCTTATACTTGATCCTGGTTTTGGAATGGTAAAAGAGACTTGTTTCTTCAAAGAGTGGGAAGGAAGGTGAGCAGGATAGTAAGAACCACACACCTAGACAAAGTGGATATTCTAAAATGACTGGTTAGGGAGGACATCAGATAATTGGACCTGATCTCTCAAATGACAGTAACAGGGTCAGATCCTTCCCTGTTTTGCAGCGGGGAAAGAAACATGAAAACCCATTAACTCCTGTAGCAGATATGCTGATGTTAATGATTATCTGTGTTCTACCATCAACTGAAAAATTGTGCTGGTGTTCTCTGATTTTAGACATTTTCATTCGCAGAAAATATTGAAGGAATTGAGCTACAGGGTGGAAGTTGTACTTGTTTTAGTTGTACAACTTGAAATTATTCTGTCCACCAGTCAGCACTGGATGTATCTCAGGTAGCTGTCTGAAGGTTATGACTGGTGTTTTCTCTCTCTATTTCATAGCACAAAAAATCGTGTCTCAATTCCACAGTTACCCATGGGTACAATACCTGTGCTCCAAATCAGGGCCTGTAGAAATGTGGCTACTTCCTGTAATGTAAATGTACTTCTCCTTTTTAGAATTTCTAGAAAAGCTTACATATCTTTTATGGATGTGGGATCCAGAATAACTTTTCCGACATAGTCTTGGTAGTTGTGTAACATTCTTCAGAATAAAGCTTGGTCATACTAAATGTGGAATGGCAAAACTTTCAACAGTAAGAGCATTGAAGAGAGTCTGAAAACTCTGAGCTTTCCCTCCATTTGCTGAAAAGCAATACAGTTCATTGAAGGAGTTGCCGCTGGGTCTGTGCAATCATGTTAGCTACATGAAGATGACAACTGTAGTCAAAGAAAACAAAACAAAACCCAACAAATGACTAATTAAAGAGTAATGTGGTCACAACTGTCTAGACAGTGGTGAAGATGTTTAATGTCTTTTAAACAGCTGAAAGGACTTCTAAAAATATTTAAAAGATTAAAGATTACTTTAGTTTTATTTAATATGCTAATGGGAAAAATGTAAATAAAAGAGCCCCAAAAAATCATCAATACCAAAAACCAAGAAAGGAAACTAGTGGCTCAGTGACAGTTCATTGATTACTGATAGTGAATCTGTGTGTGGGTAGATAGTATAAATTGCTTCTTTAATGATGAAGTATTGTGGGATTTATGAATTACTTTTCCAGAGTGTAGGACAGTTAAAAATTTGCTTCATCTATTGCTTACATTTATAGTCTTTCAAAAATGAGGAAAATTATGCATAATTATTTTAGTCAGAGTTATGGGACATTTACATTTGTGGACTTAATGTTATGTTAGGTTCTAGGAAAAAAGAAATTAACCTATAAAGATGCGCTTCATAAAGATAGGTTTGTGGTGTATCGGATTAAACCACTGCTTGAGATGGCAGCATTCACATCCGGGTGCCAGATGAATCCTGGCTGCTGTGTTTCCAATCCAGCTTCCTGCTCATGTCCTGGAAGGGAGGCAGAAGATGGCCCACGTTCTCGAGTCCCTAGCACGCGCTTGAGCAACCCAGATGGAGTTGCTGATTGCTGGCTTCTGCCTAGCTGGGTGTTGCTCTTGTGGTAATTGTGGTAATTACCAAATTACCAAAGCTGGGTGTCGTTTCATGGTAAATGTGGAAGTGAACCAGTGAGTGGAAGATTCTCCTTTTCTCTGTCTTGTAAAAAAAGACACGTTTCTGCTAGAGTCTGGGTCAAATTTATAAAAATGTTACGTGTATCAGGTGAGATTTGTGATGATTCGAAAGAGAAACTTACATGTTTTTAAAAAACAAAGTAAGTTTGAGGTAAAAATTAAAATGACTCATTAGAGATAACTCTTATTCACCGATTCAAGCGTTTGTTACTGATTCTAATTTTAGCAGGGTTTTTGATGTCACTTAGCAAAGTGCCTTTCATGATCTCAGCAGTTTTCATTTTCGACTCATTCTGACGCTACTCGACCTACAGAACTGAAGACCAAGGGGGGAATCTAATTTTTTTCTGTCTAACAGGAGTTGCTGAAGCGGACCCCACGCAAACACAGTGACTATGCAGCCGTGATGGAAGCCCTCCACGCCATGAAAGCTGTCTGTTCCAACATAAATGAAGCCAAGAGGCAGATGGAGAAATTGGAGGTTTTAGAGGAATGGCAATCTCACATTGAAGGATGGGAGGTACGTTCACTTTGCTCATCAATTGACCTTAAAGTTGTTTGAGGTCCTGTCCTTGGAGCCAAGCTCCTGGCACAGTAGGGAGGGAAAAACTGTCATTGTCCTAGGTATTGCTCAAAGACTATCATCCATTCTGAACGGTACTATTGTTCATTATAATTTTCAAGTAGCTTTGAGGTGGCAGTTAATTGACTTACGTTCTACTGGAGAAGTGTGTGATGGAGCCAGTAGATGCTGGGTGGGCTCCAGAATTTGCTGTGTCAAAGGTTGTGCATCATGAACAATTGTTTCTGTCTTGAGTTGGATCAATGAGTGCATAGCCTGAATGCCTGAGAGAGCAAAAAGGTGACAAGCTTTCATATGTGCTCTGTGGTGTGCTTTTCAGATTCTAAGTTAGATGTTTGATGTTCCATCTCAGGGCCTTGTAATATCTCATAGCTCTTGGTTTCAGGAACGCAAAAAAGAAAAAAATGCAACTCCGCATCTGTTTTTCAGCTGTGGTAATCTTTAAGCTTAGATTTCTTTTTTGGTTGAAGTTCTAAAATGTGACTTCATTGCAATAAGAAGAAACAAAACTCAATTTCTGTCTTTAAGTTGCCTTAATTTTAAATGAGCATAAGCTTTGGGCTAGGATAGATTTCATTTTCTTGTTTTAAAATAAGCAAGTAAGGTGTTTTTGTTGTTGTCGTTGTTGTTGTTTGCTTGTGAAGATTTCAAGTGTTCTCAGCCAAATACTATATTGGATAAATACAAGTGGATTGCTTTTCTCTTTGGGGCTTTATAATTGATTAATTTTTAAAATCTTCAGTATGTTAGTTTTTTTGTAAACCCAGTGTTCCGTCTATCCAGATATGCAAAGAAACCTGGAACATTGACCTTGGGGAATTCTATTTGTCTACCCTGCACTTTTAGGAAGTGAACTGGGGTCTGACTTAGCTTTCTCTTTGTTTCTGTTCTTCTCCTTCAAGTGTCCAAGGGGACCTCCTATTTCAGCATGAACGCTTCTTCTTTCAATCACTTAAAATAGTTGTGTGTTTTACAATTGATTCATGATGATGATTTCCTGGGAGCAGTTGCCCTGCCGGGATGGGAAAAATGGGATGGAGTTTGCTTTTGCAGTCTTGTTGTCATTCAGACATTCAGACCGAATTTGCCTTAAATTGCTGGACTTTTCAGTGAAATCTGCCTAGCTTTTCACTAAAACCCAAACTTGTCAGGCTTTTTCATACTCTAGGGAAGCAGTAAGGCTTCTGATGTGTATCCTAAAAATTCTGTTAGCTACCTAAAGGAGAGATTTCTTGGAAATGACTAGTTTTCCTTGCACAGTAGATACAAAAGGAGAACATATGTGGATCATTACTATTTCCTGCATAGCCTCTTAATCAAGGATGCCTCAACTGTCCTAGTCTTAGGGGGTCTTAAAACACTGAGTCCAAGAGAAAAGTGGAGTATTAAAGCATAGTAGTGGATTTGTGGAATTTTGTTGAGTATGTGGGGAAAACAGAAATCTAACATTATTTACAGGTTCATTTAGCTTGAGATTTTGGAGGTTCAGAAGTATCGTTTGGGGTCTAGTTCTGGTGAATGGCTTTAGAGTGGCAGGAATGAGGAAGACAGAGTTGGTATTTGTAGACTATGTCTAAACTAAGGCTTTGTGTCTCAAATGTTTGATCAAATATTATAATCCATATTATACCAACTTAAAATTAGGATTATTTAATTTGCTCAGATTCTTAGAAACAGGAGGTGGTGAAGTTTAGAGTTTAAAATAGGCAACCTGATTCTTAAGCTCATTTTCCTTAGCATATCATGTGGTGTCCACTCAGAGCAAAATATGATTAAGTTTGCCTTTGTGCTTGCCCTCTAAAAGTAAATGGACTATAGGAATTATTTTCTTTTTCCCAGCATTTATGTAGGCATTATGGCACACTGTCAACATTGATGTAACCTCAGCTGAGATCTGAAGTGTGCTTTAATTGTCCAATTTTGAAGTTAGGCCTCCTATTACTATAATTTATTATTTCAGATAAATGTCTTATTCAACATTCAAAATATTCCATGAGCTAGTCTGCTAAAAGTAATGTATGAAGATGATTAATATGTTTTAGAAGAAAAGAGTCCTCATGGCTTAATCAGTCTTTGTGTGTGCGTGTGTGTGTGGAACAGGATGGTTAATCTCAACTAACCTTCTCGATGATGAATTGCATTGTGACATTCACTGTAACTTTTAGAGTTAAAGGCATGGGGACATTATATTGTTTAGTCATTCAGATTTATGCCTATTTGGAATCGATCCCTCAAATGTAAGAAATCACAGGGAGAATTTCTTAATATATGAAAGTGTTGGGAAAATGAAGTCTAAGATTTTTTTGTGTGTGTGTTTTAGACTATCAGAAGAAATAGAATAAAAATTTGATGACATATTAATTATGTTTTCCCATGGAGAAATACAAAAGCACAAAGCCATTTGAAAAATCATGTGTTAGTGGTTTTGGAATTTGTTTGCCATTTACATTTATTTAATTTGTGCCTGAGAGTGTGTTAACTTCAAACCATGTTTTCTGCTTGTTTCATGAGTTCAGATCTTCCAGAGTCTGCTGATAGGTCATGTTCCTTTTGCTCTTGTGTTAAGTGATTCTGTAGCCAAGAACTGATTTAATGGCATGAGACAGAACAGATTTATAGTTGGTTCTTGTTATTCAAAGATAAATGATTTAAAAAAAAAAAGGCAGCCATAAAACAAATCGACTCAAACAAGACAAAGAAATTTAATAATAAATGGAATGAGGAAAATATATGATTGAAAATTTATCTTGGTACAATGAAAATTTACATTACTGACCTTTAAAATTTACATTATTAGTATGTAACAAAATTCAGGTTATCATTTCCATCAGTAATTTCAACCTTAGGAAGTTAATCCAATGCTGAGCCTTTGGTGGGTTGAGTATGCATTTTGTTTAATAATATGTAATAAAATCAGTGGCATATGCTTCATTTCATGTTTGGTTTCATAATACTTTAAAAATATCTCTTTTTTGTAAGACTAGTCACATTTTTGACTATTTTTCTCAAGGGACTCCTTTGGTATTGAGCGTGTTCCCATAGGAAGCTCCATTGAGTTGTGAGTCTTGCTCATTTTTCTTGTTCTGTGAATGGATCAAGTTCTGTTAGATCTTCCTCTGTTATTCGTTGTGTATGAGTGGGGACATTTCAAAGCTTCATGTCACTTTTCATCATTTCCCACTCAGTTGTGTTATTCTGATAGTGACATCCAGCACTTAGACTACAAAATGAGGGAGAAAGATGATAGAGTGATGCAGAGAGAAATGGCAAGGATACCTGAAGCTTTTGTGTAGGCCATTGCATAATAAGTAGTTGTATAGCATAATGAGGGCAACTTTCTGCAGGTGTACACAATGACATAAGATTTAGTACACTGCCTATCAGGTGGTAGACCTGGAAAAAGCTAATTTTCATATTCATCTAACTTTTTTTTTCCAGGAACAAAGTATGTGTTTCCTAAAGAATAGATATTCCAATTTGAAAATTTTATTTATTTTCAAAATGAAGGTAAAAATGCTAGCCCAGTTAAGCAAATGAACACTCAGTGGTGATGAAGTACACCGTAGATATTATGATGACCTTGTACCATATTATAAAATGTCCCTTATGCCTTGGATGAAGGCTTGCAGCCTGTACTCTTTCAAATGGAAATGTGTGTTTTTCTCATTGTCAGCAATGATGTACCTGAGCACCTCTCCTCCAGTACTCAAAGCCCATGAAGCAGGAATGTTGAATGTATTGACAAAATAAGATTAGTATCTCATTTACCTGAATGGCTTTAGGTCCTATCTTAGCTTCTCTCTATTCAATTTTAAAGGGAGTGGAAGTGTTAACAGGCCTTTCAGGTGTGCATTCTGAGCTGTACAAATTGAGAATTACACACTTTGTGTGTAAGGGATGCATTGCTTTTGGTATAAAAATCATTTTTTTAAGATTTATTTTTCCTCTGAATAGCAGAGTAGTTACAGAGATATGAGAAATAGAAAGAGAAATCACACATGCACACACACATGCACACAATGAGAGAGAGAGAAAGAGACCCCTTCTATCCTCTGTTTCGCTCCTCTGTTATCTGCAGTGGCTGAACCTGAGCTGAGCTGCAGACCGGAGCCAGGAGCTTCTTCCAGGTCTCCCATGTGGATGGAGGGGCCCAAGCACTTGAGCCATGCTTAGCTGCTGTTCCAGGAATATTAGCAGGGAATTGGATCAGAAATAGAGCAACTGGAACTCAAATGTGTGCCCAAATGGGATGCTGGCATCACTGGCAGAGGCTTAGCATACTCTTCCGTGATCCTGGCCCTGCAATTTTTTTTATTTGATGCAGAAAAAATATTTAAACATTTGAAATATTTGAAAAAAGGAGAAGATTCTATAATGCCTTTAAAATGTTAAAATCCTCATAATTTCATTTCCATGTACTTTTTGAAGTGCATTTTAGTGGCTTATGTGCTTTGTTCTTTTCCAGCAATATGTTAGGCTTCTTTTATTTTTGTTATATTCAAACAATTATTCATTGTCTTCATTGACAAATAAGTGAACAAAAATGGGGGAGAAGAAGGGGGAGAGAGAGAGAGAGAGAAAGAGAGAGAGAGAAAGATTGATCGATTGATTCTTCAACTGATTCTTTCCCCCTGAGCCTGGGCCAAACTGAAGCCCAGAATCTGTAATTCATCTGAGGCCTTTCCCTTGCATGGCAGGTGACAGTTTGCTGTTTCTCAGGGTGCACAGTAGCAGGAAGGTGGATTTGGAAGCAGAATTCCCTGGCTTAAACCAGCCTCTCTGGGGTAGGATGCAGGCATCCCCGAACCTTTGCAAAAGCTCACTTTGTTGCCACAGGTTTTGGATTTTCTAGTTCACCTGATATTCTCTTTTTAATAAATTCTGTGGTTTTTGACAGTCTTAGAAATTGCATGCTTGTATACTTTGTTTTTTTCATTCTAATGTTTATAACTTTTTTTTTTTCCTGTGTATTTTGGAGCTTTAGTTATTTCATCCTAACCCTAGATAATTGCCTTTCTGTTCTAGGGGAAGGACAGTAAATCGACATAATTTTTGTAATATTAAAAGCTTATTTACTTAAAAAGTAAAACCATAGCTTTTTAAAAGATCAGAAATGGTATATTTTATCATGTAAGTGATAGTAAAAGATAATATTATTTAAACAAAATTTTCAAATGTCTACTTATATGTGGGTGGATTTGAAGTGGGAAGGAAGACATGTCTACATCACAGGCAGTGTCTGCACTTGGCCTAATTCTCTGGTATATATAAGATTATACATACATGTTGCCAAACATGTTTTAGTAAATCTTCAGCTGCTGTTGTCTTAGATAGCACTCTGTATTAATCATGAGACATCAAAGGCATGCTGGGCACTCTGTAGTTTAAAATATAAATGTAGTATTAAAGAAATACTGTAAACCACTTTCTTAATATTTAGATATTTTGCACATTACAATGTAGATTTCTTTAGTATACACACAGTTATTTGGGAACTATTTAATTGCTCATGGAAGATATTTAATATCTTGTTGACAATGTCCTACATTGACAGAGTATGTGAAAAGGTTATAATGTACTGATTTGAGAAACCCGCTGTAAATGGCAGAGGTACTTTATCTCAGTGACAGACACCTTGGTTGGACTTGGTAAGATATCATCTGAGTGATGTTATGTGTTCATAGTAGGGTATAATTTGCAGCATAATCAGGGACTCTTGAAACTCTGATGGGGTGGGTTTTATGGTATTTTCTAAAAGTTTCATTAATTGGTGATCAAGCTGGGTTTTTAAATTGCTTATTAAAAAACGTGTTGCTCTTCAGCAGGTCTATTAATCTCATTCTGTTTTGTGAACTGAAGCAAGGGGAACCTGCAACTGGGTCTTCAGGAACACCTCAGGCATAGTTTTCTGTTGCATAATAGGCAGGGGAGTGAGAACTTCTTAGTTTATCAATAAGGACTGCAGGATTCAAAAAGTCAAACTATTTAAGTACAGGATGGAAAGAAGAGACCAAGAGGTTTGGTTGACTATTCAAGCCTTCTAAATCAGTTATAAGATAGAGTTTCTATTATGTTAATTCAATTTTATATGAAATAATCCTCACACTTATTTGGGAAGATGATCAAGATGTCAAAGAATGTTCTTATTTCTGTCATTTAGGGGTCTGTCTATCATTTTTGAGTAAATGAATTTGTGCAGTTATTTGGAAGATTTATTTGATATGCAAATTAGGACAGTATCTGCAATAACTGCTTAGTATGGCTTGGTTTATGTGAATCACTCTCTAATGAGGGACACTGTGTACTTTTTCTAGGACTAAAACCACTTTTGCTAATTTGACATATTATTTCATCCATTATGTAGAGAATAAAGGTTTAAGTAGAATCTTTGTGTTTTCCTTTCTTTTCTTTTCCATTTTAGGAGTGAGTATAAATTGATACCTGTTAAAAATTTAGACAATATCATAGTGATATCCTTATTGAGCCCTTTTCCTCTATTAGGAAAAAAGAAGAAAGGAAAATGTAGGCATTAACAAAACGATAAATTAGTTTGAAATCATCTGCTGTAAAAATAATATAGATAGCATGTATAATATGTGTCCTGAATGTTCATGTACATAAAATATGGGAGAGGGCTTTGTGTCTCTTGGTGATTCCAACTCCTGAAGCTGAGCAGGAGAAGCCTGGGGGAGGACGGAGACCTGTATCAGTGTGTGGTCCTTTACGCAGTTAGGACTTCATCCTGTGTAGTCACAGCTTTGACAAACCGAAACAACAAGTAGCATACAGTGTTTCAGTCAAGTAATCAGATATTGCTATTTCTGCTTTTCCTGACTTAGGGGTCCAACATTACTGACACGTGCACTGAAATGCTAATGTGTGGAGTCTTACTGAAAATTTCTTCTGGAAATATTCAAGAGCGAGTGTTTTTTCTTTTTGATAATCTTTTGGTATACTGCAAAAGAAAGCACAGGTAAGATCCTAAACAAGGCACCCTTCATCAACAGTGGCTCGTCCATCACACATGCTCAACCCTCTCCTTTCCCAGGGTTCATGTCCTCGTAGGTGGCAGCTGCACATCCTCCCAGCCCAGTCCCTGGATTGCTGCTTTCACCTTCATGTTAGATGGAGCTGAGAGCCTGTGCAGGGAACTCAGCTACGGGGGCAGCAGGAACCCATCCCTACCTGCCTCCTCCCAGTTCCATGTTAGTAGGAGCTTGGATTCAGCAGTGGGGCTGAGACCCAGGGCTCCAGCCCAGCCAGTGTACCAAACAACGTCTTATCTACTATACAAAATGCGCACCCTGCAAAATACTAACTTTATATAAGACATATTTGCTTTAGTGAAAGGGTACCAATAAGTTTCATTCAATTTAAAAATAAAGAGTGAGGGTGAAAGTGTGGGATTTGGTGTGTTTGAGTGATTTTATATTCCAGGTTTAGAGGTTGAGGAACTGTAACCGGATGTGTTCTGAAAGTGTGAGAATGAGAGACATAAATTGTCTGGCTTAAAAGGTGGAATAAATGGAGTATCCTTCTTTACCTCTTGAAATGTTTTCTTTCCCCAATTCACTTAATAAAATGACTGGAGCAAGTTAGTGACAATTTGGTAGCCATGCTGCTGATACTCAATAATGCTGTCATCTGAACTGTTACATTGGGTTGCTATAGAAAGAGATATTAATTCAACAATACAGTGATGTGGATTGGGCAAAGTGTCTCAACGTGCTAATCCTCTCTCTGCAGTGCTAGCATCCTATATGAGCACCTAGATAAATAAATAAATCTTTCAAAAACTGTAGTGTTGTGAACTAAGAAAATGTAGTACAACACACACCTTCATGAAAGTTTGCTATAGTACTATATTACATGTTTTATAGTTCATATCAATATAATATTTTTGAAGATTAGAACCAAATATAGTTAAATTGTTGTTGTTTTTAGCTTAATGAATGTTTTTGTCTTTTACTACATATGAAAATTAGTTCATTTATTTTTACCATAAACTTCTAAAGTTTTTGTGTTCAAAAATATGACTGGGAGGAGTAGAAATAGGATGTAGTAAGTATAGAATGAGTTACTACTGTGTAACTTAGTTAGTGCATTTGTTGTAGCTTTTGAAGGTATCTTTGTGAGTGAGATCTGTTCTCAGTACTGCTGATCTTTTTCTTTTTCATTTATCCAAAGCTTTTACAAAATTAGCCATCAGTGTACAAATAATGATATGATGGGGTTTTCTGGTTGTAATTGTTAAGTAAGTTATACAACATAAAACTTTAGTGAATTAAAATCTTGTTGGATAGCAAATAACCTTATTGAAAGTGTAATCATTGAGCAAATACATAGTGGTTAGAATTGGAAACAGAGTTCTGTCAGGGTATCCCTTCCCTGCTGGAATTGAAGTCATGCAGTAAACTATGTTTCCTTTGATTGAAAATGTTACATCTATTTAATGAACTTCACCTAAATGTAGGCTTTTTAAGATTTAGATAGCTTGGGTTTGGCTCAGTAGCCTAGCAGCTTAAGTCCTCGCCTTGCACACGCCGGGATCCCATATGGATGCTGGTTCTAAACCCAGTGACCCTGCTCCAGTCAGCTCCCTGCCTGTGGCCTGGAAAAGCAGTAGAGGACGGCCCAAAGCCTTGGGACCCTGCACCCACATGGGAGACCTGGAAGAGTTCCTGGCTCCTGGCTTTGGATAGTGTAGCACCAGCCATTGCAGTCACTTGGGGAGTGAATCAACAGACAGAAGATCTTCCTCTCTGTCCTCCTCTTTGTATATCTGACTTTCCAATAAAATTTTTTTCTTAAATTAAAAAAAACAAAGATTTAGACAGCCTTTGAAATCCAGGATAAACTGTACCTTTATAGACCTCTGTAGTGTTGTGATTATAGTAACAGAGACATGATTGGCTTATTTAAAAATATATTTATTTAAAGCTAGAGAGACCAATAGACACAAACCTTCCATTTGCTGCTTCAGTTCCTGAATGCTCACAGCTGCTCAGACCTGGGCCAGGCTGAAGCCAGGAGCTTAGGACTTAGTCTGAGCCTACCTTATGGGGGACAGGGCCTGTAGCATGTGAGCCTACCATATGGGGGACAGGGCCTGTAGCATGTGAGCCACCACTTGCTTTCTCTCAGAAGGCTGGAATGGAGAGTGGAGCCAAGGGCTTGAACTCAGACAGGCTGATGTAGGATGGCTGGGCATCCCAGATGGCAACCCAAATGCTTACCTCTGACAGTCACTTAAAGCACACAGTGTCAAATTAGGTGTTCTAATTGTGGATCTTTACACTGTTACTAGCCTTAGACACACTTATTTTTTAAACAATGATTTGTACTGTATACCACATAAAAGAAGACTGTTTATTTTGACCTGTATATGAGGTTTGTAAGATAATATAGTACAGTATCTTGTTATATTTTTGTATTCAACAATTTCTAGCAATCACATCTAATTTGTGCAGCAATAATTTATTCATTTAATTTATACATATTCTATTAGTTTTACAGTGTAATTCTTCATTCTCCTATCAATGGACTTCTGGATTTGTTCCTGTTTTTCTGCTATTTGATTATTCTTGTGACTCTTTCCTGGTCATAATAAAATTAAAAATTAGGAAATGAGGTAAATGTGCAGCATTGTATGATGGATAAATTTCTTTCAAACCTAATGTTTTTTTTAAGGTTTATTTATTTTTATTGGAAAGTCAGATATACAGAGAGGAGGAGAGACAGAAAGGGAGATCTTCTGTCCAATGGTTCACTCCCCAAGTGAGCGCAACAGCTGGAGCTGAGCCAACCCAAAGCCAGGAGCCAGGAGCTCTTCCAGGTCTCTCATGGGGGTGCAGGGTCCCAAAGCTTTAGGCCATTTTCGACAGCTTTTCCAGGCCATAGCAGGGAGCTGGATTGGAAGCGGGGCCGCTGGCATTAGGACCAGTGCCCATATGGGATCCCTGTGCACACAAGGCAAGGACTTTAACCACTATGCTATCGTGTCAGGCCCATACCCAATGTTTTCAATGCTGAAGGGATCAAATACTTGTGTTTAAGCTGAGTGCTACAGCATTATGTGGATGTTTAATGGATTTTCATTATGAATAATAATGCCCACAGGGCAGGGGAAATATAGAAACCTTGTCCAGAATTCATAGTAGGATCATTAATGCAATGATTATTGACCCAATGATTGAATTACTAAATATATAAGATTCATTATTGTTATTATATGCAGTGTTTTATATGATACAGATATTAATTCCTAATGTATACAAAATATTAAAATAACTTTCTTTATTAATAGTGAAAGATTGCTAGATTTTGGAGTGTGTTTAGGTCATTTGACCCAGGAATCTTCTTTCTCTTCCAAAAGTCTGAGGTGTAATAGCATCTTGAGGTTTCTTCCTTATCCATCCTGTCCATTCCAGAGAATATACAAATCTAGCCTCCGTTGCTGGTTCCACCTTCTTGCTGATGGTCACGGTGGGAGGCAGCAGGTGGTTGTGAAAGGGTCCGGAACCTTGCTTCACACAAGGGAAACCTGGTTTGCTTATCTGACTCTTAACTTCAGCCAATTCCGACCTTGGATGTAATGGAGTTTGTAAAATTTTATTTCTTTTCGCTTTCAAAATGAATAGTGAATGGGAACTCTGTTTATCTGTCTCTTTTGGGCTCTCAAATAAAACAAAATGTGAAAAGAATTAAGAGATAGATTTGAACAATGATATACCGATTTGCAATGATTTTTTTTTCTTACATGGTACCTTGATGTTATTTCCTATCATGTGGACTATGCAGTAACTTGAGTATTAGTCTGCTCTTTATTCTTGTTGAGTTTGATACCAGTGTCATGGAGACTTTGGTTCATTTTTTTTTTAAAGATTTATTTATTTTTATTGCAAAGTCAGCAAGAGGAGGAGAGACAGAGAGGAAGGTCTTCTATCCGATGGTTCACTCTCCAAGTGACTGCAATGGCCGGTGTAGCACCGATCTGAAGCCAGGAACCAGGAACCTCTTCCGGGTCTCGCATGAAGGGGGAGGGTGATGGGAGGGGGTTGGGAATATGGGGGGGAGGGAGTTGCAGTGTCCCAAGGGTTTGGGCCGTCCTTGACAGCTTTCCGAGGCCACAAGCAGGGAGCTGGATGGGAAGTGGAGTCACTGGGATTAGAACCAGCACCCATATGGCATCCCAGCGTGTTCAAGGTGAGGACTTTAGCTGCTAGGCCACAGCACCGGGCCCGACTTTGGTTCTTAATCTGTAGCATTTACTTAGGTGTATTAATGAAAATCATTTATAATCTATTATCAAAGTAGCCATAAGTATTGTAAAGTGGTGGAGTCTGTGGGCTGCCAGCCACTCTAGTCCGATTAGCTGATGAAGTGTCTGTAGAGGTGATGAACAGATAATCCAGGAGTCTGCAGTATTTGCTGAGGGAAGAGTGCTGGCTGGGTTGGTAGCATTTTGGAGCCATCTCCTTAACCCATGTGAACTTGAGCAGGTGTGCCTCTCATTGCAGAGAAGAAGGGATCTGCTCTTACTGTACAGTGTCCATAGTGAAGTAAGCCAACAATAATTTCAGTTTATTACATTGAAAACTGGACTTTCACTAGTCAAATGGAATACTTCATGTCAACTGAAATCTCTTCAGTGACTTTTTAAATTCTCTTTGAATCATTTCTTAGAATATGTCCTATTTAAAGAATTAAAACTTCACCATGAGTAATAATTCAAATTAATCCTTAGTTCATTGTTACAAATGTTCATCTGTAAACCTGGATTTTTTTTTCACTATACTCTAGGTATGGCTAGACATACTGTATGCAAACTGAAATGTACGGAAGTTATTTTGATAATAAATGAGACCTTTCTGAAGGATTGTGTTTACATTAAGAGGCTTGTTCAGTGTGAAAACACTGGTATTATGCAAATGCAAGAGGACAAAGGATGTTGACATCTGGATCTTGCTCAGCCTGAGAAGTCAGTCCTTGAAGAGAGGCCATAAGTAGTAACTGAGTATTTTACCATGGCTTCAAGTTAATAGGAGTTTTCAGCTACTCACAGTAAAAAGGAAAATGAAGCTGAACAAAACGCCAGTGAAACATTAAAATAACAATTCTTTACTGTGAGAGTTTAAATAGGTGCTGCTGGGCCCAGCCCGGTAACCTAGCAGCTAAAGGTCTCACTTTGCATGCACGCAATGTGGGCATCGGTTCTAGTCCTGGTGGTCCTGCTTCCCATCCAGCTTCCTTCTGGTTTAGGAAAGCAGTAGAGGATGGGCCAAATCCTTGTGACACTCCACCCTCGTGGGAGACCCAGAAGAGGTTCCTAACTTTGGATTGGCTCAGCTCAGGCCACTGAGGCTGCTTTGAGAGTGAATCTTCTGTTCTTTCCTCCTTTCTGTATATCTGACTTTCTAATAGAAAAATAAAATAAATCTTTAAATTAAATAGGTGCTGCTGTTGTCCTGTTTTGGAGAAACAGCTCTCATATATTTGTGTTATCCTGAACCCCAAGCTTCTGTTTGCGTATTTCACAGTCTGACGTATGGGTCAAGTCTTGTACAGCAACCAATGCTATTGTGAATGGGAAAGAAGTAGGAAAACAAATGAACCAACCAAAACAAAAACAACCCAGCAGAAATCAAAAAACTTTTGATGTTGTAGGTGGGATTGTTGTCTTTTATTTGAAGGTTGGCTTAATAGCAGTTGTTTTAAGATTGTTTTTCATTAAGTTTTCTAACAGAGTCTTTGTGATTTCATTCACTTTAAGACGATTGAAGAATAACAAGGCTTCCACAGATGGCCACCGTTACCTTTTTCGTGGCCGGATCAATACAGAGGTGATGGAGGTGGAGAATGTGGATGATGGTACAGGTGAGTGATGCAGAAATTGAAGATGCAGCACCAGGGATGGGCGTTGTGGTGCTGCAGGTGCATTCCCTTAAATGGTGTGTCAGTTCCAGTCCTGTATGGCCACTACACACTCACCATCTAGCTTTCTGTCAGCACTTACTGGGAAGTTACACATGCTGTTCAAGTACTGGATCCCTGCCACTCCTGAGACTGATGGACTTCCACTTCTGGCTCCAGCCTGGTGAATCCCGGGCTTTTGTACACATTTGGGGAATAAACCAGTGAATGGTTTCTCTTTCTCTCTTTCTGTTGCTGTACTTTTCAGGTGGATAAAGGTAAATAAATAAAGATGAAATGGCAATAATAACTCCTTATGTCACTTGACTCACCACACCAAATTAGACTTAAGAAATAACTTTGTTAAATGGAACAGTTGAGTAGGGCTATGGAAAAAGTGAGATAAAGCCATGTAGGAATGTAAAATTGGAAATGTATATGTGCATGAAATACAGTTGTTTTCTACATAGAGGCAGAGGAATAGCTGAGTAGGGTCTCAGGATGTCTGTTTTGATTTAACTTTAGGATATTCCTCATTCCTTACATAGAGTATGTGTCAGAAAATAATTAATGGTTAAGTTTCTTTAAATTTTACTTTATTTTATAAGTGTGTGATTTCTTCCTTCCTTTGCTGAAGAGTATAAAATATTACAAATCTGTTTTATCTACACAATATTTACTATTATAGGCAGAGCTTCAGTTACCATGTGGAGAATTATGGATAAAGAGTGTGTGCTATTTTATAAGATCATTTTAAGTGCCGTATTATTCAAAGGCAATGAATTTTTATGCCTTAGATTTGAAGGGACAGTTGTGTATAAGCAAGTTTATTAGATAATAATTAGTCACAAAGATTAAGTAAAATAAAATCTTAAAACTTTTGTTTTCTCTTTGAAACAGTAAAACCCATAAAATGAACGTTTAGTAAATTGAATCAGATTTATCCCCAATGATTTTAAATGCTGTTTCATAAATTTTCTTCCTGAGAAAAGATAAGATGAAATGAAAGATAGAAATTGGTGGGAAAACAAATTAAGTGTTGTTAAATTGTTGCCATATCCATATAGAGAGATATCTTTCAGTAGCAACACGAATTGGAACACAAATCGGCTCCCCATCACGTCTATACCTTCCAGGTCATCCCAAGGTCCTAGAAAGGGAGAATATTTATAATCTGTCAAGGCACAGAGTTCTCACATGGTTTTGTGTGTGCCGTGTTTCTATCATATTGCTAACATCCTGACAAATTGTAAAGTACTTAAAATAGTGAGCCATGAGGAATACGAATAAGGGGAGATACAAGTAATGTGCAAAACTCACCTGGAGAGCCATGTCCTCATGAGGAATATTGTTGAGGACAACTCTCCCCACCCTTGCTAAAAAGTGGACCTGACATAATGTACACAGTATTATTATTATCATTATTAGAGTTGTATTTGAGTTTCAGAGGAAGAGAGAGGTAGAGACAGACGGATCTTCCATCTGCTGCTTCACTCTTGACATGGCTGTGAGAGCTACAGCTTGAGCTGGTCCAAAGCTAGCAGGAAGAATCTTCTTTTGGGTCTTTTCCATGGATACAGGGGCCTAAGCACTTGGTCTGTTCTCTGCTGTTTTCCCAAGTACATTTATAAGGAGCTGAACTGAAACTGGAACAGCCAGGACACAAACAGAAACCCACATGGGATGCCTATGGAGCTGGCTTGACCAGCTATTCTGAAATGCCAGCCTGGAGCACATTAATTTTTATAAGATGGTAGTAATTCATCTTATTCTTTTTAAGTGAACTCAGTAGTGACATTACGAAATGTTACCTGTCTAAATGTTAAAAGTGTCTTGTCCCAGTAACTTGACTTTCCAAAGACATCCAAAAGCCCACTTTGTGTTTGAATTTGCAGCAGGATAAAAGCAGAGCATGAGAACCTTTCACTGGGTTCTTTATTGTGCTCTATACATCCCGCCTCTCCACATGATGTGGACTATTGCATTACCACTACCTGTACTGGTAGGCTAAGTGAATTTTGATAATGATGACTACAATTATGATACCTATAGCAAACTCAGGCATTATGTAAATGACTCTAGGAACCCAGAACTTTGGGGAATAGGGCAAACAATGCAATGGTAGATGCTAAGGGAATAATCCTTTGGGGGGTGACTTTGATGTTGCATTTGCATGGAAGGGCCACAGTTTCAGTCGCATGAGAAAGCTTTATTGTGCTGGTAATGTTTCAGTCTTCTGGGCCTCCATTCCTGGGGATAGGGGCCTTATACCAGAAAGGGCATAGACCCTAGTGATTTGAATTAAGAGGAAGAAAGGACATTGGAATACATGTAATTGGCATAAGTTAATTGTATGGTGGGTTCTTTGAACATGAATTTGCAAGTCTTAACTTTCATGGAAACAAGATGAAGAACTTATTGGACTGTATTATTCAGTTAATAGTATTTATTTTTTTCTCTGTGCATACATAAACTTGCTACAAGGTAACCTGGAAAATTTCCAGATGGCAGTTGGATACATTCTCCTAGTTTCTTGTAATGAAAATTTATTTGTTTTTCTGGATATATCCATTCTACCAGTGGGGAAAGTGTATATCATCTGCCACAGTGGAGATGCTAAAATAGAATTTTTGAAGTTGGATAGAGCTTTGGAGATCAGTTCATGTTCCCTGTAAATATTTCAGGTGATGTAATGAGGCCAGTGAAGGAGCAGAAGAGTTGCAGAGATGGATTGTGGTGACTTAGTTCTTCTGAGGCAGAATCTAGGTGCTTTACCAGTTTTCTTTCTGATTTCTAACCTTTGTCATTTCCACCAGGGAATCTTTAATTCTTTGGTAATACATCTTCTTACTTTATATTATGTGATTAGAGCTGTGATGCTGAAAGATTTCAGTAGAGCGAACAAATGCCCACTTGCCAAGTACTCCCTACACTTGAACTCTGTATAGGTTGAATGCCAGGTGGACAAACACTGTCAGGCTCACTTACAGATGCCAAAACCCAAAGAAAAAAACTGCTGTATTTACATATGAATTGAATTTTTGAGACTGAAGTGTATTTTTGAGAATGGGAATTATGAAAAAACTCATATTTTTACATACTCCAGGTGTATGCAAAAATAGTTTTCTAAGAAAGAAACTATCAGACATCTAATTGCATTGACTGAACTCCAAACATACAGAGGAAGTAATTGCACTTAAATGGAAGCTAAATATATTTTTGACCAAGATGTTTGTATCTCAATGATTTTGCTTCTGTTTGTAATGCTTAATGCATTGAGTTACTTCAAAGTTGTATATTAGTGTAGAAAAGTATGTAAACAATGTTACAACATGTAGAAGTTTAAATAGTTGTATATTTATTGCAGTCTAACCATATTAAACATTCTTTCCCATGCTCATGGGAGATGTTAATCACTGTGTTTGTATTCAGCTTTGATCTGAGCATTCTCTAGATTTCTACTCTTTCAGTGAATCTAACTTGATTTTTCTTTGGGCATTTTCTACAGATATTGGTTTAATTGAGATGGTATAAGAAAAATAAAACAGCTTGAGAACAGTAGTAGGAAAGCTGTTGAACTTCCTCATATTCATTTTCGTGATGGTTTTCCTAGTGTATGCTTGGAAGTCATTCAGAAAGTAGCACCAGGTCACTCCCATTCTCTCTTTAGAGCTAGTTCATTTGCCTGGTAGGACAGAGGACAAGAATATTGACCTTTAGAAAATGTGGTTTCTAGTTCAATATCATAAAGACCACAGCTTTAAGAACAATAGATCTGTGTAAATTGGATAATTTGATTTTTTAAAATTCTTAAGCTGGTAGGAAAAGTGTAAACTGTCATTTTTATTTATTTTATATATTTCTTTACTGTCATCTACTTAAAAGTCAGAGCAACCGAGAGAGAGAGAGAGAGAGAGAGAGAGAGAGAGAGAGAGAGAGAGAGAGAGAGGCAGGACCAGACAGCTAGATGGCAAGGAATCTTTAATTTTCTGGTTCGCTCTCCAAGTGCACACAAAGCCTGGACTGGGCAGATCACAGCCAAGAAGCCAGGATGCCACCTGTCCTTCACGTGGATGTCGAGGACTGAGCAACCGAATCTGTTGGCTCTTGAGGATGTGCATCAGCAGGAAGCTGGAGTGGGAGGACAGACAAGGACTCAGTCCAGACACATACGGGCTGCTAGCATCCCAAGCGACTCACTGATATCCCAAGTGACTTAACCCCCTGAGATGCAATGCCTACTCCCTGGCTGTAATTTTAATATAAATGTTTGATAGCATCTTCAAGATTGAATTCATTGTTTTAGTCAAATTGAATTTTTATGAGATTTTAAAAGCATTTCCATCAGTTTTCCCTTTATATTCATGAAAGAAAACAGTAATTAAAACTTGAACTCTGCAACCTTGTAACTTGTTGCATTTGCATAAAAGTATTACTTTAATGATAGCTATGGTTTATCACCAAATAGGCTTAGTTTTAAATTATTCCAAAAATGTTGGTAGAGTGGATAAACTGTAGTTACCTTAGGCTGGATTGAATTCATTTTGAATTTTAAAACTAATAGTGATTTTACAGTGTTGAAAAAAGTACTATATAGAATAGTTCTTTTTAGATGCCCTTAAATTTTGAATATGTTAATTTAAATTATGCATTTCAAATGTATTTATGGATTAGGAAGACAGATTGATAGAGAGAGGGTGAGAGGAAGAGAAAAGGAGATGTTCTGTCTTGTGGTTTACGTTCCACATGGCCACAACAGATGCCTGGGCCAGGCTGAAGCCAGGAGCCTGGAATTCCACCACATGAGTGGCAGAGGTCCTGGAATTCTCCCACATGAGTGGCAGAGGTCCAATACGTGTGACATTCTCTGCTGTGTTTCCTAAGTACATAGGTCCTAAGGGAATGCATTTGAAATTTCAAAAAGGTCAGGGAGTAAGCCTCTTTTTAGCATTTTTTTTTTCTCAACTAGAGCTTTTTTATTTTGATGTTTGCCCTAAGTGATCTCATGTTACTTTGAATACTAGAAATTTTTCTGTTATTGTTTAATATAATCAAGTATTTATTTCAAGAAGTAATTTGATGTTTCTCAACAGTCAATGTTCATATGAGTAAATTGTAATTCAAAAAATTTCCTTCGGAAACTTAGACATTCATATAATTGATGAAAGGAACAGGAATTTAATGCATTATTTAGATAATGGTTTCTTGTCATTTTGGAAATGAATTGTGACAGTTTCTTCTGTTTACTAGCCTTTGTGCACAACACTTAGATATATTATTGGATATATATTATATATTATATATAATTGTATATACTGTATATTAATTATGCATTTATATATAATTGGATATATTATTCCTCTCAATAAGCTTGCATCATATTGAAATGCAGGTTTACTGAGAGGAAACCAGCATGTATAGAGAGTTATAGTGTACCAATTTTGGCAAACTCTCACGTCACTGGCAAAAACTGTATGAATTTAAGAGTACTGAATTTGCAAAAGGTGTGGCTTTAAAAGGACCACTGCTTTGTTTAGGAAGCCTTGTTCTTTGACTGTTTGTGGGATGAAATTAATGACTAAAACTCTTGAGCTTTGCATATCATCTTGATTCTGTTCTTTTTTGACACTTTATAGAAAGTTATTTTTTCCTTTTTAATTCATTTTAAAAATCTATCTATCTATGTATCTATCTATTTATTTATTTGAAAGGCAGAGTGCCAGAGGAAGAGAGAAGAGAGGGTGGAAGGTTGGTGAGAGGAAGTGGGAGAGAGGGAGAATGAGAGCGAGAACTCCCACAACTCCTGGTTCCATCTCAAATGACCACAGTGGCCAGGTGTTGGAAGCTGAGGACAAGGAATTCAGTCTGCACCTTCCACCTGAAGGGCAGTATCTAACTGCTGCAGTCATTACTGCTGCCTCCCACAGTCCGTGTTAGCAGACATGAAATCAGGACCAGACTGCAAAACTGAAACAGGCACTGCAGTGTGAGATGAGTGCCTTATCTGGAAACTTACCTCCGGGGCCAAATCAGTATTTTAGATACACTGAAGCCCAGAAATTTATGTTCATCATTTCAGACTTGTTTTAAATTCCAGAGGACAAAAACATGTGGACTCTTTCATAATCGTATCAACAATGTTGTTTGTGGATAATTTCTTATTTTGAGGAATGGGGATATTCAGTGATATGCTTTGATTAAAATTACAGAAGTGTATATTATAATATACTTTGAAATAAATGGGACATAATGGTATAATTACTTATTGCATAAAATATCTAGTACTTCATAGCATTATGGACTATGTGCACTATATGCTGAGTAGCATATGAGTATGTTTAGGTATGTGTATGTGTATATAAATAGTCACATATTTATAATAGCGTACACTTTTAAAAGGGAGTCAGCATGGTTGTTTGGCATAGCGTTTAGATGCTGGTTGAGAATTCTACATCAGAGAACCTGAGATGGATACCTGGCTCTGGCTCCTGACTCAATCCTGTAGATCCTGTAGGGCAACAGGAGGTAACTCATGTGTTTCTATCACATCACCCAGGTAGAAGGCCTGGATTGAGTTCCTGCAGCCAAGCTTCAGGCAAGGCCACATGCAAGAGATGGTGCACATTAATGAGGATTAAGAGAGAGTGAGCAGCGTGATGAGAACCGCACCCTGTGGACAGGACAATCAGGACAGCCACAGAGAAGAAAAGAGTGGCAAGGTCACAGATTAGGTCAGCATAGAGCAGGGCAATTTAAAGAGAATCTCTAACGCAAGATCTACCTATTTTTATTTGATCCGCTGGTGAGATACCAAAGGCTTTTGTGCTAACACACAATCTGGTACAAAATTTGTAAGAACGAGCCAGCAGGGAGTAGAGATGACAGCGAGCATAACCAAAGACTGAGAAAGGAGAGGAAGTGGAATCAGATAATAGAGTGGTTGGCGCAGGGTACACACTTGTGCTACTTCAGGAACATTTCTCTGCTGACTTGAGATCATGACCTCTTGTACCATTTGTGCTCTGTGAGAGGAACTCATTGAGTTTAGTTTAAAGAAGTCTAACACTTATTGTAGGTGTCATGTGGCTAATGTGATTATCTGTAGTGTTGGTTAAAGGGGCAACAACACGGTGGATTCATGGGGGTGAATTAAAAATCAGGTAACATTCATGTAACTCACTATGGCCTGACCTGAGTAGAGAGAGCATGAAAGCTCGGACATATTGTGATGCAAGTTTTTAAGGCAACAAATTGCAGGAAAGGGAGTTAACTACATGTACAATTTCAATTTTGACATGTTTCATTACTGCATATCATAATTGTTCAGTTGATATTTTTATGGCTTATTAAGGAGGAATTAATGGTGTAATTATGAAATCATACTTTTTATTTTCCCATGAATTCCCATTAGCATATCTGACATGAATTATGAGCTTCAATTACTTTCATAGAACATGAATATGTATTAAGTATATAAAGGAAAGAAGAAAAATACAAAGAGTCTTCATAAATAGTTTATAATTTCTTTATGGTGGCAAAAATCAATCTGTCACTTATTATTTATGAGAAGTTGCACACAAATCAATGCAGACTGCAGTCCATGTAATTCCATAGTAGATTAAACATAACTTAGAAGTTTTAACGGGTCCATAACTGTACAGAATTACTCGATGCATTTTTTCATCTGTCTAAAGGAAATATGTGGTGGTTTGGGAGCTAATGGAATAGTGTGGGAACCAAATTATGAGAGAATGAGTGCCAAGCACCACTGCTTCTAGTCAAAACTTACTAAATATAGATCACTTAAGAGGAACAGCAAAACAGTGTGCTTGACTGTCAGTCTTTGAAAGACCTCTAATGTTTTTGTGGCCTCCTTTGCTTAGTGACTGCTAGAGAAGTCCAAAGAAAAGTGTTATTTTAGTGGGACAGATGCTGAGTCAGGCCTCTGTGGTGTGGATTTCCGTTCTGGGATCCTTGCTTGGCAGGGACGTGGTGCAAGTAAAGGCTGCTTATAAGTCATACCCCTTTTTCCTCCACCTGCTCTGAGGACAGAGAGCTGCCATCCACGGTTTTGTTGTTGACATGCAAAGTTGACATGATACTTTAGCCCAAATTATAGTACAGTATTGAAAAAAAAAAGATCATTAAATGTCAACTTATCATCAAAGAACACTTAATTTTTTGAGTTTCTGTTTAAGAGAATATGTGGGATGAAGTGACTTTATAGAGTGTACATTTTAACTATGTTTTTTGGTAATTGTTTGCTACTAAGTCCATAATTTCAGTTAAGTTCCATTGATTTGTTCTCATGCCAATTGTACAGTTTAATATAGAATAAAAAATAACTGTGTGGAGCGTAGACTTCTTTGAAACTTACAATGTTACTGCAAAGAAATTTAGAAAGACAAAACAAATCTGATACCTTGAGTGCTTGAATACTGACAGGAAATTCTGTAAATGCTTGAGATTGATAACAACCAATTTGGGTATAGAAAAGGTGAATGTTAATTTGTTGGGTATTAGACTTCATGTAATATTATCAATGTTGTGAGTTGCAGATATTTTATTATTGAACCCTGACTGCATCTAAGGCATAAACATTTCTTTAGCTTTTTCAGGTCTTGTGTATTTTCCATATATATTTATAAAACAAAGATATTTTTCTGAATTCAGTGTTTTTGGAACATTGTTCATTTAATGAGCTCATGGTAGCATGTTGCATACTGTTTTTTTTTTTTCACCTATACTCATTCATTTCCAGCTGATTTCCATAGCAGTGGACACATTGTTGTAAATGGGTGGAAGATACATAACACAGCAAAAAATAAATGGTTTGTGTGCATGGCAAAAACACCTGAAGAGAAGCATGAATGGTTTGAAGCTATTTTAAAAGAAAGAGAACGGCGAAAAGGTGAGTGTATGCCTCAGATACTTTTGTAGGTTTGTAACTTAGCAAGAGAGCTCATGTTGAGGAATGGTTATGACAAAGTAGAAATATGTATGTTGTTCACTTCAATTTACTATTTAATGATAAACTTCATGCTAAAATAATTTTTGAATACTGCCATTTCCAAGGTTGCATTACCAAGTCTCCTTTACAAGATAGGCATCAACACTATAATGCAGAGCCAAAGTGTCTCCAATGATTGTTCTCTGTGTATTTAACAGTACATTGCCAACTCTGAGACCACACATGTTAGCAGTCTAATCATACATTCAGGCACTTTGGATATTATTAATTTTAAAAAGTGTTAGAATATCATTGTGTGCATTGTAAAGTAATCCATAAAAAACTCCTTCACATGAAGAAGTCCAGTTTGAATTTTTTTTCTAATATTTATTCATTTATTGGAAAGCAGAGTTAGGGGGTGCTACAGGGGAGTTGGGACAGAAAGCAACTTACCATCTACTAGTTTTCTCCCTAGATGGCTGCAGTGGCTAGGGCTGGGCCAGGTCAGGAGCCAGAAGCTTCTTCCAGGTCTTCTGTGGGTGGCATGGACCTAAATGGTTGTTTAAGAATTGCTATACTGCTGTAGTTTTAATGATCTATGATTACTTTAAATTTTATTGTAACAATTATTGTATATGGATTTTTAATATCCCCACAAAAATAGTTTCTTTTTGCCTTTTATTTGCTAAACTTTTTATTTGGTGAAATAGCAAGCCTTTTTTACTATAATACAAATTTAAAATGCATCATATCAAAAGCTAAGAGAAGGATGAGGAATGGAAGGATAGCAAGGTATGGGGGAAGAAGGGAATGTCACTATGTTCTTATGATTGAGTCTGCTAAAAATTAAAATATAAAAAAGAACTAAAAATTTATACCTTTTTAATTTCTTTAATCAAAAGGCTATGCATTCTAAAATCCTATATTCTAAATTTCTAAAAATAATAAGAGTATTCAAATAGGCTATAGTGTATATGCCTTTGTATTCAATAAAATGATTTCTGGTAAAAAAGGAAGGATTTTCTGGTGCCTTACTGGTTGTATCATTATCTGCTGCTTCTCCAGGTCTTCAATGGCAGAAAGCTAGATTGAAAAACCTATTCCTGACACTCTGATATAGGAGGCAGGTGGCTTATCTGCTAGGCCCAAATCCCCACCAAAAATAACTAAAAGACACTGGCATTGTTGCTCAGTGGATTAGGCCTTGGCCTGTAACTTGGCAATCAGTATGGATGATGGTTCAAGTCCTAGCTGCTCCATTTCTAATATATCTTTGTGCAACTATGCCTGGATAACAGTGAAAATGGCTTACGTCTTTGGATCCCTGCCATTCATGTGGAAGAACTAGAAGGGATTCTGGCCTCCCGGTTGCAGTCCAGCTATTGCTGCCATTTGGGAAGTAAATCTGTGGATGAGAAGTTTCTATCTCTGTATCTCTCTGTGTATTTCCTCTATCGCTGCAACTCTTCCTTTCAAATAGATAAATACATATGTGTGAACTAAATAAATGAAACAAGAGACAGGAACTCAAATGCTCCCAACGTAAACAAATGAGGAAGAGATGGAAATTCTTGTGATGAAGTTGATTTGAACAGTACCCGTTGTGTAAATATATTGAAGTATCTCTATAAATATGACCAATTATTACATATTAAATAGAATTTAAAATGCAAGAATTGTCAAACATATCTGGTCTGGTAATATTCAGTTGTGTGAGATAATTTGTACAAATTCTTATTCCTGTAATTCAGCTTAGAGTTAGGCGTGCTTTCTCTGGCTTGTTTATCAATCAATTTCTTAACTGTTAAGCATTACCAAGTTAATTGCTTTTCCTGAGATTCAGAAATAAAACAACTCACTAGTAAAATAATTCCATAACCCAGTGAATACTCTTCCATCTTCAGATGTTTTCATTTAAAAAGTATACAAAGTTTTTACTCTGATTAAAGTATTTATGGCATACATTTGTCTAAACACTTGCAAAGAATTTTCAAACACTCCTCTGGTTGATCTTGGAGGAAGAGCCAGATAGAAATGTAAAAAATAACAATTATATAAATGCATAACAGACATTTTAAAGATTTGCTGCATCTTGTAGTCTGTTCATGTAGCCAAGCAAACAACATAGAGGGTGAGATGAATTTTTCATCAAGTTGAACCTGGTTCACCACGGTGGCTATCATCCTCTAAAGAAAAAAAATGTAAGCATAGAAAAATGAAAAAGAAGAGTATATTATTTGTATTTATCATATTTTATTTATATGCAGTTATTTATTATTGTTGTTGACAAATGTTACTGACTTCTGCACTGAAAAAGAAGTAAAATCTTGGTAGGAAAATTTGTAGCTTTGAAGACTAGAGATAATTCGGAACCTGTTTTCCTGCAATAGTTCTTGCTTAGTTGCATCCCCTGATTAGCTGTTAGTTATCCCAGGATGTATGCTTTGGCACTGATTTCCCTTGCATGAGTTATCTGATCCTATCAAATTGTCTTTCACATATGCATCTACAATTTCTCAGTCACTGGAAGTGTCAGGGCTTGTCCTTTCTCCTGAGCATTTAATCATGTAGTCTAATCATTGTTGCACTCCACTTAGCATTGCCAGTACTGACTGGACTCGTAGATTCTTGAACATTTTGCTTCCCCACCTTCATTTGGTACTCTCCTCAAGAGCCTGCAAGGTGCATCAATTCCTTCTGTCTTCTCACCTGCATTTATTTTCAAATTTTTACTTTGTTTGAGAATCTCTCTCTCCCTCTCTCTCTCTTACACACACACACACTCTCTCTCTTACACACACTCTCTTACACACACACTCTCTTACACACACACACACACTCTCTCTCTCTCCCTCTCTCTCTCTTACACACACTCTCTTACACACACACTCTCTCTCTTACACACACTCTCTTACACACACACTCTCTCTTACACACACTCTCTTACACACACACTCTCTCTCTTACACACACTCTCTTACACACACACTCTCTTACACACACACACACACACACACACTCTCTCTCCCTCTCTCTCTCTCTCTCTTACACACACAACTCTCTCTCCCTCTCTATCTTACACACACACACACACACACACACACAGACACACACACACACTCTCTCTCTCCCCCCCTCTCTCTTACACACACACACACACACACACACACACACACACACACACACACACACACGTAATGGTAAGAAGAGAGAGCGCATGTGTCTTCTCACTCTCCAGACATCTAAAATGGAAGAGGCTGAGTTGAGCCTCAGACCCAGAGCCAGTACCTTAATTCACTGTGCCATGTGAGTGGCAGACACCCAATTACTTGAGCTCCCATCAGTACTTCCTGGTTACACGTTAGTACAAAGCAGGAGCTGGAGCTTGATGTCAGACTCAGGTGCTTCAATATGCTACATGGATGTTTTAACCATTAAGCCAGATTTCCAGTCCCAAACTTTAACCACTGGCTGTGTCCTTTCAATAACACATCCTACTATTTATCTACCACATCTTTTTGCCACGAGTCCCTGTTGTTGTAGGGACTTGAATTTCAATGGCCTATCTTTTCTCTCTGAATGGTTAAAACACATACATGTTTCCCCAGTAGCTAAAGGATGAAGTAGGTTAAAGCCCTGGAGCAAACAAGGGTCCTTCCTAACCCTTGAGCACCTGTTTTGTCTTCTGACCCAACAGCTAGTGCTCTATGCCTTGCTATGTTTGCTATTAGTTGGCTCTTGTTAATGCTCCTTCTGTCTCTAGAAATTTAGAACACAAGTGTTTGTGTGTTCAAACACGGCCCTTCTGTGAACCCTCTGCTAATAGGTCACAGATAGAGGGAGAAGTACATATTGTGTACCAGCTCTCCTCCCCCAGAGATGTCTCTAAGGCCACCTGGCCCACTCACACTAACTTAACTGTGTACAGGAGTGCTTGGCATGAGGTTTGCAGAGACTGAACCACCTGCTCATAGAGTACTGGCTGAGCCTTTGGGTACAGATGCTCCCAAGTGCTGTATGCTTCTGAGATCTTGCATTGACACTCTCCCCAGGATGCCATGAGATTCTGGAAAACTGGACCCATGTTTACGGAGCTCCAACATGTTGTAGGCATGTACTAAATGCTGGCTTATTTGCGGTGTGAGTGAATGTGTGAAGAGACTTATTCAGCTACCTTCCCCCACCCCTCATGTTTTGATAGGTTTAAAATTAGGAATGGAACAAGATACCTGGGTAATGATCTCTGAACAGGGTGAGAAACTTTATAAAATGATGTGCCAACAAGGGAACCTCATAAAAGACAGAAAAAGAAAATTGACGACGTTCCCCAAATGCTTTCTCGGAAGGTAGGTTTGTTTGTGTGTGTGTTTCTCTTTTATATTCTCGCTATCTTATGTATTAATTTTACTTCATTTATTTATTTTCTTTAAAAAATGCTCCGCTAAGCATTTTTGAGTATTTTCCAGTTGTCAATAGGTAAGATAAAGGAATGGAAGGGGACCAGGATCATGACTCCCACAGCTGCTGCTGTGCCCTTTTGTAAAGGAGTAGAAGAGGTTCAGTCCAGGCATGGAATGACATGCATGCCGATTTTGTGGGGGATGAGATTACTGGTCTGTACTCAATGTGCAGCCAGAGCCTGGGAACCGAAGACAAGACAGGAGAGATTCACTATCTAAGCCGTAGATTAATTCAGTCTTTAGACATGAGGAGAGTAGATGAAGGGCATGTCATGTGAGGGCGGGGGGCAGCAGGTTGAGGAGACAGCCCAGTTTTAAGCATAGAGCAGATAGACTGCATTGCTAGGTGTCTGCAGAGAGCATTAAGTGGGTTTCCTTGACTGATCTGATCAGTGTGATACTGTGTAGTACAGGCAGCTCTTAACCTAGGCTGCGTTAGCATGTTTGCATAAATTACTTCTGATCTTAGAATGCAGACTTAATATGTGTATTTTTAAAAATGCATAAACCCAGCCTGGTGCCATAGCCTAGCAGCAAAAGTCCTCGCCTTGCATGCGCCAGGATCCTATATGGGCACTGGTTCTAATCCCAGCAGCCCCACTTCCCATCCAGCTCCTTGCTTGTGGCCTGGGAAAGCAGTTGAGGATGGCCCAAAGCCTTGGGACCTTGCACCCATGTGGAAGACCTGGAAGAGGCTCATGGCTTCAGATTGGCACAGCTCGGACTGTTGTGGTCACTTGAGGAGTGAATCATCAGATAGAAGATCTTTGTCTCTCCTCCTCTCTGTATATCTGACTTTGCAATAAAAACAAAATGAATCTTTTAAAAATATGTAAACTTTGGATTGAGAGTTTCAGCAGTTGATACAATTAGTGAAAGACAATTTCAGTTCTAGACTGTGGACTACATTAATAAATACTTTAAAACCCAAACTGCAAGTGAACTGTCCCATTTAAAACCTGCTGCTACCTCAGGCTAATAGTGATGTTAGGAAAGTTAAAACAGGAAGATGGTCACAGCACTTGTCTGCAATGCCCACCAGGATGTCTTCTTAGCTAGTTGTGGTTGCATATGACAGAACCACTGGTGCAATCCCTACTCCCAGCTCAGTGGAGGTATAGAAACGCCTTGCCTGCAGCTAGGGCTCACTTCTTCACAATGTTCCTCATTGGTAATGCTTTAGTCACTTGTGAATAATCTCAATGCATTTATCAACTGTGATGTTTTATAAAAAAGTGATGTGTTCGAGGCTATGAGTAGGGACTGTGCTCAGTTCTTGACTTGTATTATTTCATTTCATCTTTTAACTGTACCATGATACAGATAATCTTATTATATCTGGGTTATTAGCGAAAAAACAGGTTTAGCCTTACTAACCCAGCATCATACTGCTAGTGGGTATGGAAACAAGATTTGAAAGCAGGTAGACTTATGTCAAAGTACAGGATTTTAGCTACTGTTCTCCACCTTCCCTGACTGTCGTTTGGATGACTATAATCTAATAAAAGAATGAAAAGCATTTGAGCAATTTTTCTACTTGGTTGTTTTTTTTTTTTTTGAGATTTATTTATTTTTATTGGAAAGGCAGATATACAGAGAGGAGGAGAGACAGAGAGGAAGATCTTCCATCCGATGGTTCACTTCCTAAGCGGCCAGAACAGCTGGAATTGAGCCAATCCAAAGCCACGAGCCAGCAGCTCTTCCGTGTCTCCCACAGAGGTGTAGGGTCCCAGGGCTTTGGGCCATCCTTGACTGCTTTCCCAGGACACAAGCAGAAAGCTGGATGGCAAGCGGGGCTGCTGGGATTAAAACAAGTGCCCATAAATAGGATCCTGGTGCATGCTAGGCAAGGCCTTTAACCACTACGCTATCGCACCGGGCCCTACTTGGTACATTTTATGACTACATATTTTTAACATTTCATATTCCTTGATTATTTAACCTTATCCATTTTGTGTCTTGGGTTTTAAAATAAGTAGTAATAGTATTTTCTGATGCTGTCCCGGGACCTTTGCAGTCAGTACAAAAAGAAAATCAGTCTCAAATAAATTGATTTGTTTTATGTCAAGGTTTTTCAAATGTTAGATTTTAAAAATATAAGCATCTTAGCATTTTCTTTTTTGTAAAATATTTCTGTGTTTATTGGTCACTTAATGATAGCATGTAATTATTAAGAAAAATTACTATATTACTGAAGGCATTTTAGGATTCTAGGCATTGCAAGCCTTGTCCTGGGTACCTGCCATACCTGGGGAGCCTTGCAGTTGTGAAAGAAATGAGCTTTGTTCCTTCCTACCTGCAGCAGTTCTGATGCATGATTCTGCATTGGAGCATTTTTTTATGGATGATACTTTAGATACAATAATGAATTTATTAAATAATTAGCATTTCAAAGCAATGCTGTAGATTTTTTATAGATTGCCGTATTTTAATATTTTAGCACAGAAGAACAAATAATCATATATTTAATAGCCTATAAAATGTCCCTTTATTAACTTGCAGTCAGAAGTCCGAGTGAGCTCAAATGAATTCTGTTTAGGGGCTCACAAAGGCAAAATGAAGATGTTGGCCAGAGTGGGCTCTTAGCTGGAGGCAGTGGAGGGAAGTGTGTTTCAGGCATATCCAGATCATTAGCAGAATTCAGCTCCCTGTGACTATAAGAATGTCACATCTTTTCTTCGGGTACAGTCGGCCAACGCCTGTTTCTCTGTAGGCAGCATTCTTTGGTACATGGTCTTCCCATCTTCAGTGCCAGTCTTGGTGTGTCAATTTATTTTCATGCTGGTAATTCCTTTGACTCCCTCTTGAAGTACCAGCTAGCAAGAGAGCTCCGCTTTGAAGCAATCAGAGGATTGGGTCAGACCCAGTTGGCTAAGTTACAGATATTAAGGCCATCTGATTTGGATTTCAATTGCATGTGCAAAAGTGCCTCCACAACAGTGCAAAAATTAGTACTTCATTTAAAAAGTGAGGTGTGGAAGAGGGAGTGCGGTCAGAGGCTTTTTTGAGAATTCTGCCTGTTATGTGGGACATGCAGCTTTGTTTCTCCCTTTGGAATTTTCAAATTTACTGGGCTTCTGTGCCTACAATGCATGATGAAGACAGCATGACTCTATATAGCAAACCATTATTACTCTCCAGGGTTCTTTGAGCTATCTTTAGGATTGCTGCCTTCCCTAAGCTACTCTAAAATTTTCATTATGTGTTTATGAGGGGGGTTCACAGAGTAAATAGTTTGTTAAGTATAATTTAGGAAAGTCTGAACATGTGCACATGGATTTTCTAGAATGGAGTCCAGCTTAATTAACTGCGGGCTTTATATATGAGAAAAATTGATTGCTTAATGCATGAACATACTTTTATTAATGAGATTTCCTTTATATAGTTGATTTATTATTATTGTGTGGTACAGGTGGGCTTCCTGAGGGGAAGGGTAGCTAACTTTGTCACTGGCTTTCTATTGCAGTGAATTTGTATCATGGCTGCTGGAAATTGGAGAGATTTCCAGGCCTGAAGAAGGAGTTCATTTGGGACAAGCATTATTAGAAAATGGAATCATTCATCATGGTAATTATTTCATCAATTACTTGAAAATCTCTATACCCACAATTTACATATATCTTAATCTCTTTGCTCAGTTTAGTTTATAATTCCATGCATTATAGGATGGTTATCTTTTTGCCATGTTTTAATGATACATCCTAATATAGATAGAACTGTGCTTAAGAGATTATGGATCTCTATAGATTTGTGACCCTTAAGAGAAACAACTACTACACAGCTAGAAGCAGATAATGCCCATGGGATGTGAGGAAGGCACGATCAGTTCACTCTAGCATATTTTGGGTGCTTTGTGGGGGATGTGGCATTAGTGCTGGGACTTGTGGCATGATGAGCTACAGGATAGAAGAGCAGCCCACCCTGAAGAATTGATTGTGGAGAAGTTCATGGTGGCAGCTTGAGGAGCTGCTGAAGTTTCATGTGGCCAGATGACAGTCTCTGCAGGTGAGGACACTGGGATGAGGAATGTGGAGAGGAAGATGGGTAGTAACCAGAGCCCAGGTGTTCTGAGCCTTCTCATATCACATGTAGGCTTATTTTGAAAGAGATCAGGAGTTGATGACCTGTGCTAAGCAGAGGCGCAATCAGAACCTGATTATTGAGCTGTTCAATGTAGCGTTGTGGAACCTGCAGCAGACAGGTTAAAAGCTGTGGAGTAACAAGCCCCTCAGTAGGAATTCTTCACCCAGGAGTGAAACAGTGAGAGAACCTCAGTGGTGCTGTGTCCATGAGCCTGAAACGAGTGGACCTATTGAGATATTCTGGAGAAGGTCACAAAATATGTTCTTTCTATATGTGTGGGTATATAATCACCACAAGAATAATTGACACAATCTTTTAAAACCTATAATTGATCATATTTATGGAATATATTACAGAGTTTCAGTACACCACAAAGTATAATTGTCAGATCAGCATAAATGGTATATTCAGCATCTCAAACAAGTATTATTTGTGTTAGGAACATTCATAATCTTCTATGTACTTTGATAACTATTTGGACATGGAACATGAAGGGTAATGAGAGAGATCATGTTATTCTGAATTTAGGATCTGGATGACTGAGAGCAGTAACATAGGAGGAGGGGAATGCTGGAGAGAGATGAGGGATCTGTAATGGGTTGGATGTACATTGCCTCAGAGAGTAGCCAGCAAGTTGTTGATGGTAAATTGTTCATCTCAGAGCAGGAATAGGGTGAGGGATATTTAGGAATGAATTAGAAGAAAGTTCCAGATCCCCGAGAATATTGACAATGTAGAAAATAAGAAAGCAGTGTTAAGGGACTGAGAATAACCTCTTGAAAAATTTCTCTTTCATATGTAAACTATGGAGGAGAAAAAATTTTAATAAAAAGATCTTCCATTTGCTCGTTCACTCCCCAAGTGGCTATGAAGACTGCAGCTGAGCTGATTCGGGCCAGGAGCTTCCTCCAGGTTTCCCACGTGGGTGTAGGGTCCCAAGGCTTTGGGTCGTCATTTGCTGCTGTCCCAGGGCAGGGACATGAACTGGAGCCCATATGGGATGTTGGTTCTTACAGGTGGAGGATTAGCCAATGCAGCCATTGTGCTGCTCCCTTGCCAAAAAATTTTTTTAATAAACATATATATCTGGCTATATAATTTTTATATTCATCTGCTTTCTAAAATAGAATGAGCATAAAAATAAAACAACACAGAACAAACTTGATCCTTCCAGTTTTCCCCTCTCATGTACTGACAGCACCATCTGCCCAGCAAGGAATATCTTCCTAGCTCTTTCAGTTTTCTGCCTTCCATGATCCCCACATTCTTCCTCGAACCACCGTTTCTATTGTTGCTTTATTCATGTTTTGCATTCCTTAGCATTTATTCTTTTCAGACCATAGCTGGAAATAAAAAAAAAAACCTTGGAAAACATTGGAAAGGTCATAGCATTTCCATTTATAATCATCTAGTGTCTTCAGTTACTGGAACATGTGTATTATGAAAAACTGAGCATGGATTACAAAAATTTTTGTACTAGGATAACTTACCTTTTCATCATCTTCTATTTATTTTTTTCTATGAGTGATTTGAAGTATCCTTTTATAAGCAATGCAAGAAGGAGCTTTCTTTTGGATGATGTAGTAAATGATGGGTGCCCAGCACTCATAGATGCTCGATGCGTGTAATAATTCATTACACGTGAACTAATGATGTCTACATTTGATTCATTAGCATCATTTACACTTAAAAATGATATATGACTGCTTTTATCATCTAGGACACCAGAAAGCCTCATCAAAAACTTATGAGGGAAAATGAAAAGGTGTTGGAGACTGTGGCTTGCTTTTTTCCCCTGCTTCTTTTTTCATTGCTTTGATCTCAAATGCAAGCAGTACTCTTGGGAGCAAGATGCACTGCATCTGTTGGCTTTGCAGTTGTTGGAGCCATGGAGGCAGCAGTAGCAAGGCTCTGTGTGCAGTGAACATTCTGCAGCAGGAATTCCTTCTCCATGCACACTGTACACTTGGAAAGACTGTTGTCACTCAATAGAGCAGAGAAAGCCAGCAGCTGTTTATGGCTGCCTTTTACATATTCCTTTCCTTACTGACTCTTTCCTTCATTCTATAGGAAAAGTACATTAAAGTAGAAACATGAATCATCAACCTGTATTTATATTGGGTAGAATAATGTTAAGCCTGTGTTGGTACCACATCCTTCATGAAATCCGCTACAAATTGGCTTTCCGTACCTCCACCACCCAGGGAGAACTAATTTAATACAGAGAATATTGGGAAGAAAATTATATTGACTAATGTTAGCTTCTACAACAAATAAATACAAATGAATGTTAATAGAGTAGCTATTAGTAGTAAAGGTCTATCAGTGTTGGAGGAGGAGGATGTGACCTTCTGTCCCTTTGCACAGTTTAGGTACCTGAAACAACTCAGCCATTCTCAAAGTGTTGTTGTTCTTGAAGATCCCTTTTTTTTTTGGTCTTTGAAGTGCCTGTTCATTATCCACTGGCATCATGTTTGTACACATGTCATTGGCCACAGTTTAATTACAGGTCTACCCTTGACTACAAGATAAGCTGAGAAATGTGGTATAGAATTATGCCCAGGAGGTACAATTTATTGATAAACTGCTATCTAGTTTCTGCTTCTGAGATGTAGCGTCAAATTAAATGTAAGATCTAAGGAATTATCCTAAATATCAGTTACTGTATGTATATGTATGTATAAAATAGATATACTAATATATATTTAATTTGGTTGACATTTTACAGTGACACTTAAATTTCATAGCCTCAAAATACCTTTAAAATGTCTGTTTCAACACTTATCTTTATGATGTTTCTGTGTTTTCTGTTGCCAAATTCAATGATTTAAAATTTTTATGAATTGGAAATTTTGAAATTATCATAAGACTACATGTCTAAGGATTATGATATTCTGGTACTTTTGTGTCATTTTGTACTTAACTGTCTTCTGAAAGAGCTACACTGAGTCTAAGCATAGTATTTTCTTTCCTAGTTAGGGAATTCCTTGTAAAGATACAGGTACATTAGAGTAATTCTTCATTCCAGAGCTGGAAAGGGACAGTATTTTGACAATGGGATCTGTGAATCACATGAGAATTGTTGCTCATTTACCAATGAAATAGGTTTTGAAAATTGAAGACAGTGCTATCAGTGTAATGTTAATTGATTGACCAAAAACAAAACAAAACAAAACAAAACAACAAAACAAAACAAAAAACCCTCTTCTTACTTTGTAGACACAAGTAACTAGTTAAATGCATTCTGGGCAATTGCAAGGTAGTACAGAGTAGGATTGAAGTACTATTTATTAAATATTTTTGTGGACATAATCTTTTAATCTTATCTGTTCTTTAACTCATAACTGATTAAAAAATCTGAAAGGATCCACAGATTTCATAAAAAGAGAAAACCCATAAAGATTCTTTCAATGTGTTTTTCAAATTATTTTTACTTGTCTCTGAAAAAGGAAAAGAAAACCAAGCACGTCAAACTGGAAACTTCCAGTTCTAATCAATATCTTGACCTCAATCACAATTTTTCCATCAGTATAATTTGGAAAGGGAAGTGTTAAATGCATTTGAATTGTGATTTATTTTGAAGGGCCAACACTGTGGCTTTGCAGTTCAAGTTGCTGCCTGCAGTGCTGGCATTCCATATAGATCCTGGTTCGAGTCCAGTCTGCTCCACTTCTCTTCCAGCAGTGTGCTAAATTTCCAGGAAAGCAGCAGCAAATGCCACAAATGCTTGGATCTTTGCACCCATGTGTGCAACCTGGAGGAAGTTCCTGGTTCCTGGTTTTACACTGGCCTACCTCCATCATTGAAGCCATTTGGGAATGAATCAGTGGATGGATGATCATCTCTGTGTCTCCAATCTCTCCATCACTCTGACTTTCAAATAAAAGAAATCTTTAAAATATTTGGAAATTTTATATAAAAATATTCTAAGTATTGAATTATTGAGAATTGAAAACTTGAAAAGAATGATCGGATAAAACTTAAGTTTTTGCCGAGAAATATAGCCCTAAAAGCTTAATATTAATATTGTTCTTTTCATCACAGTTTGATTGTAATGTGACCTTGATTTTACTCTTACTAGGATTTGATCAGTTATAATGTAAGATACGGCATATAGAATTTTGTCATAGCAGCCATTTTTTTTTAAAAAAAGTTGGTGAACTAATGCAGATTCCACCAAGCTTAAAGTAGGAGACATATCCCGTTTTACATTAATGAAAGAATTCTATCAGAATGAAGAATTAGGAGCCAAATGTTCTCGTTTCATTTGTATGTTGTTTCAGCTGCACTTCATTGAAAATAGAATTCCTAAAATATAGTTGAATGAACCATCTGCTTTATAGAGATAAGCGAAATAAGTTGACTATCATTACTCTTATTAACAAATATAGTTGAAAACTTTGACAAAGCAAAGCCTTTCTGTAGCTACCTTGTGTTGAGGCACCAGATGCTATCAATGTGATGTGTGTCAATATTCATCTTGTCTGGCTCTCCTATATATAGTCTAAATGCTGATGTGTGAATTCTAATATTTCATTTGTTATATCCCGTGGTGTGCTAAAGTTAGCTCATACAAGCTAGTAAGGGCTGATAATAAAATTAGAAGAATTTTTGCATGCTGTCTGGTTGTTACAAATAATTATTATTAAAAGTTAAATCACATAAACATATAAGTACATAAATTACATTCAGAACAGCAATGTTTCATTTTTGTACCTTAGCTCTTTTTAATTATATTTTCCTGTTTATGGTTCTGTTGAGTTTATTTATGCCAGTTGGATCATTGATAATGCAGGGTCTTTTGTGGTTCTATATGGATTTTAGAATTGCCTTTTCTATTTCTGTAAAACAGACACTTTGAATTTTGACAGAGCTTGTATTGAATTTGTAGACAAATTTGGGTAGCATGGACATTATGTTAATATTTATTCTTTTAGTCCGTAAACATGGGATATATTTACTTTTAGATTCGGTTTCTTTCATTTGTGTTATATAGTTTTACTGTTTAGATTTTTCACATTTGTCATTTTATTCTTTTGTAAATGGAGTCATTTAAGATTTTTTAGGTAATTTATTTATGTAGAAGTGCTAGTGATTTTTGTATGTTGATTTCATATTCTGCCATTTTACTGAAATAATGTCTTGATTCCAATGTTTTTGAATTAGAGTTTCTAGAGTTTTAAGTGTGTCACATACTCTAGCTGCAATAAATAGTATTTCTTATTTTTAGTCTTATTCTGAATCCATTTGTCCTGCATAGGACTATGTTGAGTTCAGGTGAAGGTAGCCATCTTTGCCTTTTTACTCAGGATCATAGAGGACAAGTTTCAGTTTTCCCTGATGAGTGTGGTGTTAGCTGTGGGCTTGTCACATAGAATTATTATTATGTTAAGGTGCATACAATTATTGTTGAGGTTTTTGTATCTCTGCCCATGAACAATGTTGGCCAGTCATCTCCTTTTCTGGCAGTATTCTTGTTTGGTTTTGGTATCAGTGTTGCTGACCTTGTAAAGGAGTGTGAAAATTCCTTTGTCCTCAGTCTTCTTGCAGCGATTTGAGAAGGATTGGCCTGAGTTGTTCTTTAAGTGTTAGATGGACTTCATCAGTGAAACCATCAGATCCTTAAACAAGAATCATTATGAATATGAAAATCTTATCCTGAGAGTGATGAAACATGACAACACATTTCCACTGAGACATAAACAAATTTCAAGTGACTTGTAAGAAAAGCAGTTGTTTGTGTGAGAAGTGTTAACATTTTAGGTTCAGTAACATACTGAAATTATTTATTTGGGAGGTCTAAACACAGGACAAATGGCCAAGATTGGTCTCTGTAATCTTAGCTTGAACACAGCGGGATAGAATAGATTAAATGCTGAAATTTATTTCTAGGGTCGAGGATCAAATCCCAACTCACCATTTGGTTGTGTGCTCTTTGGAGCACATTTTTTCCCCTGTTTTGTGGCATTATGAATAAATATAAAATATGACCTCCTGTGTTTATATTAAATATAAACATACTTATGTATGCATAAATCTGTGAAGGTAAATTTGTATATGTATGAATGTATTATGTAAGTAACTATCAATTGATCTATTGATCTATGTATTATGCCAGCCAAATGTCATTTGTTAATGTCAGTTTAGTTCAAATGTAATAATGTGAACACTGGAAGTATATTAAGTTAGCATAATTTGTTTTGCCTCTTACTATCAGAATATTGGATTGGTCTTACTGTGTTAGCAAAGCTGAAGCTTGGTCTGGTGTGGTGGTGCAGTGAGTTAAACTGCTGTTTGTGGCACTGCTAACGATTATTCAAGTTCCTGGAGTCTAGGCTGCTCCTCTTCAGATCCATTCTGTGCTGATGTACCTGGGAAAGCACCAGAGAATGGTACCAGATCGTCATATGGGAGATGTGAAGGGAGTACTGGGTTGCTAGACGTCTACTTGTCCTAGTCCTGGCTGTTGTGGCCATTTGGAAATTGAAACAGTGGATAGAAGGAATCTCTCTCTCGCTCGCTCTCTCTTTCTCTCTGTGTAAGTGTGTGTGTTTCTTTTCTTTTTTTAATAATGGTTTTTCATATTGACATCATTTCATCTTAAATTAAGGCAAACGTGGTATCTGACCTTTTGGGATTGGCTCATTTCCCTTAGCATAATGGTTTCCAGTTGGGTCCATTTGGCCACAAAAAACTGCGGGTTTTTTGTTTGTTTGTTTGTTTTGTTTTTTTAATAGCTGAGTAGTATTCCATGGAGTAAATGAACCATAGCTTTCTTATCCAATCTTCTGTTGATGTGCATTTCAGTTGCTTCCAAGTTTTTGCAATTATTGATTGTCCTGCTATGAACATAGGGATGTGTTGGCAACGCCCACGTCGCCACATACCCCGAGCCTAGCAGAGGGACTAGGGTTATGAGACAGACAAGACAGACAACACACACAACACACAGAGGCTCATTCTTGTGAAGTGAAGCCCTTTATTCAAAGTGGAACTGCTCTTATATAGTCTGCTTGGCCCCTCCCAGGATTTTCCCAATGCTTAAGCAACACCTAAGCGCCCCCCAAGGGAATGCAAAAAGGGGAAGCAGGAAGGAGAGAAATTGCAGTCAAGCCAGGAGCTAAATGTATCAGGCCAAGATTGCCCTTCCTGTTACACCTTGAGAACCACAGCTTATGTGGAGTTAACGCTTGGGAGACCGGGGCCTACAGGGGTGCATGTTGGTTTCTCGTGTAACAAGTGTTTTGGATATATTCCTAGGAGTGCTATTGCTGGATCTTATGGTATGCAGATTTTGAGTTGTTTGAGTGTTCTCCATACTGATTTCCATAGAGGCTGTACAAGTCTGCAGCCCCACCAGCAGTTGAGTAGGGTTCTGTTTTCCCTGCATCCTTGCTAGCAAGTGTTGTTGGTGGTTTTTTTGGTATGCGTGCCATCCTTACTGTGTTAGGTGGTACCTCATTGTTGTCTTCATTTGGATTTTCTTTATTGCCACGGAGCTTGAGCATTTTTTCATGTTTGTTTGCCATTTGGATTTGTTCCTTTGTGAAATGTTTGCCCGTTTCCCATGCCCATTTCTTGAGTGGTTGGTTTGTTTTGGTGTTTTGGTTGTTCTGGAGATCTTTGTATATTCTGGAGATTATCCCCCTATCTCCTATGTAGTGCGTGAAGATTTTCTCCCATTCTGTGGGTTGTTGATTGTTTCTGTTTCTTTGTGTATCACTCTGCTTTTCTTTTTTTCAAATATTTTGTCAAGAAACATGGAAGATTTTGTAAAATCCAAAGTTCCATTATTTGGGAATGTGTATTTTATGGGTGTATTTTTTTAAGCTAACACTTTTGAGGTTGTTAGAATTTTAATGTATTGTTTCCTTGTTTTTAGTTACAGATAAGCATCAGTTCAAACCAGAGCAGATGTTATATAGATTTCGCTATGATGATGGAACATTTTATCCAAGAAATGAGATGCAGGATGTGATTTCGAAGGTAAGGACTTCTATTACAACATCTTCAGCAGAAGAGTTGTGTTGTCATCCTTCAGAAAGCCAAAAAACTAGTGAAAGATGTAAAAACTCCTTTAAGTGTGGAAACCTCATAAACTGAATTTACAAATAAACCTATTTTGTTAGTATTCTAGAAATTCTAATGTGAGGCTATTTTTATGTTCTCCAATCTAGTTCTGAATGAAGTAGTGGCATTCTGTTACTTAAGAGGTCATATATGTTGTAAATGGTTTCCTATGTATCAACAGGTGGTCCTGACACTTGAATTAGTACAAAGCAAACACATACACACATACATGTATAACAAAGGTAACACCAACTTTGTATGTACACGTGACAAAATTTATATTGACATGATGGTCATGTTATTTAACGATTTAAGTCGGTGTCATGTGATGTAACATGTGAATGATTTTTGAGATTGTGAAATGATTTGAGACAATTGACAGTGAACTTCTTTCAGATTATCGTTGCCATGCCCTTGAGTGTTCTCACTTCCTTTTGACATATCTTGATTTCATGCAGGGTGTAAGATTATATTGTCGTCTGCACAGTCTGTTTACACCAGTGATAAGGTGAGTCGGATTTCTAACTTCTGGAAAGCTTAAATGGAAATGCTTATATTACATATCACTAAGTAACAAAAAGGATAAAAGAATGAGTTTTTGTGGACTACCTACAACCTTCCCTATCACAGATACGCTATAAATATTTTGGGTAATAATACTAACAGAACTACATAACAATTGAATGCTTAATGTTTTTCCTCTATTAAACTAAAATAAAAAATAATAGTTTAATTTACCATGTCACTTGTGTATATGAAGATTGTGTGACAGTGTTAATATGTTGTGATAATGTTATAGCCATAGATATTTTATCAACAAAGTTTTGTTTTTTATTATTTATTTTTAAAAAGATTTATTTATCTTTATAGGAAAGGCAGGTTATACAAAAGGAGAGACAGAAAGATCTTTCTTCTGCTGGTTCACTGCCCACATGGCTACAATGGATAGAGCTGAGCCCATCTGAGCCAAGAACCAGGAACTTCCAGGGCTTCCATGCAAGTGCAGTGTCCCAAGGCTTTGGGCCATCCTTGACTGCCACAGGCAGGAAGCTGGATGGGAAATGAAGCAGACAGTATATGAGATCATGCCCATATAGGATCTCAGCGTGTTCAAGGCGAGGATACAGCCATTGAGCTATGGTGCCCGGTCCCAAAGGTTTATTTTATAAGAGCTGTTAAGAAGGAATTGTTCTTTGGCTAGAAGTAATGTTATGAGTTGTCATGAAAAATACATAGGAAAAAGTTGTGAGGCAGAAGTAATATATGCTAACCATGCTTTGTAGGAACTTGGCTTATAAGAAGAATGGTAGCACTGCCTGAGACCCCTTGTAGATGACTCTTTTCTTTGCTTGGAATATTCTAGAAACCAAGATGAGTTGAATGATGACAGATTTAAGATAATAATGCTGTTAATTATTGACTATAAATGTAGCCGATTTATTAGTTATTAATAAAAGAGTAATGTAGTCAGTTTGTTAATGAAATCTCAGAAATCTTGGTTGTATTTTGGGAAGTGTTTTAATGGAGTTGCTAGAATGCTATAACTCTTCATTGTAAATTATTGACCACAGCTAAGGGGCAGCAACTTAGGTTAGTATTACTTCCTTCTCATTTTTAGCATTGTAGATTTTGTGACAGCTTGAAAAATCTGTCATTCTCTCATTCCCTTTTTGATCCAGGCCCAGAAAATAAATGAATTATAGATTTCTACTCTCAGGGCTTACATCTGATCGTATTCGTTGGTGTCTAATTAAATGTAGAATAGTTTCTCAGTTCTCTAAAGTGCTGAATGAAGAGGCTGCTGGACGCAGCCAGCCTAATCCCCTGTTTCTCTGGGGATGTGGTGTCATTGTGTCCCACTCTGATCAGACCCTGTGCATGGCAGGCTGTCCGTGTGTCTCTCCTTTAGGACAGGACTGCTGGCTTTGCACTGCACCAGAGGTGAACGTATACAAGAAAGCCCGTCGTGCGATTGTAGTGGACACTCTTTGTTTTTACTTTCCACATTTCAAAAATTTTTCTGGTGGAATCTATTATAATTTCAAAGGAAGGAATTCTGTTATTTTCTTGTTTCATTGGTGAAGTATTGTATTTCTGGCTAAAGTATTATGCAAAATAACAATGGCAGTCATCTGCTGGATAGAGGAAAATACAGAGAAAGCGTCCCATTTATTTACTTACTTATTTATTCTTGATGGACCACTTCCCACAGTATGAACTGACAGATGTGTTCTCAGTTATTGCACGTTTCATAAATCTCTTCACTGCACAACTTGCAGCACAGATTCGGATCATGCAGGTGAACTTCCTGTTGCACACTAATGCTGAATGAAAGTGTTCCTGGTGCTTGCTTTATCCACTTGCTTATTGTTTTTGGTTTCTTTCTTTCAGAGATAAAGATTACCATTTAAGGACCTACAAATCTGTGGTCATGGCCAACAAACTGATAGACTGGTTAATTGCCCAGGTAAATGGACAAGCAAAAGTCGCTGAGTTTAATTCATTACTGCCTTAAACTTTGAGCATGTGGGTTATACATCATTTTTTGTAATAGCTGCCCAGAGATGAGAAGTAGTGAAGTAACTTGCTCGCATTCATACAGCTAATGGGAAAATTTATGAATAGACCCAAATTTAAGTATCAGACACCATCAATTGTTATTGCTTAGCTTCATAGAAAGACAGCATGGGAGGAGTTAGAAGTGGGAAATATGAAAATGTAATGATGAAAGCAAATTAAATCTATTAATCTCTTATTAAGAAAATATTATCAAAAAATAAAAGCCTTGTTTCAGCAAAACTCAAATACTCTTCCAATAATGGCTAAGGCGTTGGACAGATATGAATCTATTTAGAAACTGGAGAAAAGAACTAGCTCCCATTAAATTGTCTATAGATTGGGAATACATTCCATATCCTAAAGTGTTTCTCATGCTTTATGATGTGTTGTACAATTTCATATTGGGAAACATTGTGACTCGTGCTTTCTCCTTCAAACATTCTTCACTTACTATTGTGCTGCTTCTAGCATCATGGTTTAAAGTAAAATAACTTAGCGGCAGAAGTTCACTCCTTGGCAAATGAATTGCATAACTTCTAAAACACCATTTAGTCTATGTAAGTTGTAGTGTCACATTTCAAAATTTAAACAGTGTCTCATACCTTTATAGTTTTTGCTGTGCTTTCTTAGTGTTCACCAAATCTATGTGGTTACATGAAAACTTTTTAGAGGTATAAGAGTTAAAACATTACAGATCATATTTTTCACATAAGTGTATTCAGTGTAGTTTATTAGCTGACCAGCACAGATTTTGAATAATTAATCAAGTAAAGCACTCATATGTAAATTAATGTTAAACTAGCAATCATTGTAACCATGCCATTTAAACGAGTGCTTTGTTGATTAGAATAAAATGAACAAAATAGGAGACAGACTTGGATTTTGACTTCAGGGGGGCTGTTGGTCAGTTGGGCTGATTTCGGGGGCAGGCTATTTTTATAAACTCAGACTCCATTACAGTATCACTTCTCCCAGGAAACCTTATTGGTTAAAACCTGGGCTAAGAGTGCTCCTCTGTGGTCCCAGTTCACCTACTGGTCCTTTTCTGAGATCCCAGTTTACCTACTGAGTACATCTGTTTGATGAGAATACTGACTGCATTTGCTATGGTTGCTGTTATACACCACAACAAGTGGCCAGTTTATTATATTCGGGTGACATAAAGAAAAGTGTTTGACTGTCTTAATATTTTATCTCTATTACTGGACATGATATATAAAAACATATCTTTGAGTGAATGCATAAAAATTATGAAACTGATTTTGAAGAAAGCCAGGAGAATAAGCTGGAGTAATAGGTAAGTGCTTGGGTGTTAGCAAGATTAGATTGGTGAGGACCCAGTTTAAAGCTCAGTGACTAGCTCCTCGCCTTACACACAACGGGAACCCATATGGATGCTGGTTTGTGTCTCGGCTTCTCCACTTTCCATCCAGCTCCCTGCTTGTGGCCTGGGAAAATAGTAGAGGAAGGCCCAAAAGACTTGGAATCCTACAACCATGTGAGAAACCTGGAGGAAGCTCCTGGCTGCTGGCATTGGATCGGGTTAGCACTGGCTATTGTGGTGAAGGGCAACATTCGAAAGGAGCAGCACAGGTCTTCCAGTGCCAAAACTACTTCATTGGCTCATTCACTTCACATACCATCAGCTTTTCGAGCAGACCTCCTGGAAACCTTGTTTGGTCACCTCTCCTTCAGTGCCCAAAGAGCACAGGATGATGAAATCAAGCATGTTGAGCACCCACACAAAACAAGGATGTAGATACTCACTCCGGGCGCTAACCAGTGAACCAGTGGGTGGAAGCTCACTCTCTCTGTTTCTCCTTCTCTCTATAAGAGAAACTTAGCAAGTGAACTGTAATTAAGCAGACATACCAGATTTTTTTTTCTTAAGACCTTCCACATTCTGCATATATTCCATATTCTGCAGTTCACTTGCTAAGTTTCAGCACCTACAGCCTTTGCTCCAGACACATTGGTCTTCCCTACTGTTGACTGAATGCTCTGGATTCACATTTCCCATGTCATTGTGCAAACCCACAATGCCATTCTTTTTATTATCACACCTTTTAAATTCCACTTTACCTGTAAAAGATCAAGGTATGTTCCACCTAACACTGTGCCAACTGCAACCCTCACCAACCTAATCTTTTTTTTTTTTGGAAGATTCATTTCTTTTTATTGGACGTGCAGATTTATAGAGAGAAGGAGAAACAAAGAGAGCGAGCTTCCAGACTGTGTTAGACAATGTTGTCTGTTTTAAACTGTGGAATATGAAATTCCTGAGCAAGAAAACTGCACTCTATTAAAATGTGAAAGAAAGCCCAGAAAATATTTCATAATTTAGAACAAAGGTGAAACAGATGACATATTAGTGTTATCAGTAGAAATGGAATCAAAGCCTGAGAAAAAAGAGAACACAGGTGTTTCCTTTTCCTGACTGACCCTATCTGCTGATTCACTCCTCAAATGGCCATCACACCCAGAATTTGGGGCTAGGGCTGGATTAAGGAGCTATGAAAACAATCTAGATTTTCTATGTAGGTGGGAGTCGGCTGGTTAGTTTTGTGAGCTCTCACCGCTACCTCTTACAGTCTGGATAGGCAGGAAGCTGTTGTCTGGAGGAGAACGTTGTGTAACGCAGGCGCTGTGATATAGGCTGTGGCTGGGCCATCTAGACTGCCAGGGCAGAGTCTGTCCAGAGAGAGTTTGGGCCAAAATGTAAGACTGATGAGGGCACCATGGCATAATAAGTGAGAAAAAGTTGTATGAACTGTAAAACATAGCTAAGATTATATGTACATGATACATATGCATTCATGTATGTACATGGATTCTTATGTATATGAGTTACAGATGCTTCCTAGCTCAAAACCATAAAGGAAAGGTTTGTTTTGGGCTATGTTGTTGTGTTCAGTTATGTGACATGATTATTTTTTGGCAAGCTAGTGAATAAAAAGCCTGCATTTGCTGGTTCAGCTAAACAGTTCAATCTTAAAATTTTAGACATCACCAAAAATCAATAGATGACTTTATGTGTCTTTCAAAAGCAAGGCCACATGGTAGAATGGAGGTTAGTCACCAGGACCATGCACAAAGACTTTCATTTACCTTGAATATGTTGTTTTGTTCAGTAACAGGCTATTTCTCTATTACATAATAGGGATAGAAGAAATAAGAGAATGGATTCATTTCTAAGAAGAGTAAAGTTTCATTATATATTTTTATGTTTGATGAAGGATTTTTTCTCTGTATAGCAGAATCACACATCAAGGAAAACATAATTTGTTTTTTCGGGGCTGGCATATTTCACTAAACATAATAATTTTCAATGACATCCGTTTTTGTTGCAAAAAAGGATCCCATTCTTTTTTAAAAAGTTAATTAACTAATAATTTTTACTGCAAAGTCAGATTTATAGAGGGAAGGTGAGACAGAAAGATCTCCCATCCACTGGTGCACTCCCCAAGCAGCTGCAACAGCTGGAGTTGTGCTGATTCCAAGCAGGAGCAAGGAGCAACCTCTGGGTCTCCCACGTGGGTGCAGGGTCCCAAGACTTTGGTTGTTCTACTGATTTCCCAGGCCACTAACAGGGAGATGGGTGGAAAGCGGAGCCTTTGGGACACAAACTGGCGTCTATATGAGATCCCGGCACATGCAAGCATTTTAACCACTAGGTTACCCTGCTGGGCTAATCCTGTTCTTTTTTATAGTTGATTAGTATCCCATGATGTACACATACCATACTTCCTAACATACAGAGTAACTAAAGTAATGTGTGTGAGTAAAACTGAGATTTTGATCAGTGATTAAAGCCCTGGCATGTACTCTTGAGGAACAGTGGTTTTTCTATTTAAAAAACAGATTTTTTTCCTCTTTAGTTTTACTTATTTTTTTCCTTAATGTCAAAAGAAAATGTTTTCATAATCAAGTGAATGCGTTATAGGAATGAGTTCCATTGTGTCTTATGAAGCCATGCGTGGTACAACACATGATAGTTTTCTTTTTGTGCCATGTTGGGGATGGCACAGGTGGTAACGCTGGAACCAAGTCTGTCTTTGCCTTTTATTTCATACAGTATATATATTTTTAATCGACAGGGGGATTGCCGCACCAGAGAAGAGGCAATGATTTTTGGCATCGGACTTTGTGACAATGGATTCATGCACCACGGTAGGGAAGTTTCTTCTTGGTAGCCTACAGGTGTATTTCACTCTTTACTTTTCCTTGGGGACCTCACAGTATCTCAGTGCTCCCCAGAGGTCAGCATGACTGAATCCACGCTATTTCATTGCTGATGTCATTCTTGTTTCTAATTGCTACTTCTCACCAATAGTCATGGCTTGCTTCTGATTTTCCTACACTGTCCTGACTCCAGAGAAGCAATGGTTTCAGTACCACCTTTGTTACTTTTTTTGTTTCAGTTCATTTATGTCTTTGAAAATATTATTGAAATTATTTTTAATATTTTCCATAATGCAGTTTTATAGGTATAGAGATTACCCCTTTTCTCACCTCCCGCTTTTCCTCACTTTCCCCTCCCACTCTCCCTCCTCCCTCCCAGCCAATATTATTACAGCAGTGAGCACATGCAACATTTTGCCACATTCCAGCAACAGTTACAAATTCAACATCCTGCTGCCCACATGAACCATGGCATTGTAGCTATAAATAAAGGCAGAAGACCCAACATGAGATTACTGAGGTGTATTAACTAGTTCACTGGGAGACTGTTACGAATTAGTTTCATGAATTTCTGAAGGTGTGTTAGAGTGATTGAATGAGAGCACATATTGTAGAATATTTGTACATTTTTAGGGAAATGTTTTCCAGATTACTTTGAGCAAAATTACAGGTTCCTGAAAAAACTAATGGAGTCTTTTTAGCCATTGAAAATTAATCTCTTTCAATGTTTTACCTATCTCTTGAACTACTGAAAGTAGAAAGATTCATTTTTTTCTCTTCTATTGATAGAGTATATAAACCTGGTCTTTTTGATTATTGACATAATATGATTATGAAATGTTTTTGATAGGAATTATCCCCATTTTTCAGTTTTTTCCAAGGAATTATTATTACATTTTAGTGAAGGAAAGAATAAAGCAAAAATTACATCTATGTTGGCACTGTGTAGCTATATTTTTCTTGGAGATCCATCCAGTTTCACTCTTTCTGGATCCCTGTGTGGGTTTTGATGAAGTTTCAGGGTCCTTAAAAAACAAATATGGAGTGAGAGAACATAATCATACTTTGGATTACTGAAATGATATAATCAAACTGAAAATTTAGGTTATTTTCATCTTTGGAGGTAAAGTATTGCTGTAAATTAGAGCTATAATTTCTCTAAACATTACAGCCAAACTTGCAGTTAAGTCAATTTTCCAAACAAGATTTGTCAGTGAAGTACAATTGTCCTGACACATGCCTGTGTTGCTTGGTGGCCTGTCTTGCTCCTTTTGACAAACTATGAATTGTGAACTTTGGAAAACTAAGTGCATGAATAACTCAATCCAAAATCCATCTTTTCTATTGTCAATCATGACCCGGTTTTAATTCATAGCAGATAATTTTATTTGTAGACTCATGTTGCCAGGCAGTCTTTCCATTCAAAATATGCTCATCCATCTGGTCAACAACTGTTTGTTGAGTTCTGATAAAATAATGAAATAAATTAGGGGTTTTTTTTGGTTACTTAAAATTGTCCAGTACTTGCGTGTATTACTTCATCTTAGCTTTGTACAACATTATGGACATTTTATTGCTGCTATTTTATAGATGAGAATAAAAGTTGAGAGGTTTTCAGTAACTTTCTCAATGTCACACTGAGAATCAGTCTCTGGGGTGTGAGAGCAAGCTGTGTCCTCACAAAGGCTGATGCTCTCTGCTCTCTGCTGTGCCTTGGGACTGCTGTCTTCCCTGTAAAGCTTTCAAGGCGTCAACCTGTCCCAACAAGTACACTCTGAATTATTGAAGGGCAGTGGAATGAGAAATGGAGGAGACCTCTTTTCTTAAGCATTGTTCTAATTTTCAGGTTACTCTTGCTACTATTATGAAGGTATATTTTAAACTAAAGCTACAAAAGCATAAACCTTTTGTTGCTAATGTGTGCCAGGAGTCTCTAGGGGATTTGGAGATAAAATAGTAGCATTTGCATATTGAGAATAAAAACATTGACTTTTGCAGAAATAGGATTATTCAAGTTTGTTTTATTTAAAATGGAGTACTAAGAGTTTGTAGGAGGTAAACGCACATTCAGAAGACACATGAAAGTGACCACACGTGAATTATTTACACATAAAAGGACAGCACTTCACTCATTTGCATTTTCCCATGATTGTGCAGAAGATTAAAGACATGCTGAAAGTATTTATTGCAAGTTGGAAAGCATCATGCATTTATTTAGTTATTCATCTGAAAGAGAGACAGGGAAGTAGAGACAGACATGGAGTTCTTCTGTCTACTCTTTTGCTTTCCAAATATTCGCAATAGTCAGAGCTATGCCAGGCTGAATCCAGGAGCCAGGAACTCCATTCTGCTCTCCTAAATGGGTAGCAGGAAGCCAAGTCCTTGAAGTATATTCTGCCTTCCTGCTGGAGCAGAGAACTAGACCTGGAGCAGAGTAGTCGGACTGAAACCAGCAGTTTGTTATGGAATGCCGACATTACCAAGTGAATTTTGCTGCCCCACAACACTGCCTTCATTTCTTTGTTTTTACATGCTTTTGGATTGAGAAGAAGAAAGAGAGAACTCTTCCATCCACCGGTTCAACCCCGAATAGCTTCAGTGGCTACAGCTGAGCCAGACCAAACACAGAAGATGGGTTTTGCATGGATACTAGAGCCCCAGAATTGGAACATCATTTGCTGCTTTCCCAGAAGTATTAGCAGGGAACAAGATAGAGTTCTGGACAGTACAGCATCTGGGATGTGAACCAGTGCCCACATGGAATGCTGGCATTCCAGGTAGTGGCTTAACTCACTCTGTCACAACACTGGCCTCTCATTTTAATATTTGTATTTTGATTTTAATCTGAAAAGTGACAGACTTGGTTAAGTACAAAAATGTTAAAATCAAAAACAACACTAGTTAGTTTATAAATTCAAAACTCTTGAAGCCATGTTTAAAGACATTGCTGCTTTGGAATTAAAGAGAGAAAACCCCAGGAATTTTTGTGAATGTGACTTGTCCTAGGTATAGGAAGTTGAGGTATTTGTAGATATTTATTTATTTACCAAAAACATCCAAATGTGGAAAAAAGACTGATTTTTGTATTAATTGGAACAATTCAATCTTTCTGTTTCTGTAGTCCTTGAAAAAAGCGAATTCAAGGATGAGCCACTACTTTTCCGTTTTTTTGCGGATGAAGAAATGGAAGGGTCAAATATGAAGCACCGGCTTATGAAGCATGATTTAAAAGTTGTGGAGAATGTCATAGCCAAGTCATTGTTGGTAAGTTTATTGAATTAAATTTTCTTCTCGGTTGGAGATCAGCAGGAGAGTACGCCAGCACTCTTGGTGGGGCTGTGTTTTAACAACTCATTTTCTTTGATATCTTTTCACTCTTGTTTCGTCAATAATGGTAATGTTTTTGCATTTCAGATCAAATCTAATGAAGGCAGCTATGGCTTTGGGCTAGAAGACAAAAATAAAGTTCCAATAATAAAGCTGGTAGAAAGGGGATCTAATGCTGAGGTAATATAAATTAAGAATTTTCTTGCAAATTGATATAGAAGTTCCAAATAAATTGAAATTGATCTTTCCAATGTATTTACTGAAACTAATATCCATCACAAATAAGAAAGCTTGCTGTCTAACCCAAGTGTGAGAGCTAGGAGGGTGGGGTAGGTAGTGTAAAAGCTGAAACTTCTAACTGTGAGCTTCTTACCTTCATGGGTAGCTAAGTGGCCTTTTCTGAGTCTCTGGGGCTTCTCTAATCAATGACTCCAACCTGGAACCCTTTGGGTGTGATATAATGTTGGACTATACTACATGAGATAATTGTTTTGTGCCATCAAGGGCTCTGCCTTCCAACTCACTGCCACCTTTGATCAACATGTTTATGGATATAACTCCCAACAGTGGAACACATGCTTCGATTTATTTTCTCATGAAATCAGCACTGTTTGAAATTGTTTCACTTCACATACCTTGTCAACAAAGAAATCTCCTCATCATTCCATCACACATTTATTTAATACATATTGTATGCTGATCTGTGTTCTAAGTTTTGGGAATATAGCAATGAACCAAAAAGAAAATAAAAAAGATATATTATGTTTGCCTTGATTTAACTTGTAATTTTTGTTTGGTTGTTGGTTATTTTTTGAACCTGTCATTGATACTGTCTCAACCCAGATGTTTCGAAGAATGGAACTTGCATTATTTTTAACATATTGTTTACCCAATACTATGTCAATTAATTCCATAATGTTGTATATTGACACTGAGGTTTTGTTGGGGCTTTTAACTGACCGGATCTTTACTCTGTTAGCCCTATCTTCAGACTATAGAAGGTCTCCCCAAGAGGCCACTGAACTTATCTGGACAATAAGACGCTGGACTTTATGCTAGATATGTGTTTGCAAGGAACAAATCTCAACTGAACTTGAACTGTGGTTATGCAACAAGGTGGAGGAATCCACCATGGGGGGAGGGGTATGGGAGGGGTGGGGGGAATCCCCAGTGCCTATAAAACTGTATCACATAATACAATGTTAACAACAATAAAAAAAAAAGATATATTATGTCCTAATGAAGTCCTATGATATAGCCCAAGTATGAAATTTTTGAAACTCCTTCAGTTTTTGAAGTACTATCATCTTACAAGCTGCCCAACTTGTAAGACACATAATATTCAAATAAATGTCTCCTTATTTAGATCTTTCTTAGGGCATGTGAGAATTCATGAAACCTAGTTTTTAGCCTGAATTTATTTAAAGTTGGTGGTTTGTATCTTTTAGCAAAACACAAATGAAAGACAAAGGTTTCCCTCTAGCAAACTAATTTCAAACAAAATCTCATGTTGTTAGGGGACCTGGCCAACGAATAAATACCTTTACTGATTTTCTATGAGAAGGGAATGTTTCTCTTTGACGTTTTAGAGCATGTTCACAGGGCACAGCTTCCTTGGCTCTGCTGATGAAGGGCCTACTATATGGTCTTTGTTATTTAGCCAACAACTGAATCAGCAGGTAGTTTATGGGCAGCACTGCTGGTTAACGAGAATCCTGTGATGGGCATACGGGGGCACTGGCTTCCTTGTCCTCTTCTCAGCATTTTGCACATCAACAGCCCTGTGTTGTCAGAGTTCTCTCTCATGGATCTCATGTCGCTTCTGTACTCTGTGTCAGAGATATTAAAGCTAACATCAGGCCACACATGCATATTTGCTGGTAGTCAATATCTGTGTGTCTACACACACAAGTTGAAACTCTTTGAATTAATTGGATATAAATTAAGATATTGCAGAGAGGATAGTCGAGTGCAGCAGTAAAGAGGCTTCTCAGGATGCTACATTCCATATTGCAGGGAGCTGAGTTCATGTCTCAGTTCCACTTCCAGCTCTGGCTTCCTGCTGATGTGTAGCCTGGTATGCAACAGTTGATGGCTCAGATTAGGGATTCTCTGCAAGATTCCATTTGGGCTCCAGGCTCCTGCCTTCAGGCGATCCAGGCCTGGATGTTGTAAATGAAGCAGGGAAAGGAATGACTGTCTATGGTTCTATTTCTCTCTCTCTCTCTTTTGCTTCCTGGCTTTTTAAAAAGTCACCTATTGTTTGTGGTTAAAAGAATGAAGTAAGAAAAAATAACTGTGAAATACAATAGAAAAAATAATCACAAGAGGATTGTCATGTCATTGCAAAGAAGGAAATGGGAAAAAATTCAGTAAAGCTGTGTGATCAAATTTAAAACTAGGTCGAAGAGAATGATAGCTTTGTTAAGTCATTCACGTTCTGATTTGTGCATTTGTATAGTTTGTATACAACCATTGCAGATGCATTAAAATGTGTAAATCCTGAATATTTTCAGTTTCCAATTTCATGAAAAAGTAGATTTCTTATTTCACTATAATTTGCATTTTTTTTTTTTTGCAATCTCTCTATTAGATGGCTGGCATGGAAGTTGGGAAAAAGATCTTTGCCATTAATGGTGACCTGGTTTTCATGAGACCTTTTGATGAAGTGGATTGCTTCCTGAAGTCATGCTTAAATAGCAGAAAGCCTCTGCGAGTGCTTGTGAGCACAAAGCCAAGGGAGTAAGTTGTATTGATTCATGCGGAGTTTTGGTGGAATAATTACCCATCAGTGTGTGGAGTAGAAATATCTAAGTAAATGTTTATAATGAAGCACGTTAATTTTTTGGAACATTTGAATTTCATCAGCATCACTAATACTTGTCTTTAGATGATAAAGAGAACTGCTTTTTTATCATGCTTGCTAAATTAGGTATTTAAGCAGAAATAATGCTTTTGGGATACTTAAACTTTCTTGCTTTTAGGTAACCTGAATGTAATTCAATAAGAAAAGTCAGCAGGACACTGGAGAATAAAGAAGTGCATATTTGAGACTGGCATTGTGCTAGAACAAGTTAAATGTCTGCATTTGCTGGCATCTCATGTGTGTGCCAGTTTGAGTCCTCGCTGTTCAGTTGCCCACCTATCTCTTGCTATTGTACCCTGGGAGGCAGCTTGGGTCCCTGCCTTACATGTGGAACTCCAGGATGGAGTTAAGGCTTCTGACTTTAACTTGCTCCAGCCCTGGCCATTGTGGTCATTTTAGGAGTGGACCGTTAGACAGGAAAACAGTTCATCCTCTCTGTCCCCTTCCCTCATAGAGCTACATAGAAAAAAATATAAAACTGTAAGAATTTCTGGTGCTATGAGTTAATTAGCTTGAACTGATTAATGGATATTTCCAGATGGGATCAAGACTGAAAGATTCCATGTTTGTATGTGTTCAGTAATATGCCAGTTGCTTTAAAAATATCTATCATCTAGCTTTTAATGTGTTTACAAGAATACTTTACAAATTCAAGAGAAATTGAAACAAAAGGCACATGTGTTTTGGTGCTAAAGGTTTTGAAGTACCTGTATAATTTCTCACAATGCGCATTTTCCACGAGTTTTTGAAGTATCCTATCGTCTAGCATCTAGCAATCATTGGAAAAATATTCGTGTGTATTAAAATTTAGAGAATAAAATTATTCTAAAAGAAAATATTTTTCTTATAATCATATATGATCCACAAATAGCAATTTAATGTTTTTAAAGTATTGATAAACATATACATAGTCATATTTTATAGCATTGAATCATGTTTTATATACTGCTTAGGTGATTTTTTCATTAAAATATTAATCATATGCTTGAAAGACGCTGGATGTTCTTTTGCAAATCATTTCCATCTACAGTGTGGTATTCATTTATCTAATGTGCCATGGTTGTTTATCCAATTGATCAATTGAGATAATAAGTCACTTAGCATAATGTCTTAAAATGCTATGATTATATCAAAATTACTTAAAAATCTACTGACGGCAGTTATTGAGGGTAATGAGTAATATCATTAATTTTAAGATAAAATCAGTTTATCATTTCACAAATGAAAGATTATTTTAGCTACTCATAGAAATAATGATAAGTGTATATAGTATTCCTTCCTTGCATTATTTATTATGTATGTAATATATGCATTACATGTTCAGAGTAGCAGGGAGCACTGCATTCCATCTTGAGTTAAATTGCAATGTATCACGCTAGATTTCCTAGTATAAGTCTATGCTTACCACAGTGTTAAGTCATTAAGAAAGATGCTTTAGCTTCTGTGACCAGCTTAGGAAAACGTATCTCACTGAAACTATTAATTTAGAAAAGCTGGGCTAGAGGGTAGAAAAAAACCACAATTATTAGCACTTTTTCCTATACCTAGGATAGATTACCTAGCTACCTCCCTACTGCTGTTTTGGGGACATTGGAAGAAAAGACAGACTGACAGGAGTCCTATTTCAGAGCAGTCATTGGTAGTGGTAAAAGGTGCTGCTATGGCTCTCTGATGTAATCCCTTGAGGCGTAGACGTTTCAGCAGCTGGGAGACTTAGAGGTACTCTGTCTCAAGACTAAGTATCCAGAGGCAAATCCTGGGTCCTCGAATTAGCTGCTGGGACAGCAGAGTCGGGAGCTTTGTTTTCACACTCGTCCCTAAGTGTTTGTTGCACAAAATCTAGAACCTGAGATGCCAGGTTCACGCCTCTCTTCCAATACTTGCTAAATGTGTAACTTTAATGTCCTTATCCTTAAATGGGAATACGAGTACCTTTGCCGTGAGGCTCCCAAGAACACTAAATAAATGTAGGTTTGTGGAAAACAAAGTGTTCATACCACAATATCCCGTGATGTTAGATAAGATACTCTCATGCATTTTCTGATTTATTTCACTCCATTACTTTTTTTTCTTTTATTACATCAGGTACATATTTGTATTCATTAGAAAAGTTCCTTGATGGCATACTTACCTCTTCTTTTTAATTTGTTTGAAATTTATAACCCTTCCATTATGCCAATTTTCTAGCATATGGATACTGTGAAACCAGTCTCATATTTTTCTTGTAATACTGTTTGGGTAATTTAAGTAGCAACATGTTTGGAAAGAAAAATGTCAATAAATGAGAGGTAAAGGCAAGAGAATACCATGGAACTTTTCAAATGTGTGTAGTAGATAATTTAGTACTTTTATTTCCTGCAAGAAATAAAACATTCTTTTTGTGTAAATGTCATTCTTTTAATAGTTTCTTGTGTTTCCACTAGGGAAACATATTTGAAAGTGTTCAACCTATTAAGGAGTCCCATCGTTTCAATCAAAAACATCTCATGATGTTCTGTACAGTTTAATAAAAGAAAAAATGTAATGGTCGTCTAGAAGATTATAGCAGAGTAATGATTTTGTTTAGGAAGGTTGGAGAGGCTGCCTAGAATTGCCCATAATTAAAGAGCAAGCATCATTCATGGCCTGAAAGCTGACGTTGTTTTATCGAACGTAAATTATCATTCAAATCTAAAAGCATGACCCGACTCTGTTATTGTCTCCCCCCTCACCAGAATATGAAGCTATTCCAAATTTTCACTTAGTTATTTCTAATTTTCAGTAAAATTGAAAATCACTATGACATTCATTAGTACCTATGTGCTGTTCAGAGGAAATGGATGCAGCTCTGTACTCCAGAAGGTTGGAGGGAGTTTGAAGGGTAAATGAATTCTGTGACTGCCATCCTAGGTCATGCGTGAAGTTTTGGTAGTAAGTGTTGCCTGCTGGCCTAACTGCGGTCTATAGCTGTTGTTTTAGGCAGACAGTCCTGTGCACACTCTCTCCAATAGCTGTTTCATAAACTGCAGGTAGGTCCTGCTGTTCCTAACTCCACCAGCTAGCAGCTACAGTGCCCTTGAAGCGGTGACATTTATTTCCTGCTTAATTCATCTTTTGTAAAATGCTTAGTTCTTGGGCATCGAGTGTTATCCATCAAAATTTATTACATTGTGTTCATTTGTATTTGCTCTCTACTGCAATTTTTTGTACTCGTTTTTATTGTTATGATGATCCATCTTGTGTTCTCTGCTTCTCGTTGCTGCTGTCTGATTGCTGGCTTCCTTCTGTGGAGTGTCTCATTTATGGGTGACAAATTGAACATCCTTCATTGGTTTTCCATGACAGCTGACTCACAATCCCCATCCCTTGATATTTTTTTTTCCTTGTGAGTTCACTGGAAAGACTCCTTTTCTTTTCAAATTTACCTTTTGATGTATTATCCTTTGAAAATCTGACTGCACAGAAAAGGCATTAATGATATTCTTAAATTATTTTGAAGTCATGTTTGACAGATCTACTCTTTATAACCAGTTCTTTATTGGTATACTTTGATGAGGTTCCTGACAGGTAGAAAAACATTAACTCTGTTCTTTTATATGAACTTTTATAAATTTTTTTTCCACAGGGTACTGATTTCATTTGTGTTAACAGGAAACTAATGAAAGAAGCTGTTGTTTTGTTAAATAGCTAAATAGCTTATAGCCAAGAACAGAGTGTTTACCAACAGTATCTCTTTTGGGCTCCACCAGCACCATGCAGAGCAGATTTTAATGGTGTTATGTCTCTGTGCAGCTTTGTTAAATGATTTCAGGAATTTATCCAAGTTAGCCATCTGCCCACGTGACTGAGTGCGAATTCATGGTAAGGTTTGTGTGGCCTCAGCATGTGTTCCTGTTTAAGTTATAAGAAACCTTATTCATCTCCAGGGATTTCTAACCCAATGTCTTTCACACAGTAAACCCTCAACATGAATTTGTGGAAAGAAGGATGGAAGGGATGAATGAATATATTTTTAACCAATTGTGACATGGAGGCATTTGAAATTAAAAATACCTCTATTTTCCAATTCATTCTAGGACAGTGAAAATCCCAGATTCAGCTGAGGGGCTTGGATTCCAGATCCGAGGATTTGGTCCATCAGTTGTGCATGCAGTAGGAAGGGGTAAGAAGTGTCGCAGGGCAGGTATTGTGGCATCAATGACTAATACTGGCATCCTATATGGATACAAGGTTGAGTCCTGGCTACTCCACTTCCAACAGTTTATCAGCTCCCTGATAAACTGCTTGGGAAAGCAGTGAAAGGTGGCCCAATTGGTTGGATTCCTGAACCCACATGGGAGGTTTGGAAGAATCTTATGACTCCTAACTTTGGACTGGCCCAACCCTAGACATTGTGCTTGTTTAGGTAGCAAACTGACAGATGAAAGATATCTTTCTCCCCCTTTTCTTCTCTGGTTTTCTATGTCTCCTGTCTCTGCCTTTAAAATAAACATATAAATCTTTTTCTGTAAAAAAAAAATCCTTAGTTATACATGGAAAACAGCTTGCCAGAATATTTTGGGTACTCTTTACAGGTCAGGAATATGTTTATAATGTGTATGGTCATGCAATAATTTTATCTCATTGGTCTTGTTTTCACTGTATTAACTGAATGTTAGTACATACCAGAACCAATAATTTTTAAAAGTTTCAAAAATGCTCTGGTATATTATTATTGTTTAACATTTCATTTTAGAAAAAGGGGAGGGCAACATTGTGATATAGCCCGTGTAGCCACCAGTTCTAGCCCTGCGTGCTCCTCTTCCAAGTCAGTTCCCTGCTAATGAGCTGGAAAAGGCAGCCAAAGTTCAAGTGCTGTGCTTCTGCCAACCACATAGGAGACATGGAAGAAAGTGCTGGCTGCTGGCTTATTAGCCAAGGCTGGCAGTTGTGGTCTTTTGGAAAGTAAACCAGTGGATGAAAAAATGTCTCTCCCTTGTCTTCCCTCGTCTCTTGGTAACTCTGCCCATCGAATGAAAATAATTAAAAAAAAAAAGATTTGACTCTTCAATCTCAATTTTCTGCATGCTTCAATTTAGCTAAGTATGTAACGTTAAGATTGCTCATTGGTACTCTTGGGTGTAAATTTCTAGTATTTCAGATTTTCAGGTTTAAGAATGATCTGTAGGTTTTGTAACCCATTGTTGTATAATTTCTTCAGGTGTTTCCAAATCATGGGATAAAATCTCGCCAGGAAGAATATCTTACATAATTGTAGCCATGAGAAGCTTGCACTCGGAGTGTCCTTTGGCTTAGTTAAAACTCTGCCGAGGATGTCTGAGGTCCACAGGCGAGAGCTCCTGGCCAAGTTTCAGCTCCTCTCCTGGTTTCCGCTTCCTGCTAATGTGCATCCTGGGAGTAGACAGATTTTCTTGGTTTTCTTATCCAAGAAAAATGTAAACCTTAAAGAAAAGCTTTACTTTAGGCATTTATTCAGTGGCTACTTCACCTCTTATTTCTCTGAAGTCTGCAAATGCTGTCCTAGTTAAAATATAGAATGACATAGAACCCAGGAAGACCAAAGGAGTTGCGTGACTTGGGGATTTATAAGGTGAATAATTTTTCACGGGGGAGAGGTGGATTGAATTTCTGTGTTCCGTGTTGGCTTTGTGCAGCTTTTATAAACATTCAGAAAGCGAGCCATAGGAGGCTTTCCCCTTTCTCTGTCCGCTGCCTGCCCCCCTTTCTCTTTAGTTGCCTCTCTTGTCTCTTTCTCTCTCTGCCTCTCATGTAAATTGGATAAGTTAATATCCATTTATCTATATGTAATATAAGCAGAGTCACTGAGCAGTTGATGTTACCTGATTCATTTTATTTTCTACAAAATCTCTGGTTCCTGGCCCTTTGCACATATTCTGAACTCTTTTTTTTTTTTTTGAGAAAATGTAGCTCACTTATCACTTACTAATTGATGTGATTTTTTATAACAATTAATCTGATGTTAATATTTAATTGTTGGAATTTTAAAAAACAAAGCTAATACTATGTCATTACTTAGAGATTTTATGAAGGAAGATAAATGGGGCACATGTTTCTGACATTGTCTTTTGCTGTAATAAATACATATGTAGAAAGTTGGATTGACAAGACATGTAAAAGGGTAAGGAACTGATAAGGATTATGAAAGCCCCTTTGCAATCTTCCTTCAAACATTCTTACAGTAGGGAAATGTACTTTTTTTCACCTTTTAAAAAATTGTTATCATTTTATGATATAATTCCATAGGCCTTGGAATGTCCCTTACCCCCTGCCCAATCCCCCACCCCCTCTCTGGGTTCCCTTATATTATTACTATAGTACAGTTCTTCACACACACTCATATATCCATCTTTGCAGGCATGGACAATCGCAGAAAATCCAGCATCCTGTTGTCAACATACAGTAAACAGTTTCATGGGGAGTCCATCTTTAGTCTGGAAGTAGACATGCATACTGCATTGTATCCTCATATCTGGATATGATAGTGTCCATTACACAGTTACTATACATCCCCTCAAAGGAAAAGCCGCAATACAAAATCAACAACAGGAAGAAAAATAGAAATTTATGATGCCATGAAATTAAATAACATGCCACTAGATATGATAGTCTTCATCACACAGTTACTATACACTGTATTAAATGAAAAGCCACAAAACAAACTCAACAGCAAGAAGAAAAAAAAAATTACAACACCATGAGGTTAAATAACATGTTACTGAATGACTAATGTGTAGCTGAAGAAATGAAAACGAGAATCAACCTTCTTGGAAAAAATGATGCTGTTGTATGATCTATGAGTCATTCAAGAATTTAATAAGAAAGTGTTTTGAAGAGATGAAACTAACAGAAAAAATTAAAATCCATGGATTCTGAATTCAAAAGTAGAAAATGCCAAGAGAATATTGAGATCTGAACCTAAGTTTTTAAGAACATACCGTTTATTGCATTCTAAAATCACTTCCCTTATTGTGTATGTGATAAGAATGATATTATTCCTGAAGTTAGTTATTGTCAGTTTTCCCTTTCCTGTTTGAAGGAACTGTGGCTGCAGCAGCTGGCCTTCATCCTGGACAGTGCATCATCAAGGTGAATGGGATCAATGTCAGCAAAGAGACACATGCCAGTGTCATTGCCCATGTGACAGCCTGCAGGAAATACAGGCGACCGACGAAGGTAAACTGTGTTGCTGCTTACCTGGATCTGATTGGGTATTTGCTTAGCTGACCCGAGGGACACTGTGTGATGGTGCCAGAGATTGTGATGCTTTCCAATTCTAAGTTCACATTTGAACAGCACTGTAGATCTCATAATGATTGTCTTAACTGGATTGTTATAATTGTGTTTAAATGACTGTTTTACTGTGACAGTACTATTATTGGTTTAAAAAGTTCTCTGAGTGGCCAACATTCACAATGGTATGGTGGTGAGTTCTCCACTTGTGTCTCCAGCATCCCAATTATGTGCCAGTTTATGTCTCAGCTGCTCTACTTTTGATTTGGCTTCGTGTTAGTATGCCTGGGGAAGTAGCAGAGGATGTTTCAAGTCTTTGGGGCCCCTGCACCCACGTGGGAGCCTTGGAAGAAGTTCCTGGCTCCCAGCTTTGGGCCTTGCTGTAGCAGCCTCCTAGGGAGTGAACCGGTGGATGGAGGCTCTCTGTCTCTGCCACTCTCTCTCTCAGCAGCTCTGATTTTGAATAATAAAAAGGTACTCTGAGATATTTCATATTTGCAAGAAAGGTTTATCAAGATGAAATCCAATAGTTTGAACTATTTTCTTATGATTGCTTTAAAATGTGCAATGCTCATTGTGTTTCTGTATGCATATCTTATAAATGCACTTAATTACAAGCATTTTCTGAAAAATTTTAAAAATGTGCATGGGGGTTTTAGGATTTCGATTGATTTTTGTTTGTATTTACATAACTTGATTCTATTCTTCAATTTTTGGCACTGTGCTTTGATCCAGAAGTGCTATAGAAAAAATAAAATTCTATTTTATAAACAAAAGTTATCATCTCATGAGGAAAAAGTGAATATTAGACTATACACGCAGATTCTGTTTGATCAACTAGAAGTGATCTTGTATTTTTTCCTGCCCTTGTCAGTGATGTTTTTTATGGGTTTGAAATGTGATTTTGCCTCCAAACCAGGAACTTGAACATTTATTTTCTCAAATCCAGAGTAGATATCATGCATGAAAATACTTATCAAATTTTCTTGTTAATGTGGTCAGAGCTAGTATCACAAATTGAAATTTACCACAACTTGTAGATAATTCTAGTTGGTAGTAGCTTAACAAATTTTTCTTGAACTTTATTATTGAATGCATTTTTTAAAGATGTATTTCTGTTTTTTGGAAAGTGATATATACAGAGAGTAGGAGGGACAGAGAGGAAGATCTTTCATCCACTGATTCACTTCCCAAGTGGCTGCAACAGCCTGAGATGAGCTTATCCAAAGCCAGGAGCCAGTGCCTCCTCCAGGTCTCCCACATGGGTAGAGGGAGGGGGTCCCAAGGCTTTGGGTCATCCTCAGATGCCCTCCCCAACCACACACAGGGAGCTAAATGAGAAGTGGAACTGCTGGGGTTAGAACCAGTGCCCTTATGGGATCCTGGTACATGCAAGATGAGGATTTTAGCCACTAAGGCTACCGCACCCAGCTCCTGAATTCATTTTTAAAAATTTGATGAAGTTATCAAACTTGCTCTTTGAGACTTTTTACAGGTAGCCAAATTGACCTGAGTTCCATTCCTTTTCACTTTTCCCTGACTGCCACTTTAGAGAAATGTTGGTTGGTAAAATGATTATGAAAAGTAGTAAATTGACAAAAACAAACCAAAACACACACCATACATACACACACACACCCCACCTGAGTAACGCATTCTTTCAGGAATCCTTGCCACAAAAGTGACCAATCCAAAACTTAGTGACATGATTAAGCAGCACTGATGGATTATGATTCTTGGTTCTGGAGCTGACCGTGGCATTCCTGTGAAGTTCCCAAGGAGGATGCCTGGTACTGGGATCTGACTGGATGCCTTGGTGCCCTGTGGCAGGTTGTCCTCCAGACCCTTGCTATCTGACCCCCCATTCCAGCGCCCCAGCAGTGTTTTCCTTTCTGCGTGGTGTCTGGATTTGAAGAGTGATTATTAGCAGTGGTAAACCTTCTACTTGGATGGTGCCTGCTAGCATCCTGTTGGAACAATCAAGTTATGTTAGCTGTGCTGAGGGCCAGTGAAGGAGGAAACTATGCTGGTGTGGATACTAGGGACTGTGAGGAATTGGGGGTTAGAACAGGTGACCAAGAAATATTTGAATCATCTATTATTAATGAGCATTTTAATAATTTACAGCAGTATAATAAACACTAGAAAAATAGCCAATATACACTCTACTTCAATATGATTTGGCTTTATTTATCTCACTTGTTTATCCAAGAAAGTATAAAGGCTACCCATTAAGCATTTATTTACTGGCTTTTTAATCTCCTTTGTTTATATTAAGACTGGGAGTACTGTGTTAATTACATATAGGATGTTTTCTAATATGGAAAGATTAAAAGAGTTACATGACTTGGGGCTTCAAAAATGAATAATTTTCTAGTTTTTATAACAGTTTGATTTACAAAAGCAGTAAATGTATTTAAATGTATGTGACTGTTAGAACATTTAAAGGATTAGTATAATTATAGATAATTGATTCATTATAAAACTGCAGCATTTGTTTATTTCAAGATATGATTTATAATTCCTTTTAAGATGTGCTTGAGGCATTTAAGGAAGATGAGAAATTTGCAAATATATTCTATTTAAAGCATGTTCTTTGGAAGATAGGATTTACATAAATAACCATGTTTGGAAGATAAAATATTTAAGCTTAAAAAATTATTAAACTGTAGGTTTCATTGACTTTCTGTGAGTATTTGATGTTGATTTTTTTAAAAGTATCTTTATTGTTATACACACTAGAAGAATAAGTAGCATGGCAAACCTTCTGCAGCAGGAAAATAAAATATGCAGGCGCCGTAGGAGTCACACTGAGGCTTCCTTGCCTTTCCTTTTCAGCAAGACTCCATTCAGTGGGTTTATAACAGCATGGACAGTGCTCAGGAGGATCTGCAGAAGTCTAACTCCAAATCCCCTGCAGAGGAAGCTGGGGATGCCTTTGACTGCAAAGTAGAAGGTGGGCTCCTTTGCTTTTTCTGTCTCCCGCTATGCACATGCCTAATTCCAAATGCTGGAGTTTACTTTCGTATGTAATTTACAGATAAGATGTCAAGTCAATTACATTGCTACTTGTGAGTTAACATAACTCCATCCTGTTTTTGCATGGTTAATCTCATTCATAAATAAGAAACTGTGGCCTATAGGGGTTAAGGGACTTGTCCAAGTTAGTTCAATGGTAGGATATGGATTGAAGCCCAACAATAACCTCTTTCCTTACATGGGGTTTGAGTATCAATCAGGCCTTGTCACCCCAGTGTGACTCACAGACCAACAGGATCACATCTCCTGAGAATGAGGGAGAAATTCAGAATCTCAAACTCACTGAGGTCTAACTAATCAGAATGAATGTTTACTGAAGTAGAATGTGGCATTTCAGTACCTGCATCTAGTGTGTACCGATCAATGCAGGCTAATTACTTTTCCCTCTGTATGTCATTACATTATGATTGGAACCTTCAGTTTGTTCTGGGACTGAATCATAGTGTATTGTGATCTGTAGTCATCCAGCATGTTGGTTAGTGCCAAGAACTTACTGCTTCTATCTTACTATGAGTTGGTACTCAGTATCCAAACTCCCTCTGTCTTCCTCTAGTCCTAAGAGCCTTAGTAATTACCTCCATGTTCCAGTGGAGGCTTGTTCACCATCACATAATTGAGAAAATATACTGTACATGTCTCTCTGAGCCTGGCTTATGCCATTTAACACATGAGACAGTACCGTGCCTTCTGCTGCAAATGACAGGATTTTATTATTTCCATAGCTGAATAAATAATATTCCATTGTGTGTGTGTGTTTCATTTTCTCTGTCCATTCACTGGCTGATGGTCACCGCTGTAGTAATCATGGTGATGCATGTGTCTTTTTGATATGATGATTTCATATCTTTTGGATATACACCCTGTACAGTCATTTTCACAAGTTTTGGTTTGTATGCACATTAAGATTTAAGAAGCACTAGTCATGGTGGGCCATGATACCTTTCTGAATATATTCTTTGTTCAAGGAATTTGTTCCAACATGGACAGTGAAGAAAGAGGTAAATGTAAAAATGAGAGAGAAAGAAGAGAGATCTTTTGAAAAAGAGTCATATCATTTTGTTGTTTCAGTGATGCAAAAACACCAGTTCTAGTGTATTCAGTGGCTTCTTTGCCAAGGACAACTATGTCTGCATTTGACAGCTACCTTGAGTTATTGTTTCAAAATTATCTTACATGAGTCTTTTCTTTCTAGTATTTCTGGTGTCTTTCCATTCATTTTTTGGGTGGCTATCTCTGGAGATTATGTTGTTAATTCTGAACCAGCTGGGGAATTCTCTATTCCAAGTTGCTTTTACTCACTATGCCTTTGAATTTTTTTGTGTGGGATTTTTTCCTCCCCCCACATCAATAAATTTTCCAACTCTGTACATGAATTGGGTGTCTTACAATTCAGTTTATTTCTAACATTGACTACTAAGGAGTTGTAGCAGATGATACTCAATTCACAGGCTACTCCCATTTGAGACACCTGTCTCCAACTTTCAGATTTTCACTGGTATCTATGGCCAACTGACTATAGTTTCAAAATGATCTCATATCCTTCTTTATGGGTCTCACAGTTTTCTAGACTGGCTTAGGGAACTCAGGAAGATACTTTACTTACTACAGAGGGCAGAACACTCAGCCAAACAGGTACCTAAAGTGATATCCCTCTAGAGTTTGGTGCACATTAATGTCAGTTCTCTAAAGTTGGGCAGCTCCATCCTTCTGAAACGTTGAGTGAGTTTCCAAACCTGCAAGTTCTCCAAACTCTGTCTTATAGAGGATTCAATTCTGTAAACATGATTCAGTAAACTTTCAACCCCTGGTGATTGAATTTACTCTCTAGTCCATGTTCCCTGTCCCATTTCCAGACCCCTTAATTACATGATGGATTCCTTTGACCACTGCCTCCATCCTAACACTATCTTGGGAGTTGCCAAGGGTCACTTATTAGCATAAACTCAGGTGGTTTTGAAAGGAGCACCTCATTAGGGTGCTCCTGTGCTGTGTGTCTGTAAATTACAGGGGTTTCTGAAGTTCCTTGTAAGAGACTGGTGACAAAAAAACAAAGACATATTTTTTGTTTTTATATAATTCCTGTATAATTGATGATAAAAGAGATGCTTAGGAAAAACCACCTGTTTTCCTTTTTGCTCCTGGAAGTCTGCTTAGTTGGATTCTATTTAAATCATGGGTAATATCCGAAATATTATAATGTTATTAGATACGTGAGGGCACTATGATAAAGCGTAAAAATAGGACAAAGTGCAGGATGTTATCCTGACACTTTTAGTCTGTATTCAGAGTAAGTGTGCCTTGATGCCATATTCCCAAATGGATTGCTTGATAGAATGCTCTGGAAATTGGTTTGTAGGTATTCTGAGAATTGTTCACCTTAAAGTAAATCAATAATTTGTGTTTGCCTATTTGATAATTTAATTTTACGTTTACTTATTTGATGTTTACTGCTACAGTGCCCAGCAGTGTCTCACTTAGGATTTTAAATGTTGTTTCACTAGCAGACTATAGGTTAAACATTTATACAAGTTTTATTATAGCAAACAATGGTGGCTTTTTCTCAGTGACTCTTCCATGAAACTTCAGGTACTTTTCTGCTAAAGATTGTTGTACCCTCCTTCTGATTTAATATGGCCTTATTTATATATTTTTCCTTTTTTTAAGAAAATGCTTATCTAATGTTTGAAGCAGTTTTAGAAACTTTAAGTCCTGTATGCTTTTAGTGGATAAATACAAAATTTGCCTGTAGAGTGTTTATGTTGGCACAAATCGGTAAACGTATGGTTTGCCGAGCAATGAGGATGTTTAAAGATAAGACTATGTGTGTTAGAATGGTGAGATTTGGATCACTGAGGCATACGTAGTTTTGAATATTCTTGTTTTTTAGAATGTTAAGATTAAATACTTCATTTAACACATCAGATTTAGCCATGCTTTAAAAAACCCTTCACAAATTATTCAGATTCTCAATTATTTGAGAAGACTAAGAAACCCTTCATGAATTATCTGACTTAAGGTTGTCTTTCCTCCAGAGGTCATTGACAAGTTCAACACCATGGCCATCATTGATGGGAAGAAGGAACATGTTAGTCTGACAGTGGACAACGTTCACCTGGAGTATGGGGTTGTGTATGAGTATGACAGCACAGCTGGGGTAAAGTGCAACGTGGTGGAGAAGATGATTGAGCCAAAAGGGTTCTTCAGCTTAACTGCCAAGGTATCTTTTTCTTGTTGTCATTTTACACAATTCTATTAACGATTATCTTTATATAGTTGAGGATGCGTGCCCACATGGACCGCTGATCAGGGTGGGAAGGGTTGAGGAAAGGAGGAAAGTGGGAACCCAGGGATGAGGGACAGGCATTTGATATCGTCCTAGGGTTCCAGGTGTGGAGTGTGTTCTAAGGGTATAGCTTAAGTGGTTTCAATGGTTCTGAGATGCTGTTAATTTTGAAGCTCTAAGACTGAGGAAATTCTTCCAAGGTTCTTTGAGTGAAATAGTTCACCTTACAGTCTCCACCTGCTGAGATACTTGCTGTCAAAACTTGGCTGAGAGAGTTGTCCAGTTTATTCTGCCCTCCATCCTCTGCCATGGTACTATACGTCCTCTGCAGCCTCATTGATCTGTCAAGGCCCCCATGTGCATCTGTGCATTCCATCCAATGCAAAGACTTTGACTACCAGAGGCTCAGTTCTGATACATGCACTCTAAGTAAGACCATGTGGATGGAATTTTGAGTCCAACGGTCTAGTTGGGTCAGTTCCCAAAGAAACCTTGGTTGAGATTATTCGGAACTTGACTCCTGTGTGTGCCAGCAAGAGTGGGATGCAGATCAGTCCATCTATATCAGCCTATACACACACTCATGGTTGCAGTTGCCCAGTCAGTTCTGTACCCAGCCCCATCTCATAAGCAAACCAGTGGATACTGTGGTCTGGCTTATCCCTGCCCATCATAAACTGGGCCCTCACACACCAGTGGGAAGTATAGGCTAGTTGGAGAGACCCCCAGTAAGCCTCACCAGATTCACCCCCAGCTTTGGTTCCTGTGCATGCCAGTATGTACAGCAGAGTAGTTCAGGTGGTCCCATATCCCATTTGGTTCTTGTAGGTGTCCAACCCATACTCATGCTGGTGGGTGCCACCACATGTCCAACCAGGCCTACCATAAGCCCTGGTTCTCATGATCGCCTGTGGGAGCTGCAGCCTGTCAGGGAAGAGTGCCCACATTTTCACTACAAGGCACATTCCCAGCTCCAGATCTTGCACTCTCCAGGTGGTACTGTGGCCTAGGCTGATAGGACTTGTTCCCAATCTTAATACCTGCTTGCTGATGCTGCAGAGAAGTAAAACCAACCTGCACTTATTCTGACTCATGCATGAACCAATGGGTACCATTGCTTAGCTTACCCTGTCTTTCCCACTAACCCAGCTCACATGCAGGCCAATGGGCTTTGTAGCCCTGCCCAGCCTGGTCTGCCTCAAGTCCCAGTTCTGAAGCTTACCAGCAGGACCAGTGGCCCAGCAGGGGAGCTCTTGTAGGCCCCCTTATGATCCCTCAGATATCTCACTTGAGCTGGTGGGTGTTGAGGCCCAGTGGCATGGCCTGTTTCATCTGAGGGTTCATTGACAGGTATTACAACCTAGTTCCACCCAGCCTGTCCCCTGTTCCAGTTCATGCTGGTGGTGTTGCAGCCTAGCACAACTTGGCCAGTTCTCAGTCTTGGTCCTAATGTAAACTGACTGGTGTTGTGGCCCAACTATGCCTGCCCTGCAGCCCATCCTGGTTCTCACATCTGCCAGTGGGTGTTATGAACTGGGCCAGCCGAGCCTGCTCATAGATTTTACCCACGCTTATTCTAGTGTGTACTCTGTGTTGGTGGGTACTGTAACCTAGCCTTGTCTGCGCTAATCCCAGACTTGCTTTTTGCGCTCACCAGTAGGGACTGTATTCTAACAGAGGATTTCCCCAAGCTCCTCTGTCAGGCTACCTCCCATCACAGACCTTATACAACTAGTGAGTTGTTAGTCCAGCCTGACTTGGCCCACCTGTATCCCACCATTAACCTTGGGTACAGTAGCCTTGACTGACCCACATCTATTTCCGCTCATTCCATTTGGTGCTACAGCTCATCCTTTCCTGGCTTACCCCAGGTGTGGCTCTGATATGGTTCACTGGGTGCCGAGACCTAACCCAGCTTGTCCTCCACACACTCTGGCTCTTGTAAGCACCAGTGGGTTCTGGAGCGTAGCCCAGACTGTCACACCCGTCAGCCAGTCCACTCCTATGCCAAGGAATATGGCAGCCATATGTAGCCAAATTTATCATCCCCATGCCAGCTCTTGCACTCAAGAGTGGGAACTCTAGCCAGCACGAGCATCTCCTTAGCTCCCCAACCTGCCCCGGTCCCCACCACACATCTTGCTCATGCCAGTGATTGTTCTGACCCCACCAAGCTTAGCCAATCCCCCATCTTGGCCTTTGCTATCAGATGCAGCAGCCTCACCTGACCTAGCCAGACCCTAGTCCCAACTTTGGCTGATGAGTGCTACAGCCTATCCCTGTTCAGCTTGCCGTTCACCCCTGACTTTTGTGTAAACCAGTAAGTGTGATAGCCTAGCCTAGAATGGCCTACACCCTAACCTGGCTCCTGTATTTGCCAGTGTGCTACAGCTTGGCCCATCTCTGCTAAGTCTACTAACTGGAACCAGCCCATACACTGCTGACTAGTAGAGTATCCTTGTCTGGCCTAACAAACACCAAGTCCTGACTTACATAGTCTCCAGTAGGAGCTACAGCCCACCAGGGAAGTTCCCAAATTTCCTCCACCAGGCCCATTCCCAGACCCAGATCTCACATGTGTCAGTGTGTGTTATGCCCTTACCCAACATATTCCACTCTCCAAGCCTTGGCAGTTGTGTGTGCTGGTGGATGTTGTGGACTAGCACAACCTGTACCCAATTCTTGCGTGCACATGCAGGTGGTGTAGCCTAGACTGGCCCGGCCTGTTCCAATCCCAGATCCCACGATTTCAGTCAGTTTGGGGTCATGCCTAGCTTGGCCTGTCACCACCCCCAACTCTTGAGCAAACTAGCAGGTATTGTAGTCCTATAGGTATAAGCCCACCTATCCCCCGCAGAATCTGCTCCCAGACCCAGCTGTCTGGTATGATGGTTAGTGTCATGACCCAGCCTAATGTGACCCATCCTCTATTCTGACACTCAGCGGTTGGCACTGTAGTCTGTCCCTGCTAGGTTTTTCCCCCAACCTTAGCTTTTGTGTGTACTGGTGGACAGAGTTGATACCAACAAGCCCAGCTTAGATCATCCACATGAGTGGGTGTATTAGGTAGAGAAAGGTCCACCAGGTTCCCTCCTCTAAGCCACCTGGACTCAGCCCCCTTGTTTACCTGGAAGTGCAGTGGGCTAGTCAGCAGAGGTCCTACAGAAGTCATTCCTCACCTGTACCATTCTTCCTCCATGCTCTTCCCTCCTGCACATCCCCCTACTTCCTTCCCTGAGCAATCGACAACACCTCATGCCTGTAAATGCACAGGTTCCCAAGCCTGCTCTTCTGACAGTGTGGCGTCTCATCCTGGGGCCCTGCTGCCTGTCTGGGTCCCATACACATTTGTGCAGGGGTCCCCAAACCCCGGGTGCCAGTGTGCCAGTATGCCAGTATGTGCTCCCCACATATCTTAAAAAAAACAAATAGAATAGATAACTATACTGGCATATTGGTATAGTTAACGCAACACAAATTTGGCATTAGGCCAAGCATGCCTGCCAACTCTTAGCTGATTTTTCCCGGCAGTGGTAACATTTGCCTAGGCACAATGCAACCTGGCATTTGCCCACAGCTGGAAACTGCTAAGGTGTCAGTGTAACCTGGAGAAACACAAGTTTATTTGTTCTACATAAAGTAATTGGAACTTCCCCCGCAAACACATATGCACGCTTTAAAAAATGTAGGTAAGTAGACATGTTGTGCTTTTAGCTTGTTCAGTCTCTTTAGTATTTCCCCATTTTCCAGGGTGCCTGTAATTTTCCCTTTATAGATTCTTTGAAGCACAGTATTAACCTAGGTGGAGCTTGCCCAGGCAGGTTAGTTAATCGATAATGGCAAAACTGCACTACATACATTAGGTTAGCAATATCTGTTTATTCAATATCATGTTGCAGGCGAGTTTCTTTGGAAAGTAGTAGTTTTTTAAAGCTGTATTTAAAGAAAGTTATCAATTTACTTAAGAGGCAGAGAAACAGAAAATAGAGCTCCCATCCATTGGTCTGTTTCCTAAATGCCTGCAATAATTAAGATGGGCTCACTCTAAAGCTGGAAGCCAGAAACTCAGTTCCAATCACCCATGCAGGTGGCAAGGGGTATTTAAAAAATACATAGAAATATAGACAAGAGTTCCTGCTGAACCATGGTCTTTTACTTCATATTTGAACTCAATATTTAGTAGTGCCTCACACCTTCGAGTATGATGTAAAGTTAACATATGTTATGCCAAAAACTGTTAAATAATTTGAATATAATAATAAATTTTAAATAAAATAGGAAAACTTGCTTTTTTAAGTCAGATTTTCTAACATCATGCTTTAATGTAAATTCTTTTCAAAGCCCAGTAATTTTGTTGAAAATATATTTACATCAATTTTAAAATTGCTCACTTTTGTGGAATTTGGAATCAGAGATGATAGTTTTACTTGATTTTTAATAAGTGATATTTACATATGTTACAATGGTCCCACTGGCCTATTTCTTCCCCATAGGATGCAGAGTCTGTTATCAATATGAAATATTTCACCCAAGAAATAATAAAATGAAATAAATATATTGAATCCACTGAAGAGTATTTGAAATAGTAAAATAAATGGATTCCAATGTTTGATTTTCAGGGATGTATTTCTCATTTAGGAAGGATGTCACATAAGTTCTCTTGACTAATGCAAGGTGGAGAAGCAGGGAAGAAGGTTATATCCAACTGGGTAAAACCTGTGGTGCCAACAAGGTGAATTTGCGCATGCTTTGCATGCCTCCTGCACCTGCAGAATCAAATACTTGCTGTGCCCTTTACCAGACTGGGTGTTCCTGTTCATTCTGCCTTTATATCATCTTGGGAGAATTCCTCAGACTTTACAAGAAAAGAGAGATCTAGCTTTCCTGCTTTGATTTTTCATTCTTTCAGATTAATGCAATGGAGATAGATTTAACATTTATAATGTGAATTTTCCTAAGTTTAGAGGGAAAAAATGATATAAAGATCCAAATGATCTATTTTAAAAAGATTGTTTGTGTTCTAAAAGCAGATTTTAAAAATATCTCATCTTTCTGATGACAGTGCATAGCTAATCTCTTGACACAGAATGTATGTTTTCAAATTGCAGTCCTCTCCCACAAACATTCTAAGAGTTTTGAGGCCTCATTTTCTTGTTTCAGGTTTGCAAAATTGCATAAAATCTTTTTTTTTCTTTTCTTTTTAAAAATTATCTGCCTGGGCCAGCACCATGGCTCAATGGGCTAATGCTCCACCTTCAGGCACCAGCATCTTACGGGGGCAAGTTTGTATCCCAGTTGTTTCACTTCTGATCCAACTCTCTGCTTATGGCCTGGGAAAGCAGTGAAAGATCACCCAAGTCTCTGGGTCACAGCATCCATGTGGGAGACCTGGAAAAGGCTCCTGGCTTTGGATGGGCTCTGGTATGCCCATGGCTTCTGGATGGGCTGTGGCCATTTGGGAAGTGAAGCAATGGATGAAAGGTCTTTCTCTCTGTCTTTTCCTCTTCCTATAAATATGCATTTCTAAAAAGTGAAGATTTATCTATCTATTTGAAAGGCAGTAATAAAGAGAGAGCAATCTCTTCTGTCCACTGGCTTACTTCTCAAAAGGTGCAATCACTAGAGCTGCTTCAAGATGAAGCAAAGAGCGTGGAACTCCATCTGGGTCTCCCACATGAGTGGAAGTGGTTCAGATACCTGGGCCATCTTTCCCTGCTCCCCAGGTGCATCAACAGGGAGCTGCATCAGAAGCATCAAAGCCAGGACTCGAATCTGTACTGAAGTATGGGATGTTGGCATTGTAAGTATCAGCTTACTCTCCTGCAGCACAATGCCAGCCCCTAAAGAATTATTCTACATGTGAAAACTGTAAGTTGTTACTGCAAATATGCATTTCCATTTTGTGCATAAAAATTCAATGAAATTAAGCAATTTGGCCAAGAGCATACAACAAATGATGAAGCCACCTGTGAGTTCCAGACTACTGATTCAACAAACATACTCCATTTTTCAGCCTCACAGGGAATTAGAAGTAGTGAGGAACCTCAAATAAACATAAATTCTACAGACTTTTTGTCTTACAGAATACTACAAAAATAAAATTTAAAGTTATAATCAATTCTTGTGATGTCTAAACAACCCCCTAGACCCCCCATAAATATGCCACATAATTAATTTTCAATTCATCGGGAATGTTCAGTGATCTCCTTTACACAATTTCAGCTCTCAGAATATATACTTAGCAATTGATTCAATGGATCAATACAATCAGTTAATTGGAAACAGCATGTGTTTGCTTTGATACTTTGCAGCTAGAGCTCAGGTACTACTTGTCATTTATACCTTACCGGTGTAAGTTCATCTATTGATTGGTTAAATGCACACAGACACTGGTTAAATGAACTCTCTGGGTTGTGCTGTCTGGAACAAGCAATTCTGTTTTCAACATCTACTAAACTAAGAGAAAATATTCTGAGTGATACCAACTGAAGTACAAGATTTGTGTGCCCCATCGGAATCTACTGATTCATGCAGCAGGGCGTCTTTGAAGTCCACTCAGCTCGCCAAGCAACCTTTGATAGCTAACAGACAGCACAGCCTCAGACTGCAGACAGCCAGGTCCAATCACTTCACCAGCAGTACCTCCATGGGCTCAGAGACTCTTGGGATCTACTGCGCGATGAATAGTCAGGAAATTCACCAGTGTGGTTCACTTATGTCCATTTTATCTAGCTAATCTTCATCATTTGACAAGACTCTGCTTGTGGGTGTGTGTTTATCACTACAGATTCTTGAAGCCCTGGCCAAGAGTGATGATCATTTTGTACAAAACTGCACGGGCCTTAATTCTCTAAATGAAGTGATTCCTGCTGATCTTCAGAGCAAATTCAATGCCATTTGCAGTGAAAGAATTGAGCATATATGTCAGAGAATATCCAGCTATAAAAAGGTAAAGATTCTATAAATTTAAACATAAGCATTACTAAAATGTCAAATGTAAATCAATTCATGCTGTTTTATTTACTGGTAGTTTTGCCTGTTTTAAAAATGTATAATTATCTCTCTTACTCTGTGTTTTTTTTTTGGTGCATATAGAAAATATACAAGATCATGTATAGATGATGGTTGATTTAGCTCAAAGTTCTGCAAACTGGTAAGCCCAATATTGATGTGAAAGTGTCTGTGAGGGTTTTCATAGAAGATGGATAGATACAAAAATAGATAGATAGATAAATTTAAAAGGCAAAGAAAATGAGAAAGCAAGAGAGGGGAAATTAAAAAGTACTCTACTGACTGATTTCACTCTCTAAATACAAGACTGGGACAGATTGAACCTTGCATCTGGTAACTCCATCCTGACTTCCAGAGGGATTATAGGAACTCAAGAACTTGAGCCACCATTCACTCATTATCCACATACCATCCAGGCACATAATCAAGGAGCTGTGTCAGAAACAGAGTAAAGCTGAAGGTTATATGCAGGCCATCTAATTTTCAAGTCAATTTTTTTTTAAAGATTTATTTATTTATTGGAAAGCCAGATATACAGAGAGGAGGAGAGGCAGAGAGGAAGATCTTCTGTCCGATGATTCACTCACCAAGTGAGCACAACGGCCAATGCTATGCCAAGTCGAAGCCAAGTTCCAGGAACTTCTTCCGGGTATCCCACATGGGTGCAGGGTCCCAAAGGTTTAGGCTGTCCTCAACTGCTTTTCCAGGCCAGAAGCAGGGAGCTGGATGGGAAGTGGAGCTGCCGGGATTAGAACTGGCGCCCATTTGGGATCCCGGCACATTTAAGGCGAGGACTTTAGCTGCTAGGCCACGCCACCGGGCCCTCAAGTCAATTTTTAAAATACACTGAAGCCCTTCTTTTCTTTTTCTCCCAATAAAGGGGGTAAAAACCTTTGATCAGTAAATACTTGGTCCATGATTGATTTTAAATGGATCAGTTACTTCACTCCTTTGATATAAGCATTGTTTAAGGTGTTAGTAAAATATTGGAGAATGAGGCAATATCTCTCTTCTCATAGTACTCAGATTCAATTGAGGAAAATACAAAGCAATTAGTAAATGCCTATAAATGAGAAAAAAATCAAATATTGATAAGGATTATGGAGGATTCTTCCTAGGGAGGTATGGTAGGAAGTGCTAGCTTGTATTCTTTAGACTGGGTGGCAGCAGAAAGCTTCTTTGAGAAAGAGTATATCGGATGAAGCTCAGTAGCCTAGCGGCTAAAGTCCTCAACTTACATGTCCCGGGATCCCCTATGGGTGCAGGTTCTAATCCCAGCAGCCCCACTTTACATCCAGCTCCCTGCTTGTCACCTGAGAAAGCAATCGAAGATGGCCCAAAGCCTTGGGACTCTACCCCCACATGAGAGAGCTGAAAGAAGCTGCTGGATCTTGGCTTCAGTTCGGTACAGGTGTGGCCAATGAACAGAAGGTCTTCCTATCTATATATCTGGCTTTCCAATAAAAAATAAAATAAATCTTAAAAGAGAAAGGGTAGATCTACATGACAAATACAACTTCCCACTTAAATTGGAGGATAATCATCAGGGTAAGAAGGAATAGGTAGAAAGAGCAGTCAGCTCTGGGGTCCAGCAGGAAAGTGGCCAGTCACTCTCCTCCTGTAAGCGTAAGTTGTAAGGATGAGTGTAAGTTGAACTTCCCCAGTAGTATTTAGGAATGTAATGCTTGCCTTTGTTAATAGGAAAATCATTTTGGAAGAAGTACGAAGGAAGTATTAGTTGGGAAAGAGTCAGATTAGGGAGAGTAAATGGTCATTTTTTTAACCATTTAGGGTACAAATCAGTGATGATTTGCAGTGCAGAAATAAGCAGTGTGGAAATACAGAGAGAATGGGGAGAAAAAGATCAGTTCAGGATGGATGAAGGGGTAAAACACATACAATTTTATCATGACTTGACTATGATTTCCAAAGAAGCTGTCACTCACTGGTTTGTAACAAAACTAAATTTGGCAATAAACAAACAAACAAAAATTCTGTTGTGGAGATTTGAAGTTCCTGTAGTACAGAATTTTTCACTGAATGGTGGAAAAATCTCAGAAACTCAGTTATGGTGCGTTCCATGTTCTCACAAGTAACTGAGATCCTGGAAACTTGTAAAGCAGAGAAGGATGGGAAAATGGGCAGTGATATTAGGTGATAAAAGAATACCTAAATTTTAAAAAGTAATAAAACCTCCTTTAAGTACACAATTGTTAAAGCACCAAAATAGCTGTGTATTACAATTCTCATTATTTCACATTCCTGTCAGGGAGGTTAAAAATTTGCATTTAGCTGGTAACCAGTAGACTATGTATCGACTTCTATGGAATGCTACGTACTTTGCTTTTAATTTAAACCGTAAACGGATTCTAAGAACTAAGTGCTTTATAGACACTGTTGTGTTCATTCCACTTGATCTTGAACCTACTGAAATAATTAGCTATCTTTATGACTAGATAAAGATGAAAAGTTAGCAAGAAAACATTTCAGGGCTCTTGTCAACTTGGATAAGATATAAAACCTCATGCTGCAGATCCAGTAAGTTGTATAAGGTTAGCTCTGTGTGTATATGAAATGCATGTCTACAGAAACCATAGTATTTATGAGATAAACTTTTAGTTTCTATGTATTTACTTTTAAGTTGCTGTTAGCAACATGGACAATAGTGTTCCATTTCTTCTAAATGAAGACTTTAAAACTGTTCACGACTTTAAATGTATCCATAGAAACTGAGATCTCTAAAAGGCTGGATTTGGTTTCTTCTTATTTTATAAGTTTTAGGTTTTAATAATAGAGACCAGCTCATATCTTTAATTTCTGTAGCCAGACTGCTGCAGCCGTAATAGGCTTCCTGGCAGATTGTATTTACAGATCGCAGAAGTGTGCAGCACATGTGTGAGACAAGGCAGGGCCCTGAATCCAAAGCAGCATTTATTCTGCATGAAGTGAACTATTTGGATGAATCAGATGCAAAACTAAGCCCTGCTTAGAAGAATGTTCTTTCCCCGCAATTACCTTGGCAAGTGTTAATTCTAGAATTATTCTTCTGCTTTAACATTATTTTATTTAGACATTTTAAGCATTGGGTATGCTGTATGTTATTCAAGGAGCAATTTCTATTTACATATAAATATTACATGTAGAAATTAGAAGGCTGTCTTTAATACTATCTTTTAAAAATATTGTATTTATTATTTCCCATGATACATTGTGTAGGTATAGGAATTCCCCTTTCGTTTGTCCCTTCTCCTGATTAATATCTCCCCACATATTATTAAGAGTATAGTTGTTTAGTAACAGTTACAAGTTTAATATTCTGCTTATTAAGTGCATCATGGCATTGTAGGTATAAGCAATGTTAGAAAATCTAGTATCATATTGCCAAGGTGTATTTAGCAGTTTCATTGGGGTCCTCCTTTTATTCGGGAGTAGAGATGCATACTGCAATGTATCTTCACTTTCTGGTATGCCAGTTTCCATTACACAGGTCATCTATGAGAGTATAGTTTCCTTTACTTATAAATGCTGATAATTTTAAAATGAATAAACAGGTGGGGGAATTATTCATACAGTTCTTGCCCAGATTCCTCTGGTAAGAGTCTGGTAAGGTTTTGTGCTGAGTAATAGTATCACAAGGGAGACTGAAAGAGCTTGTGACAGGTGCTCTCTTCAATAACACATTAATCTGTGGATAGACAGTAACTTGTGAGGGCCTCATCAAAGTGTCCTATTCAAATACCATTATCTGGGAATGGGGAGGGGTGCGACCTTGGGCCTGGGAGTTTAAGCTTCCAGCAGCCTCCCAGCTGCTGGTGGGTCTCAGGATGGGGCGTCTCATGCCTGGATCCCAGACGACAGACACCACGTGCATGTGGTGAGCTGTCCCTGCACGGCCAGTGTGCCATTTGGCGCCAGGCTCCACCTGCTGGCTGCCCGTCATGGACCTTTGGGGTTTTGGTTCTTTGAATCGCTGCTTAGGTAGCTCCAGATTGAACCCACTATGATTCTAGGATGTGAATCAATCCTAAAGACAGTAATTTTTCCTTTGGAGAACCTGTAATCTCTGAAAAATGATGACCACTAAATACCAGTCCATGCAAAAGCTATGGCTCGGGGCTTGTCCATCAGAATTATATCCTGTTACCTGTCGAGATGGTGGATCAGGAGAAGGGTCACATTAAGCAGGGCCATTACATTAACTAGCACTCGAAAACCATATCTAGGGGTAGATTCTGTGGGGGATATGTGGGCCAAACCCTGTGGAAATTCAAGCCCCACTGGTTAGCTCAAAAGTTGCGGTGGTGATGGACTAAACTAGGTGTGACCATGGAGCCTGCCATCAATCACAGGTAAAGGAACCGCAACAGTCTGGACTGGTCAGGGCAGCAGCACCCAAATGTGCGTCCTGAATAGGGTGTAGGGTGGGCTGGGCTGCAATGTTCACCAGCTCATACAAAGCCAAATGGAAGGCCCGACTTCACCGCAACCTGGCCTAAAACCAATGGCATGTATGAGAACTGGGTCTGGGAGTGGATTAAGTGGAAGAACTTGGGAAACTCCCTTGGTGGGTCATAGCTCCTGCTGGTGAACATGTGGTCCAGACCTGGGGGTCGGACAAGTTGGGCAAAGTAGCTGCAACAGCTGGCTAATGTGTCAACTGCTAATGGGACAGGGTGGACCGGGCAAGACTGAACAAACCTTAGCCCACAAGTGAAGCTAGAGACCAGGATGGAACACAGGTCATGCTGAGTTAGGCTCATGTACCTACTGGTCTAGGTGGGCCAGGAACGCTAAACCACAGTGTCTAACGCGGAGGTCGGGACAGGTAAGGGGCTTAAACAAGCTGAGTCAGAGCAACCACTGGCATGCTCAGGTTCTACAGCTGGGAACAGGCCCAGTTGGGGAGCTAAGGGGACAGCCCTAGCTGGGTTGAGGTTCCCACCAGGGGGCACATGGGCTAGAATTGGGGCTGCAATCTGATCAGGAAATAATTGTAGTCTCCCTTGGCACAAGTGTGGACTTGGATTGGGTGCACCAAGCCGGGCCAGACTCCAACACCCTCTGGTGTCCTGGAGGACCAGGGTAGATGTGGGATTGTCTAGCAAGGTCTCAACCCCTACTGAGCCATGTGTGAGCCATATGTAGGTTTGGACGAGCCATGGCTGGGCTGAAACATCCAACAGCAAGGACCAGTTTGGGTTGAAGGCCAGTCAGGAAAAGCCACTGTTCCTGCTATGACAGGAGGTGAACTGAGTAGGGCTGGCTCAAGGACCCCCTGCTATGCGCAAAATCTGGCATTGGGAGAGGTTCTGATGGAGGAGCCTTGGCAACTCCTCTGGCAGGACACAGACCTGGCAGGTAAGCGCAAGAAACATGATAGGAAACAGCTGAGACCAGGCCATGGAAAGTTACCCATTGGCACACATTTGGCATGGGTCGGGGACAGACCAGGCTGAATCAGTTCACGTCATCCACTGGCAAATCTGAGCAACAGAACAGAGCATGGGTTGAACCGGGTTTGGTCACAACAAAAAACAGTGCACAATATGGAATGCCAAGGTAAGGTTGCCTGTACCGATGTAGTTGCAGTGCCCAACCAGCATGCATGAGAACCAGGAATGGAGGGCAGAGCCAGCAGGGGAATATGGGGGGGTAGTTCCCCCTGCTGGACAACTACTCCCACTGGAGAGCATGAGCTGGGATGGTGGCAGACCAGACTAAGCAGGGCTACAACACCTGTGTGCCTCACGTGAACTAGATCAGGGAAAAGCCAGGCTGGGCTGATTATTCCTACTGGCACAAACAAAATTAGAGTGGGTGGAGGTTGTTTGGGTTTAGCCACAGCATCAGCTGGCAGAAGCTGGCACTGGGGTCTAATTCTGTCAAGTCAAACCACAGAACTACCTGGAGAATGCACAATCCAGGAGAGGGAGAGGCCTGGGAGGGAAATAGTGGGCTCCTCCGTCTTGGGTTACCACTTCCACAGAAGGGCAGGAAAAATAGGACAGGGGCTGGGGTGGCTAGACAGACACCCAACAGCATGTGTGTGCCTGTGTAGTGGAGCTGGTTAGAGGGAGCTAAGCTTTAATACCCATTGACATGTATGAGAGCCGAATGGGATGTGGGACAGAATGGACTAGTCTGCTATACATACTGGCAAACCAGGGTAGGGGGCGGGCCTGGTGGGGGTTATTGTGGGTCGCTCCAACTAGGCTGCAGCTCCTACTGGTTTATGTGAGGGCCGAGTATGTGCAGGGCAGAACCGGGCTGGACTGTAACGCCCACTGGTTCCAGTGGAAGTCGGGAGTGAAAACAGAACCAACCCAGCAATTGTGGCCACCAGCTGATCAGGGCGATGGACTGTGCCAGGCCCTATACTTGCTAGCACATACAAGAATCTGGTCTGAGAACACCTCAGACAAAGTTTCTTTGGAGATCTGCCCAATCGAAATACTGGACTCAGAACCATGAAAAGACAGAAGACAGAACAAGTCAATCAACCCATCTCAGCTATATGTTGGCAGTGAAATACGGGGCAAATGGAGACTCTATGATGGACTATGTCAATCAGTGGATTCTTCAAAGACCTCATAGTGCTTGGAGTGACAAGATTGGCAGTGATTCATAACTGGTGAACTATCAAAACCACTTGAGCAAGAACCTCGGAGCATACCCTACATCTGGGACCTGGGGAGGGTGGGATATTGGGTGGGCCTTCTCCCTTAATACCCCCCTTTAAACATGAAGGAAAGAATATGGAGATAATAGTCTTACCCACTTTCCTGTAGCCCCTGAACATTTTTACCCTAATTAACTATGTAAAAATTGTCAAAATATAATAAAAAACAAAAACAAAATACCATTATCATAAGAACCTGAGGGTTATGGATCATGTTTCCAACATATGAAATTTGAGGGACACATATTCAGACCTTAACTGAGACCCCAGGATGGACAATAGTGCTGCTTTGCCTCGGCCCTTCCTTCCCAAGAGAGGCTCATAGTGGCGGAGTTTCCAGTCACATGGGACATGCGGAACACATCCCTTCCAAGTGTGTGCACTTTGTCCTGAGACAGAGAGCTAAACTGGTTCCACAGCCAAGAGACTACTTCCTGATCGTCAACTTACATTTCATTATACTGCTCTGTTCACTTCCTTCTCTAGGTTTCAAATTACCTGGCTTATGTATTTGTTTTATAATTGTTAGATATACACATTTATACTTAGAGAATTACATATATATTCATGCAATACATGCAACTTCAATGGAACTATTGTCTATACCAATAATACTACCTTGTTTTTGCCTGGGATTTTACTGAGAGCTATATCTTGAGCATTTAGCACAAGGCCAGGAATAAAGGTCTTCCTTCCTATTTGAATGTATGGGTAATTGGGTAAAGAAGAAGAGAAGTGAAGCATAAATTTTTATTACAGTAGATGCTGTGACATAAAACCATTGATTTCTATGCTTTTGTGTGTGCCATGGGAACCTTATCTGATTTTACCCTACAACAACAGTGGAGAAAAATTGGCTAAAATTTTATCTCTAACCTTAAATTCTAAGTTTATCTTATATAAATCTCCACGTCTCAGTTTCTTCATTAATAATACCAAGAGAACAGGAATACTCTAACTTCTTTTCTTTGTTTGAATGTTTAGGATATTTGTATTATTCATTATTTTCAACTTTATTAGTATTTTTGTTCATCTAGATTTATTTAAATTCTTATTTTGACAAATTTGTGAGATATATTGCTTCTGATAAGTGATTTGAAAGCAGGTTGATACACATATGTATGAGCTCTCTAATGACCGGATTTTTTAAAATTAATTTTTCAGGGTAATAGGCAAGTTGGGCAGTGATTAATAGAAAAGTACTGTTCTTTTAGTGATCAAATTGCAGCTCTACTTGTAAGATAATTAGTATCATGTTATGGTTTTCAAGCAGGAAGAGCATTTAAATATTTTAAAGCATGTCTTTTTTTATTAGGAATGATAAAAATAACTGCTTTGTCCAGTATCTTATCAGTTACTGTGACAATTATAAGTAGAACACAGGTAGCACCAGGGTTTTTCAGTCCTTGGCTTGTAATACTGCAGTCCAATTCAGTCCTATGGGTTGCCTAATTGTGGTACCAAAGACAGATGGAATTACTAACTCCAAAGAGTTTACTGCTTGCCATAGTAGGCAGAAATAAGATGGTTATGTATAGCCAGGGAAAATGAACCTAGGCTAGAGATCAGGGAATGACCCTGGATGACTTATTGGACAGAACTTGAAAATGCACAGGGAGAAGTTTAGCAGTGAGGACAGAACATTCTAGGCACGCTGAAGAGCATCTATAGAGACCCAAGGTGACTAGATGGAGTGTGAGGACTAAGAGACAGTCAGAAGCATTTTAGAAGTAGAGTTTAAGACAGCTACATTAGCAAAGGGTCTGACTGAATGGCTTTATGGACCCTGGCAAGCAACAGATGCGTGTGGATGGAAACCCATTGCAAGGTTTGAATCCCTGAAGTGGCCTTCTTAGATGTTGTATAAATCATATGAGTATCACTTATTTTTTAATGTTTATTTTATTTTTAATTGAAAAGTTAGATATACGGAGAGGAGAGATAGAGAGGAAGAACTTCTGTCCACTGATTCACTCCTCAAGCGGCCAGTTGGCTGGGGCTATGCCGATCAGAAGCCACGAGCCTGGAGATTCTTCTAGGTCTCCCACACAGGTGTAGGGTCCCAAGGCTTTGTGCCATCCTCAACTGCTTTCCCAGGGCAGATTAAGGAAGCTGGATGGGAAGCAGGACCACTGGGATTAAAACTGGCGTCTGTATGGGATCCCAGCATGTGCAATATAAGGACCTTAGCTGCTAGGCTACTGCACCAGGCCCTTGAGTATCACTTAATTTTAGTGGCACAAAGGTAAAATGTGCCCAATCTCCAGCTGGTCTTGACCCTAGGATGTGCAGGAATTAGCAGGGAGCCTAGCAGTACACCTGCCTGTCAGGCTGGGTCAGCATCTTCACCTCTGGGAGTCTGATTTGTTCACAGACTCTTGTTTTGGTTTCATTTTCTTGTGATGCTGAGAACATCCTGGCTTCTTCGATCCTTGACCTGGCAGGCACTCGATTCTGCCATCTTGCCTCGCTTCAAAGATGTGGTTCTTGTTCTTGTATCCTCAGGTGCCAGTTTATGTGTTAGACTCTCAGCTGCTGGGAGCCTGCGATTTTGAGTTTTAGTAGATTGTGTTGGTCACTACTATTCATTTCTTTTAGCTCCTAACCTGGAATTTCAAAGGAATCAAATAGCTGCTGCCTATATTGCTTGTTTGTTTTTGAATTATGAAGCATGTCTTTATTTTGAAGTAATAATTTTGTGTAACTCAGTTTTATTTCACTTATTGCAGTTGACATGATTTAATTTTCTTTAATATTGTAATGGATCAGACAAATGAAATGTCTGAATTGTTATTGTTTATTCAGCTGAAATTTCTTTTTTTTAATTTGCAGTTTTCTCGTGTACTGAAGAATAGAGCATGGCCCACCTTCAAACAGGCCAAATCCAAGATCTCCCCATTACATAGCAGTGATTTCTGCCCTACCAACTGCCATGTCAATGTGATGGAAGTTTCTTATCCCAAGACATCAACCTCCCTAGGAAGTGCGTTTGGTGTCCAGTTGGATAGTAGGAAGCATGGTTCTCATGACAGAGAAAATAAATCGACTGAACAAGGTACGTAAGTTTTGAGACTTCGTCAGATTATGGGAGGTAATTTAGACACACTTGAGAATTTTGGAATCTTGACATTTAATAATTTCTGCTGTGAAGCTAACCTGAAGAGTTTACTCAAGTTTATTATTTGAATAGCAACACTTACGTGTATATAGGGTGAAAATAGTTGGCACTTTTACCTTCTTCCTTATGAGAAATGCTCATTTCTCTTCCCATGCTTCCATGTATGATCAGGCCCAGCTCATCTTGCTCTCAAATGGTCCTGTTACTGTGAGAAAACTATAGGAGGAACAGTTGCAGAATGCACGCTGCCTTTCTGCCCCATTGCAGAGGCACAAGGGTTCAGATTGCTTTGGTAGTGTTTCATTTCAACCCTGCACAAACTTGGATTCCTGAATTCAGTTCACTAATGGATGAGCATTTTATGTGAGCCTGGGCCTCTCAGATGAACTGGACTTGATAACTGTGCTAAGTTAAAAGTTGGTAATATTTCTATGGGTTGATTTCTCATTCCTCAGGGAAGCTGAGCCCCATGGTGTATATTCAGCACACCATCACCACTATGGCAGCCCCTTCAGGTCTCTCTCTGGGACAGAAAGATGGCCATGGTCTCCGCTATTTATTAAAAGAAGAAGACTTAGAAACTCAAGATATCTACCAGAAACTGCTGGGTAAACTGCAGACAGCACTGAAAGAAGTGGAGATGTGTGTTTGTCAAATAGATGAGTAAGTATATTACACTATGCTTTTGAACTTGCCTAGTAAGTATAGAAAGTGTGACTTGTTCAAAACTCTATAATTCTCTGTCATTACTTGTTATGGTATTAAGACATGTATGCTGCTAATATAGATCTTGAAAGTGCTTAAGATGATTAATATATATGGGGAGATTTTAGCAGTCTTTTTATACTGGGAAAGAGTGACCCAAGTCTCTTACAGAACACTAAATGAATCTCAGTGTGAAACTAATAGGCTGCAATGTATTTTTGAAGAGCACTAACTGTGCATCGGGATTCCCTTGCATCAATTACAGTTCAGGGCATGAAAGAACTCCAGAGTTATTTCTGAAACAGACAGATGATAATAAATGCTTATATATTTCTTTAATGAGTAAATGCAAAAGTGTGCATCTCTAGATCAATACTATATCTTACTCTGGTTGAGTTAATGTCCCAGCAGACAATAATGCAAAAAACTGTGTCAGAAATTAGAAACTTTCAAGCAAGAGAAAACAGAGGTAGTTCATGAGCACTTTTCCAACGAGATCAACTCTCATTCTTATTTAACAATTTGGTGTTTGGAGGATTGCCCAGGCTCTGCAGGATGATTCCTCGCCTTCTGGCTTGGGCTTGGGCATCTCGTCTTGACAAAGCAGCTGTGTAGAGTCAAAACAGTCTGGATTTGGGATAGCTCAGCATTTTCTTCCATAAAAAGTGGGTGAGGAATGACTAATTCAAGTTTGTGATAAAAATATATAAATAGACAGAGAAAAGTGTCAGTGTCGCATCCCTGTCATTGTGTTCGCTCATGCATTCGAAGGCTGAGAATTATTTTCTATTCCCACAGTTGGTAAATTCTAAAAACAGTATAAACAATATTATCCTGTTTTCACTTTATAAGGTTGTTGGTTTAATTTGCAATCAAATATGTGTTGTTTATACCACACATACTCTGTATTTGCATAGATAATTCAGTTTTGAGCACAAAATATTTAGGACATAACTCAAGACTTTGTTGAATTGCACATTTTATATTTAAATTATTTAAATAAGGTAAATCAATTTCACATATTTCACAATACAGATTTAGGAGTATAGTGATGTTTCCCACCCTACCCCCTTTCTCTGTGTTTGATGGATAATTTAATTCTAAGTATAAACATGTTTCGCATAATTCAATACAGTCATGTTAGAACAGTGACATTGTACAAATGCCTGGCTTCGCCATTGCCATCAGTGCAGTCAAGCCTAGCTAATTATGTAAAAATACATTTGCCAAAAGCATTTCTCACCATGTAGCAATTATTTTATGGGGCCAGAGATGTCTTTGCAGCACAGAAAAGCTGATCTTTGGTGCATTGGCAAGTATTAAGAACAATTGCATTGTAACTTCTCATTGCTAGCCTTTCTGGAAGTTATTCATTCTGATAAAGAATCAGGTGTTGAGCTTGTCTTATCATGAAATCTATTTACCCTGTCACTTGGGAACACTACTCCTAGAAATAAAATTGTCTTTAACACATAGGAATTTCACAAAATCCTCCTACTTAGCTTTAAATCCAAAATGGAATGAAAGATGAGTTTGCTGTTTGGTACCATGAGATAACTGGCATAAATTTAATCAAGGAATTGTAATTATTTTTTTTCCTTTCTGAAGCTAATGGGTTATTTTCTGGTTAATGAAACTTAGATATAGAAATAAGTAAAAGGAATAATAATGCAGAAATAATCCCAAACCCTTGATTGGTATGCAAAATAGAGGATTTGTGTTTTCTCACAGAGAGTTCATGAATTCAGACTTTTGGAAGTTGGTGAAAATAGAAAACTTGAAAATAGACTTTGATTTACAGATTCTTGATACCCAGGATTGAGTGATGAGCAAATTTTATCTAACGTGTAGTAGATGGGGCCTGGTGCAATGCTCTATTGGTTACATCCTCGCCTTGTATATGCCAGGATCCTATATGGGCACCAGTTCCTGTCCTGGCTACTTTGCTTCCCATCCAGCTCCCTGCTTATGGCCTGGAAAAGCAGTTGAGGACAGCCTAAACCCTGGGGCCCTGCCCCCGTGTGGGAGACCTGGAGGAAGCTCCTGGTTCCTGGCTTTGGATTGACTCAGCTCCAGCCATTGCGGCTATTTGGGGGTGAACCAGTGGATAGAAGATCTTCCTCTCTGTCTCTCCTCTCTGTGGATCTGCTTTTCCAATAAAATAATCATTTAAAAAAATCTTTAGGGGCCCGGCACAGTGGGGCAGTGGTTAAGGTGCTCACCTTGCACGCCCAGGATCCCATATGGGCGCCGGTTCTATCCCAGCAGCCCCGCTTCCCTTCCAGCTCCCTGCCTGTGGCCCGGGAAAAGCAGTCGAGGACAGCCCAAGGCTTTGGGACCCTGCACCTGCGTGGGAGACTTGGAAGAAGCTCCTGGCTTCGGATTGGCATAGCATTGGCCGCTGTGCTTACTTGGGGAGTGAATCATTGGACGGAAGATCTTCCTCTCTGTCTCTCCTCTCTGTATATCCACCTTTCCAATAAATAATAATAATAATAATAAAAATAAATCTTTAAAAAAAATCTTTAAAGTAGACAGAAAGAGAACTGAAGAAGATACATGGATGGTAGCTTGATGAACTGCAGAGAAAGGAATGCCTTGCGATTTAGTGACCTGCAGGTTACTGAAGAGGGATGGTGTTGTATGGTGATGGAATTAGCTCTAAGGTTTCCTTGAGTTTTCCAGGTCAGTGCACAAAAAAACAGTCTCATAAGCACCGACATATTGGCATATGTGCCTCACAGGGTTGTACTGATTACGTGCATTGATTCCTTCCATTCTTGTATACCCTCTGTGATTTGCAGTATAAAACAGGTCTGTATCACAGTTATCTCAGAATATTAATTATAACTTCCTCCTACTCAAGCCTATTTTGACCAGTCTCTTACCCACCTTCCTCTTCTCTGTGAAACATCTCCCTCTCTTCAGTTCATCAAGTCAGAGTCCAGGTGTCATACAGTTCTCTTTCCTTTCATTCAATTTCAACTACCTCAACATGTTCTATTACTTATTCTTCAGAATATATCCAGCATGATTGCTCTGGACTGAGTCATCCCTCATTGGCACCACCGTAGGCATTTCTAATCTCTGCCTCTCTGTCATATATTCCATGTCAGTAGATACCAATTGTGCTAGTCCCCCATTGAAACCAATCAATGACGTTATATTGCAGTTGAAGTAATACTAGGCACATCATCGTGACCTGTATGTTCCTTGGTGATCCACCTTGTCAAGCTCTCCACACTCATTTCACCATCTCCTACTTCACTAGCCCCTTGCTGTCTCTGAGAAGGCTTTGCCTGCTTAGGTCTGCTGCCTCCCTGGCACTCAAGGACCAAGCCTATGAGAGGTCCTTCCAGAGCCTATTCCTAGTACCCAACATAAAGTAATCTATTGCTCTGCAACCCATTTCTAGATGCCTCCTCAGTTCCTTTACAAGGCATCTCTAGACTTCATTGTTACATTAACAAAGGAACCTGCAGACTTAAAACAATATATATATATATATTTTTTTGGATCATGGGTCATAGGTTCTCTTCACCTTGGGTAATAGCTGACCGAGCCCTGACTGCATAGAAGAAGAAGGGAAGGCAGGGAAATGTGGGTTGGCATTATGGCTTTTGCCTAGCAGTGACCTGTGTTGCATGCACTCACAGTGCACTAGCTACATGGCTATAGCTTAGCCACATGGCTATGCTAGTCCTTGGAGTTCTAGCAGCAGTGACACGAGCCATGTGCCTGACACAACTGGCCGTAGTGGACAACACTAACAGTCATTCTACTTCTAGAATTCTGGGAGAAAGACCTGCTTCATTGACAAAGTGTGTATGTGCAACAGTGTCTCACTAATGATATTGATATTACTATTGATAATGATTATACTAGAGCTTGGTGTAATGGCTCAGTGGCTAAATCCTCACCCTGCCTCTGCCAGGGTCTGATACGGGTACCAATTCGCATCCTGGCTGTTCCACTTCCCATCCAGGTCGTTACCTGTGGTCTGGGAAAGCAGTCGAGGACGACCCAAAGCCTAGGGACCCTGCCACCACATGGGAGACTTGGAAGATGCTCCTGGCTTCAGCTCAGCTCAGCTCTGGCCATTGCATCCACTTGGGGAGTGAACCAGTGGATGGAAGATCTTCCTCACTGTCTCTCCTTCTCTCTGTAAATCTGACTTTCCAATAAAAATGAATAAATCTTGTAAAAAATGATGATACTAATAATTGTGATTGTAATATTTTAAAACACAGATAACTTCATTGTGCTGCATGCAAAACAGTTATTTAACTGCTATAATGACAAGCCTAATGTGGACTAATATACTGCTCAGTGTTTAATTAGTGAGCCATTAGTAGGTAACAATATTGAATAGGAGCATAATAAAGTAATATATATTTGCATGCAAAAATAAAACATTATACCTTAGTGCATTATTGGTGCTTTTTAAGTCTTAAAATTTCATTTAAAACATGTTGTCAAAGTTACGGTTCTCCTATGACTTATTTGAAGCTAAAACTGGATCCCACAGGGTAATTTCAGACATGATAGCAGCTGTTTATAATGAAAAGTAAATAAGTGAAAACAATTCCTATAACTTTGCAGAAATTATGTATTCTTAGCCTCCTGACTCCTAAGTTAAAATATACATAAACGTTGAGGAATTCTTGCAAAATGAAAACTCCTGCATCTCTTTCCTCGTTGTTATGCAGAATCTGCCGGTGCAATGCAGAGCCTCTGGTAATTAGAGTTAGTCTACTGTTTTCATCTTTTTGGTAGAAATGAATGCATACACAATCTGTCTCGTAAGACATAGAGGTATCTTTGTAAATAGAAAAATAAAAACCTTGTGTCTAGAATAATTTATGGTTTTCCACTATTGCAAATATTCACAGAACCCTAACAAGTATGATGCTGCTCCCCCAATTTTTAGTGGTGCGTGAGAACTGTGGCAGGCCAAATATTATTAAAATATCCCCACTCAGCATGAGACCTTCCCCAGCTGTATTATTTGAAATTGTAGCTCTGTGCTTTCTTCTCTGTATTTTCCTCCTTAACATTTGTCATTGTCTGATACGCTGTAAAGTTCACTTGTGTTATTTATATACTCATGGGAGAATTTGGGCTGCAAGCAGGCAGAGGCTTTTGTGTGTTGGTAAACTGCTGTATCCAAAACACGAAAAAAACCCTCCCACAATGATACAATAAATGTCTTTACTTAATTGGTGAAATCACTTAACAAATTCTTAGTCAAGGCACAGCACTGATTTTGGTGTTATAGAGTGTGGATAAGAATTATAAGACATTTCCATAGTTTCAGAACAGCAAAAGAAATGTTACATCATTATAAGAAAATGAGTATCAATGTATAATGCTATTGATGGGAAATAAATGTCATGGATATTTACTGCATAAGAAGGTGCTTGTTGGTCTGGTGAACTCTCCTGAGCCCTTTGTTTCCATATGGTCTGATCTATTTTGCAAGTTTTATCACATGCTGTTTGATAATATAGATTATTCTCTGCATAATCTTGTTTAAAAAGGTTTATTTACTGCAAATGCAGAGAGGGAGAGAGAGATACAGAGAAAGGGGTGGGGGGAGATATTTTTCATCTGCTGGCTTACTCCCTAAGTGACTACAACTGCCAGGACTTGGCCAGGACTTGGCCAGGACTTGGCCAGGACTTCTGTCCTCAGGAAAGTTAGCAAGAAGTGAACTGGAAATGGAGCAGTGTGACTTGAACCAGTAGTCCACTATAGGCTGCTAACTTTGGGAGCAGTGTCTTAACTTGCTGCACCTCAGTACGAGCTCCTGAACAAAAGCATTCTTCAGGGAATATACAAGACTTGTGTTGGGGACTCAGTAGGTACTCAAAGTCTCCATTCAACCTTGAGCTACCATCGAAGGCTCGTTTTGTCAGTTGCGTAACATTTCAACCTGACTGCATGACAGCTTGGACTAGGGTTGTCACATGCTAGATGTATCTGCCTAGTATCTTATAATCATTAAGTTCAGATCCCCTGTCCATCTTGAGCAATGGGAAGGAATGGGCAGAATGATGTGAAACATGGAAGCTTGGTAGAAATATTTGTAAACTTAACATAGTAAAATAGTAGCAGCCAGTTGAAATGTACACTTATTATGTTTTTTTTTTTTTTTAACATCACAGCCTTCTGTCTTCGATAACATATTCACCTAAGCTGGAGCGTAAGACTACAGAGTGCGTGATCCCAACAGACAGTGACAATGAGAAGGGAGAACGCACCAGCAAGCGAGTCTGTTTTAATGTAGCAGGAGATGAACAAGAGGATTCAGGTCATGACACCATCAGCAACAGGGACTCTTACAGGTAAGTTACCAATTCTCCCAACTTGTGGCATCAACAAATTCAGATAGGATTATGAATTTTCTATACAATTCTTGAAAACCATTTTTTGTTGTTGTTGTTACTTGTTTTGTTGACTGTTCTTTCAAAATAGTCACCTGCTGTTATCCACAGTTGCCCTTTGATAATCTCAGTAACTTGCACAAAAGCATTTTTCTGCATCTCTATAAATATAATTTCAGAATGTAAATTAGCCTGATTTTTCTCACCCAACCCTGTAATCAGCTGCAGTTTCAGATTCTCTTGGATGCTTTCTGTGTACATATTCTAGGACTTGTGTAACACAGCAGCAAGGTGAGGCGCCTTCACAGCAGAGTGATTGTGACACAGTTGCCAAGGCCAGAAACCTGAGCACCAGGGTACTGGTTGTGTTGATTCCTCTCTGGGGCTATGATGGATATGCCAAAGATTTTCTGACCTGCAGTGAAATCATCTAAGTCTCTTCTCCATATGTGTGTCCCATGTCTGTACTGCTCTTCTGTATTTTGTTGTATGATTTATTTGTTTGAAAGGCACAGTAACAGGAATGGGGACTTGGAATAGAGGAATAGAGAAAGGAATGGGAGAGATCCAAATCATTCATCTGCTGGATGATTCCCCAAATATCTGCAACAGCTGGGACTAGGACAGGCCAGATTCTTGGCTAAGAACTCCATCTGGGTCTCCTCTATAGGCAGTAAGAATCTCAGCACCTGAGCCATTGCCTGCTGCCTCCCAGGCACATTGGCAGGAAGCTAGACTGAAAGCATAGCCAGGCAGGGTCTTGAACTAGGTACTGAAGTGTGGGAAACATCCCAAGCAGTGACTTAGCTTGCGGCACAGCACAGCCTCTATGCTTCCCTTCTTTTAAGGACACCAGTGATATTGCACGAGGATCTACTCTAGTGATTTCTGTCCAGAACCTGTCTCCATACAGGACCGCATCTGGTGCATTGGAAGCTAGAATTCAGTAAACCAGAATTTACAGAGGAAGCAATTCAGCTTATTCCTCCTACCTCATAATCCCTGTTGTTTGTGTGCTAACTTCTCAAATGATGGCTGTTCCAGTGGCATTCCTTAACTGAAAGTGCTTTTGCTCCCTTCTTGAATCCTTGTATCACCTGCAACTAACTTCAGGGAGGATCATTGTAATCAGAACTCTGGGAGCTTTGGCATCTCACATTTCATTCACAATTGTTGAAGCCAGAAACTATCATAGTCAATAACCAATATTGTTTAGTATGCAATATTTTACATGAAAATTTAATGTATTCATACATATGAATATATATAATGTATTCATTATATATATTCATCATATATATTCATTATATATATGCTAAGGGAATAGATTTAGCTTAGTGGTTAAACTTTTGTTTAGGATGCCTGTTCCAGTCCCTGATTCCAACTTCTATCCAAAACAGATCATGGGAAGCGGTGGTGGTGGTGGCTAAAGTGACAGCATACCTTCCCTCCACATGAAGACCTGGATTGCATTTGTGACTCCCAGCTTCTTTTGCAAGCACTTGGGGTGTGAACCAGCCACCAGATGAAAGCCCTTTCTCTGTATCACTCTCTTTTTACAGTTTCTCTGCTTCTCTGATCCAGACACATGGGTGAATTGGATGACTTTACCCAATTCCCTTCCCAACCCCATGTGTTAAAAACTGTTATTAACTGTTTTACATATGAGGAGCCGGAAGCTGACAGAAGTTACGTGATTAGGTGGCCTGGCTTCATGGTTTACCACTTAACCACTCTACTTCCCCAGTTTCTTTGTTTTTGAAAGGAAGTTTAACAAATGCAAGAAGTTTAGAGATTTAATGATGTGTAACACAGATTAGCTACCTTTACCATATCATCATTTTCTTTTAGCTTCTAAGGAGACCAACATGTTCTTTAGTAGGGATCTGTAGGGTTTTTTCCCCATTGGGAAATTACCTGTCTAAAAATACTTTTGTACCTGAGTTCTAATTATCAGATAATTAAAATTACCCTCAAAGACTCTTTGGACTAAGGTAGAGTTTTAAAATGTAAATCTAAAGTTAAGTAAGTTTTTCCTACTTACTCTGAGAAAGAATAGTATTTTATGTCTTACCCTATTTCTGAAATATATATTACATCCATATCACATACCAACCTTTAAGCACTCTTTCCTTCAACATTAATAATGCCCAAATACTTGAACTGTGTGGAGCTCAAAGGTATAGACAGACAAGCTGCTTTTCCTGGGAAGTTCAGAGCATACCCAGTAAACTACCAGATAGGGCTGAATAAAAGGAGAAATCATGAACCATGACATGTTATCTATTAGCAAGTTATCTAGCTACAGATGTGTATGCTCAAAGACATTATGAAACCTTCGAAATGTAATTTGACTCCTAGTTTTTTTTTTCTTAAGTGAACATTCAAGAATATCCACTGGGACTAGATTATTTGACATAAGGAAGTATGGGATATGCGTGAATTTAAAATGTTTCCTTTTAGAAGGATAAATTTGATATAGTGAATGTGTCTGTGCTGTAACTTTCTACAAGACATCCTAGACAAGCTTACATTTGTAGAATGAGGACACATAGGGAAACTTGGACAACTGCACTTGTAAATAACATGGTTCATTCTTTTCAGTGACTGCAACAGCAATCGGAATTCGATCGCATCCTTCACCAGCATTTGCAGCAGCCAGTGCAGTTCCTATTTTCACAGCGACGAGATGGATTCAGGTACATTTGGTGAAGGCTTGCGTTCTTTTTGATGGTAATTCCACTGGAGATAACTTTAAGGATTGCTTTATTTTAGTGTATCTGTCTCACTTTCTATCTATCTATCTATAACTTTTTTAGTCAATTTTGATGACTACCCATAATGTATTTCAGTTTCAGTTGCTTGATGAAGTCAGTATCCTTGGCCCATTATAAACAGCATTGCCTATACCTGCAGTACCATCACATACTTCAATAGCAGAATGATGAACTTCTGACTATTGTTGAAGGATTGTGTTATTGAAATAAAATAGGGGAAATCAACAGGGCCAGAATAGGAACGGAATGGGGAGAGTGGGAAGGGAAATCCCTGAGCCTATGGGACTCTAGCATGAAAATAAAAAAAAAGAAAAAAAGAAACTTTAAAACAAAAATAAAAGCCTTTTTATATAAATACATAATTTATGAAGGATTATAGTTACACATGAAACAAGACTTACTAAAAGCATTAGGCATTGTTCACTGGGATAAGGAAATGAGGAGCATCAAACTGATGAATTAGGAGTTAGCCAGTGCACCTGAGCTAGTCTTATACGTGTCTACTTTAAAAATTTCATGCAAAGGGGACCTGTACAATGGTATAATAAGCTAAACCTACTCCTGTGGCTCCAGCATCCCATAGGTGCACCGATTTGTGTCCCTACTGCTGTACTTCCCATCCAGCTCCCTGCTTATGGCCTGGGAAACAGTGGAAGGCTCAGTGTTTTTGGTCCTCTGCACTTACATACAAGACCCATAAGAAAACCCTGCCTCTGAACTTTGGATCAGCATGTCTCTGACCATTGCAGCCATGTGGGGAGTGAACCAGCAGATGAAACATCTATCTCTCCTCTTTGTGTAATTTTACCTTTCAAATAATAATAAAATAAACTTTCTAAAAATTATTGCAAAAGAGAACTGAAACTAGGTTTGTTTTGATGTCAAATAATTTTGAAAAATATGCATAATTTTTTTTAGTAATACACATGCTCTGTCAATTTTTTAAACTCCCCTTGTAAGTGGGAAGTAGCTAGAGAGGGATAATGAGAAAAACATAAATATGGTAAATTCCTTATAACACTTTATTTTTTGGGTGTTAAGAACAAATACTTTTCTTCCAACTAGGAGAAATTTGAATATGTGAATTTAAACATTGAACTGTAAATCATTAGGCAAACACAACATTGGAAAGAATCGTTACCAAGTGTCCCTTTTCTGCTCTTATATGTGTCCTTAAGGAATCATACTCTGATAGTCTGGGAGCTGTTAAGTCTTTGGGATTTTTTTCCCTGAAATGAGAATTAGTACATTGAATGAAAATGCTTATTTATGCTGTTGTTTATATATTGATAACTACTGGATTGTGTGTTGTTTTCCTTTTTTCTGTTTTGACACCTAGGTGATGAACTTCCCCTCAGTGTTCGCATTTCTCATGATAAACAGGACAAGATACACAGTTGTCTGGAGCACCTGTTCAGCCAGGTATGATTGGGGCATGTGCAGCTCTATTTCCTCCCACAATAACTCAACACTCCTTAGTTAGACACGGTAAGAAGAACCTGAAGTTAATTGAGAAGGTTTCGATCACTCCCTGCTTCTCTTTCAGTTTAGATGAATACAGATCCCTCTGTAGCTAACCCTGTAAGTACTGTGCATTTCAAATAGCTTATAATTCTCAGTAAAACAGAAAACGTTGTATGCAAAGGAGATAATCCTTTTGTTATTTGTGGAAGTCGTGTGGGTTTTCAGAATAGTTTGTGATGTTTATTCCTTAAAAAATAACAGCAACAACAACAAAAAATGTTTTATCCCTAGCTTCAAAAGGTAGAAGATTCTCTTGGCAGTCATATGGTTGTCATGCATTTAAGAAAAACATAAGCATAAGTGAAAATGTTTCCAATAGAACCTTGTATGATTTGAAAGGTGATGTCAGTAACTCTTAGGATTTTAAAATAATTTTCCTGATTTTTTTGCTTTCTTTTGTGAAACAAATTCATATTCTGCATGAATATGTGGGAAAATAAATGTTATAATGTTATTAGGTGAACAGGCAAGTTTGTCACAATATTTTATTTACACAGATTTTGCAAAACATAATAGAATTTCAAAATAAGAAGAGCAAAGAACTGTTCCTAGGAATCTGTTATTACTGTTATTGTTACAGATGAGTAACTTGGAATCTTGCTCTTGGTAGGTGGATTCAATCACTAATCTCCTAAAAGGGCAAGCTGTGGTGAGGGCCTTTGATCAAACCAAGTATCTTACACCAGGACGAGGACTGCACGGTAAGATTAGGAGATAAATGCTGTTAGACATTGTAGCTGTGAAACAAAACTTATCAGGTAATGAGGGAGATTCTAATTTCTCAAGGTTCATAATTCACTGAGTACTTCTGTTTTGGTAAGATTTGAATATGAGAAGTAATCACTTTAGGATATTTTACATTTCTTCGAAAATTTAAAGTATTTAAACCCGATAGAGTTCAGACCAAATGGAAATGTGATAATTAACAAGAAGTATTTGGATTTAACCAAGTTTTGATGAAGCCAAACATAGTGCTCACTTGATTATACTCATGTCCCGGTAGCGGGTAAGAGATTTGGGGAAAGTGAATTGGCACAGAGTGGCCAAACTAAACAGGGTAGAGTCGCTTCCAACGTCCTGTTTACCCCCTTGAAAAAAGAGTTCTCAGCTAAATGTGCTTCTTTGCTTAAACGTTTTTAAGAAAATAACTTAAAGGTGTAGCATTTGAAATTTAGCAATTTTCTGTTGTGACTTAGCAGAAGATATTACCTTCATGATAATACATCAGGTTGACAGTAAAACACTATTAAAATATTGAAGGTCTTGGGAAATTGTTGAGCCTTACAAGAGATTTTCTACACTTACGTAGAATTTCAGCAGGAAATGGAACCGAAGCTGAGTTGTCCAAAAAGATTACGGTTGCACATCAAACAAGATCCTTGGAATCTCCCCAGCAGCGTCCGGGCACTTGCTCAAAACCTCAGAAAATTTGTTGAAGGTCAGTATGAAAAGCAGAGAGCATTGCATGGTATCAGCATAGTCGCTGAAGAACCCATTGAAACCAAATGTTCAATGATGCCTGATTACATCTGCTGTGTTCCATGTTGTGAAAATAAAAGAATACAAAATGGTGTGGGAGGAAGAGGGAAAGAGGAGATAAAGTTGCAGTATCTCGATGGCGTGTATAGTAAGAATATTCTGCAGTATAATGAAGACTCATACTTGTGGAGACCTATGCAACATGGAGAGATTTTAATTTATTTGAATATGAAACTATCAGAAGAATGGTATTACAAAGGATTTTTGGAAACATGAAGCTGTGGAAACTAAAAAGTAAAATTGTGAATCTGTGAAAATCAAAATAACTATATAGGTTGCTTTTAAGTAGCTTTTTTCTTTTCCAGAAGTCTTTGTCTAAGCTAATTGTTTCTAGTTACCATAACATTGTTTATATGGGATTCTATTTCATAGGGCCAGTAAACTGGGGATACAGAACATGGAGAAAACTCCTGTGACACCAACTGTATGTTGTTTAGGCTCAGAGTTACTAAGTAGGAAATACTAGACATTCCAAAAAGATTAAGATTATCTAGTTTGTCTTAAATTAGACAATTAGATAATGTTAATTTAAACTAACATTATTAGATAATTAACATCTAATTCAATAATTTTCTCCCCAGTGATTAGACGAGTGATTGACCATACCTGGACGCATTTTTGATTGTCACAATTCTGGGTGTGCTCTTGGTAGCTCATTGGCAAACTCCGGGGCTGCTCTTAAATATTGCACAAGGTAGAAGAGTCTCACAACAACAAAAAAACTTACTGTTTCCATATGCCAGTGATGGTAATGTTGAAAAATATGTACAATAATTGTAAAACCTGTGTTTATGTTTTTATCCCTATGTCACGTTCATGTTGGTTAGATGTGACAGGAACATTCTGCTGAACTGTAACTGAACGCTTTGCGTTTTCAGGAGAAGTGCAAAGTAGTGTACTTTGCTAAGAAAAGACAACTCATTCCATTGGACTCTGGACTTACTTAGCTTCCTTATTCAGCAAATGAAAGAAATGCTTTAAACCTTCTGTGATTACTAAGTCTTCAGCATGGAAATATATTCAGACATAATATTTTACATATTGTTCCTATGTCAATAGAGAGGAAGTTTATACAGACAGGTTGCTTCACAATAACACTGTTTTGTGATGAAGTCTCTTTTCCTTAAACAGCTGCATTTCTTGGCTGATTCTTTTTTTTATATAAAGATTTATTTGTTTTTATTGGAAAGATGGATATACAGAGAGGAGGAGAGACAGAGAGGAAGATCTTCCATCTGATGGTTCACTCCCAAAGCAGCCGCAATGGCTGGAGCTGAGCTAATCCAATGCCAGGAGCCAGGAACTCCTCCGAGTCTCCCACACGAGTGCAGGGTACCAAGGCTTTGGGCCATCCTCTACTGCTTTCCCAGGCCACAAGCAGGGAGCTAGATGGGATGTAGACCTGTTGGGATTAGAACCAGTGCCCATATGAGGTTCCCAGCGAGGACCTTAACCACATTCAAGGCGAGGACCTTAACCACTATGCTGTGGCGCCGGGACTGGCTGTGATTCTTTAGTGCTTAATATAATGACCTCCTGTGACACTATGTAGTTTCACATTTGATGAATTCAAAATTCTGAGTTTGAAATTCTCCAAAGTAATCAGTAGTAGTGGTGATTAATGCATTTATGAAAGACAGTTTAGTGAATTTAAGTGTATGCATTACTGAGTAAAAGGCATATTTTTAGTAAATAGATGCCAAACACATCAAGAAGTTATAATCCTGCACTGGTTCTTATGGGAAATTTCAAAGTAGTTTTCATAGGGACAAAGGATTTTGAAAATGTGCTCCCTCAGAGACTGTTGAATTTAAAATATGATGGTTCACTCAAGTAAAAATGTAAATTTAATATTGATTAGAAGTGGGGGAATCCTTAAGACTTTTTTTGTTTCTTTCTTTAAAAGCCTTTTTCTTTAAAATGTGAACTTTCAATGCAGATCAAAAGCTCATTGTTTCAAAGTTATTCATATTAAAAGTCTCAGAACATTGTTTACTGTGTACATGCAAAGACTGTTATTACTGTGATATGAATTTAACTAGGCTTATATAGAATTCTAAATATGACTGGGTAATATTTCATATAAGTGTTAAATTTAGACTGAGAGGAGTAGAAATATGAGTGGAAAACGAATAAAGTACTTGCCAAGGAATAGGATAGCAATAAGTAACAAATTTCCAGCAATCTAAGATAGATTTTATCATGTCATCAAGAAACTGAATTAGAAAGTCCCTCTGAAAAATGACTTCTAATATCATTAGATGAGTTTAGAAGTCTAGCAGACAATCACAAATCTCTGCTATGTAGCACTAAAATTATGAACGTAATATTTTAGGAAGTTGAATCTGCTAATGGTGCATCAGAATCAGAAAAGACAAGAATATTACTCAGAAAACCACTGGCATTTTGAGCTATGATTGAAAAAAGGAAAAAAGTTAGGTGTATGCTAAGATATTGAGACAGAAATAGAGAACCATCAAAAAAAGTAGAGCAGATTCAAAGTAGTTTTGGGGGACAAAGGATTCTGAAAATGTGGTCCCTCAGAGACAGTTGAATTTAAAATATGATGGTCCACTCAAGTAAAAATATCTTCATTCAGATGATCATGTGAGACTAGAAGTCACTCTGTCCTTCTCTCCTTTATCCTCAGTTTAGCAATCATCAGTACACCACTATGCAGTTGTATAGATTTTGTTGGTGCTGCAGCAATCCTTCCTAACTTTAGATCATAACATTTTATGTGATTGGTTTATTTATTTATGTATTTATTTGGAAGGCAAACTTAGAGGGAGAGACAGACAGACAGACAGACACACACACACACCACACACACACATACACAAAGAGAGAGAATGTGAAAGAGAGAGTACTAAGTGGCCTCTATGGTTAGGACCGAGTGTGGCTAAAACCAATAGCTTCATACAGATCTCCCATGTGGGTGGCGGGGCCTAAGCAATTCTGCAATCTCAGACTTCAGTTGCGATCTCAGGTAGATAAGCAGGAATCTGGATCTGAATTGTAGCAGCTGGGATAAAAATCAGCACTCATAAGGGATGGTGCCATCAGAGGTTGTGGCTTAACTTAGTATGTCACAATTCCAGCTTCAGAATTGTTTTTGATGTTCTAACTGATACACATTTGATGGGATAGTTTTAAATTAGAGACTAGCCAATCTTTTATAAAGTCATATCCATTTCATATATACACCAGGTGGCCAGGTGACAAAGGTCACATTTCTAGCTAAGACCTAACTTCCTATTAGATTGTTCTTTGAATAAAGAGCAGTTAGAAAATAGTATGAAAAGTACTTTAAAATTTAAGTAAGATAAACTCTTGCTAAACTATTGAGGTTACTCTGGGGTCCTCTATACAGTGGATAACTTATCTCAAGGAAATCTCTAAAAGTTTAATTAATAATTGCAAAAATACTTTTGGAAAGTATAATGACACAGACTGTACTACCTTGTGAGTTTAAAGACCAACTGGTAGGTGAAAACGGCTAAGGATGATTTGCAAAATTGTAGAATTGGCCTGGTATTTCATCTACTCATATTATTTAGAGCTGGAAGATGTTTGACATTCTAGGGAGTTGGAATAAGATTTTCATTGGAAAATGAGCAAGTGCAATATTTAATATTGATAGGATTTTATTCTCTAATTAATGAACTTAAGAAATTTCATGAAAATGGTGTTTAAGTTTACTTTAGTGTGAAAAATGTGAGATTTATGAATTGTGATATGTTGGCTTATTACCAAATGCCTAGACTAGTTAGAATAGGACCAGACTGAAGTCAAAAGACCAGAACTCCATATGGGTCTCTCATGTGGGTGGCAGGGACACAAGTATTTGAGCCATCACCTCTGCCTCCCGGGCTGTGCATACCAGGAAGTTACAGCAGCGGCAGAGTGATGAATATTCAAATATGATGCAGCTGTCCCAAGAAGTAACTTAATTTCTGTATCAAATGCCCACTCCTTCATAAAATTTTTGCAATCAACAGTTATCAGGAACTTTTTTTTGAAATAGAACAAAATCAATTTTTTAATGCCTGGCTTCTCTGCAAGAAAATACAATCACAATACTGATTAATCAGTTTGTTTTGTGCACTGATTCCTTTCTCCAATATATTGTTCCCAGTGGCTGTGATGAAGGTGAGCAGATGTAGGTACACGGGTTTATTCCACATTTCCGTAGAAACATCAACTGTTCAGTTTAGAAAAAAGCATGACGGCATTAAACTAAGAGATTGCAAAATTATGCGGAAAATGAAGTCCACTGTTAGATCTTAAAGTTAACCATTTTGATCATTAACACACAGGATAGGTCAAATATCTTTGAGCAAGTTCATTGATTCAAGCTCAACTCAGTGACTGCATCTGAAAAAGGACTATTGGATTCAAATCCTCTTCAGTACTTCCCTTCACTGTCTAGACAGAAAGCATTTGCACATTACTTAGTAAACACATTGTTCTTTTAAAACTTTCTAAAACACTTTGATTCTCTTTGAACCAATTAATTGACAAATTCACTTCTTTGGGTAAGTCCTGACACTGTTGTAATAATGAATCTCCATTTATACTAACTGGATAATAATTTGAAGTATATTCTGCAATCACTCTGGAAGTACATGCTCAATCTAATTGTATTTCTCTCAGGATAATAATAAATGTATTTACATTTTCTGAACATGAAGTTAGTTTTACTTGTAAGAAGCAGTTCATACATATGAGTATGTTATTAAATAAATACCAGGATTAATTGGCATCTGTGGATAATGGGCAGCTTACTAAAGTTATGTGTAATTTGTCAATGATTTGTCAATGAGTGTTTAGAATTCTGATTTGGGATCTCTCACATATATTTTTTAAAAGTCCACAGTATCTAGAACCTGAACAGGAGAGTAACAAAATTATATGTGTCTCACAAATGTCATGGTACCCAATTTCAGATACATCAAAATTTGGCTGTAATGAGAGATAAGAAAAATTATTCTTGTAATGGAAAGAGTGGTACACTAGAAACAGTCATTTAAAAAAGTTGGAATGCATATAGTAACACATGTTTTAAGCCTTTGGTAGAATCAGTGAATTACAGTTTTATCAAAAACTGTGTTGAGAAGTATTCCCATAAGTGTGTCCTTTTTGGGAAAGGGGTCTGTAACATCCATCAAATTCTGGAAGTGCTTGCATGCCAAAGTAAGTTAAAAATTACTTTGAGGGTTAACAACATCTGCCTCTTCACTCTTTCATAAAGGGAAGATTTTTACCGGATGGTACTTTCTCAAATTTTTCCCCGGAATGATAGCCAAATCCTGCTATAAAGCTAATGGCATAACTTGTAAAAGTTATTCTCTACTTAGCATTTTTCAAATGTTTACTAGGTGTCAGGAGAGTGCTAGAGGAAAGGGGTAACATGATACTATTAAAAACACCGGTAGTGTTAAATTACATCATCCTTCTGTGTGTGTGTGTGTGTGTGTGTGTGTGTGTGTGTGTGTGTGTGTGTGTTTTCCAGCTTTCTCTTCTGAAACTGCAATGCTGAATGCTGCATTTTGAGAAAAGCAAAACAAAATATTAAGTTTAGTTATCATAGATATTTTATGTGTTCTAGATGGGATGTGACCAATGGGTATAGGGTTTGGGGAACCATACATGGTGCACTAAGCATATGTCCTCTATTCCTAAAGTGATTGCTTCTTGTTTTTCTGGCTAAGACCAAATGCAGTGTTCCTGATGTGATGTCAGCAATGCTCAGGACTTATGAAGCTTAATCAGAACAGGGGCTACCTGGGGCAAAAAGAGAAGCAGATTATTGACACAGTGATCGATTGTATTAGGGCAGAGGAAAATGGTGAGAGAAAAGAAACAGTAGATGGATTCTGAAACATATTCCAAGGGTAGAATCTCCAACATGTGGTAACTGATAAAAGAAAAAAATGGGAGTGACACAAGCGAATTTCTATGGTTTTTAACTTGAATAATTGTATAGTTCTAAATACTGGGAGTGCAGTTAGGAAAGAAGAAACTGATTAGGAAGTAAGTGAGAAGGCAAGATGTAGAAGCTGGCAAAAACATATGCATGTGATCTGCATCAGACACAGAGACTTGGAGTTCATCTGAAGCTGGGTTTGGGCCTCGTTGCTGTATTGTATAGCAGATAATGCATTGACACGAAGTAGTATGGTGTGGCACTCATTCTCCCTTGTGGCTTCCTCTAGACAAAATTTTGTAAACAATAATGATAATCTCTAACATGTGAAATCATATAAGATTCATGAAAGCATCATAGTTATCAGGAACTTCTTGAGGATCCATCACAAGTATGGATTCAAAAAGTTTGGACTTAAAGGACCTTTTAAGACAATTGTGTTTTTCCTTGCAGTTGTTGAATAAATCTCTTACATCAGGAATCTGGTGATTTTTCCTGCACATATAATTTATAATGTTTATGGCAAGCAACTAACTGACATGCTTTTTTTCTCTGCAGAGGTAAAGTGTAGGATACTCCTGGCCCTTCTTGAATATTCAGGTAACATGTTTTCATTACAGTTTTTATTGTTTCTTGTATTTGGGGTCCAGGATCTTAAGTTTCTTTTTATCTTCTGCTTTTCACAAAGATAATGAAGATTGACACCTGCCTTCTCTAATTCCTTTGAAAGATGAATAAAGAACAGAAAAACACATACTCATCTTCAAGTACAGGTGTCTATCTGAAAACCCATATAAACATATTTAAGTAGAGTGCTATTCCAAAGAGAAATGGAAATGGAAGTAGGTTTTGGTAAAAAAAAAAAAATTGTGAATAGAATTTATTGTAAAACTCTGTGATTTTTTTGTTTATGAACCAGCAAGTATGCATTTAACACATCTTATTAATATTAGATCATTTCTGTCATGTACTTTGTCATAGTTAAAAATGTTGGCAATGAACAGTTACACAAAAACATAGTTAAATATTGGATCAAGCCATGAATTACATATGAAGACTGTTGGGCTCATAAAGTAAGGCACTGTGTTTATTTTGATCATCAACCAATACATAAAATAATGTATGTCACATAGTGTTCAATAAATATGTGTTGTACTAATGAAAGAAAAGTTTTAATGAAAAAGAAACAATCTATGAAATATTCCAATAAGCTTATTACCCAAATGTAGTTAGGAGGATATGTATCCTAAAGATTGGGAAAACTCAAGTATTATTTAAAAGATTGAAACATTGAATATTACTACCAACTCATCTGTAAACATAAAGACATAGGTATGTTGATTGACAGCCAATACTGGGATGCTTGTGTGTCAATAAACCTCCTTATTCTTTTTCATCACTAAGCTAATAATTATGGAGCTTAGATATCAAACAGCTGAGTAAAATGAAGTGTTAACAGTTTAAAGCACGGGTTGCAGCAAAGATTATAATTAAAACTAGTTTATTTGAATGCCAAAATTTTGAAATTTATAGCTCACATTTTTCCCTTTTAGACATTTCCACATCCTCCCCCAAATAAAACCCCACTTCATAGAATGCAATTCATGGAAAATGCGTATCACAAGAAAAATATGCATAGATTTCACAACACTTCTGTATCGCACTAAAATTATGTTTTAATTTCATTTTCCCACAGACTTTTAAAGTATCTTCGTTCACAGTAGCAGAATAGACTAAATACATATTTTTATACAATAAGAAAAATTAATTTGAGAGCTCAAAAGCAATTTTCAGATAAGTAGAATCTAACCCTTATGATCTCTACTGAAACCAGTAATTGAACAGATCCTTCTACATTTTGCTATTTCTTCCCACTCTTAATTTGAGCAATTTCTATGCAATTAGATTTTATTAAATAATTGCAGGTTCTAGGTAGGAGCAATTCTGTCAAAGCTACTGAAGTATTTTTTTTAATTATTTAGGCTTTATGCCTCACAATATGACAACTGAAAAACAAAGTAAGGAACATGAAAGGAAGATATGGAGAAAATTGTGCTTTTTTAGCTTCCATCTTGAAGCTTAGTTCTTAAGCAGAACATTTGAGCTAACATGTTACCTTTATAAGTCAAAGTAAATCAAACATTTCAAGAAACCAGAGAATGGACTCCTGTATTTTAATTTCATTTGTTTGTTATCTCCACTATTGTATTATTTCCATTTATTCATTCATTGAATATTTATTACACATCTGATCTGTTGGGAATGTTATTTTTGCTTTGGTAATTGTATACAATGACGTAGGTGCTTTGGTGAGGTAAGAATTGAACAAAGTTCATTCCCAGCTTAGACAGCTTATAATTATATGTAAAATACTCTTCTATAATAGTACATGCCTTGAAGTGTGTAAAGGGAAATGTCTGCCATATGTTGGTTAATTAGTAAGTTGAACCATAAGGAGTTACCATGGTTAACAATTTTGATCTATCAATGTAGCATGTTCATATAGTTCAATCTAATAAATGCTTTTAATATGAACTTAAACACTTCTAATAGCTAATCCCTTTGCAAGAATCAATTTTCAAGAATAGTTGTTACGAATGATGAAACAACACAGAGCAACTATGTTATACATATCACATACCTTTGATGGTTATTTAATACAGTTGTTCACTGTTCTTGGTAAACATTCTTAAAAATGATTCTTCTTTGTCAGTAAACAAAGGCTCACCACTGAATAAGGCAACATTTATGTGCAAGACACACTCTAATACTGACAGTGCTTCTTCATTTCAGAAAATAATTTAGACCCTGGAATATTCAGTAGACTTGAAGGGGAGATTGCTTTTCTCTTTTTTGTCCTTTGGATGCAAGTAATTTTTCAACAGACAGAATATGTGGCTTTGTCTTTATGTAGTTTACAAATACCCAGCCACCCAAAGAAATGAATGCTGTGTGTTGCTTTCTTTCCATTTGGCCAAACTCCTGGTGAAGAGTGGCGATTACAGGGCATACTTCTATTCAGAGTGAGCCAATCAAAAATCCAGTCAAGGACAGGGTTGGAATTGCAGTAAACGCATAAAAATTAGTTATGCTTAGCCTAAATATGTTACTTATGTCAAAGCAGAAGAATTCATATTTCTATCAATTTGAACATATTTATAGCTCATGAAATTTAATAGCTCAACTCAGGACACATATATTTATTTATTATTACAAGCAGTTGAACAGCTAGTACTCTTTTTTCCATGTGCATTTCACATTAATATTTTAGTCAGTCTAATAGGTAATTTAAAATATCTTTTTTCTAATTCTGTGGGGTTGGTTTTTTTTTTTTTTGGTCAACAGATTTAAATTTTCTTTAGGAGAGTATACTTTCAGCAAATGCAAGTAAAGAAAATATAAATATGCAAAGCCTTATCTTTCCTCAGATTTTATAAAACAATTTAATGATTTCACGAGAGGGTCACAATATCAATTAGGAAAAACTGTGTTAATTTCTGTGTTTAATTTTTTTCCATAAAGCATATCTGCCAAAATATGTGTTCAATAATGAGAACTCAAATTTCCTTATTTCACATCACTTGAGTTTAATGGGACATTGCCATACCAAGGCCTGTAAATGCTGAATGAATTGAGTTCCTCCATCCATGACATTTATGAAAACTGTGTTCTCTGACTCACAGACAGTGAGACACAGCTCCGGAGAGACATGGTTTTCTGCCAGACTCTTGTGGCCACCGTCTGTGCCTTCTCTGAGCAGCTCATGGCAGCCTTAAACCAGATGTTTGACAACAGCAAGGAAAACGAGATGGAAACCTGGGAAGCCAGCAGGAGATGGCTGAACCAGATAGCTAATGCAGGCGTCCTTTTTCACTTCCAGTCACTTCTGTCACCCAACTTGGTAAGGAATCACTTGACTTCCACTGTCTGTGTCAACTGTAAGCCTTGCTGTCACATGTTCCCTCATCTTCCTTATTAGATCCACATTCATTGAAATTCTTTAAAGGGATGTATTTTTCCACGGTTGTTCAAGTTTTAATAAGGGTACAAAATGTCTTCCTTCTTTCCTGGTTTTTCTTTCTCCTGCATGACTGCTAAAGATGAGAAAGCCTTCACCTGTTACTAATTCTTAAATCCCTAAGCTTTGACTGAAAAAGGTCAACAGGAGAAGGGGGTCTGTGTGCTGCTGTTTCTTGTTTTCAGTTGGAAAAAACAGCCTTCCACAAACTCAGAGCTCCCATTGTGGGTGACATTCTGCAACAGGCTTGCTAGACAAGCACAGACAACTCTTGTGCCACATTGTCTGACAATCTGCTTAAAATTTGCATGCATTAAATAACTTTAGTTCCTTCCTGTATATGCATGCGTATCCCCTCAAATCTGAAAGCACTGAGCTGATTACCATAACATATTCCTTGTTTATGCATCAATTTTTCCATAGTGAATATAGGGAAAACATTTTGAAACACTGGAGAAGTAAAACTTTGAACTATGGTGAGTTTGTTCATGCATTTTTTGGTATCGTCGTGATGTTTAAAAGCAAATGTTCGTATATTTGCTTTTGAATATAAGCTTCAACTTCAGGGACGCACTGCATAAAATGATCATCTTAAGCATGAGTGCCCATCTCATCTTTTAACGTACACATAGAAAATGTAGCTACCAAGTAACATGATTTTTTAATAAAAATGTGAGTTTATATGTTAAAAATTAATTTTTTCTTAAGTGATGGTAGGAGTAGGGAGACAACTGCTGTACTGCACTGACATGAAGGTTCTGAAATGGTGAAATATAAGGGGTTTCATCTCAGTGTACTTCAAAAAAACAAGAGTGCATTTTTGTAATATTCTGTGTACTCCATGTGAATGTGCCATTTATCACTAATACAGCCGAACAGGAAAAATTCAACTAGTGAAAGATTTGAAACAACACACCTTTAGAGAAGTGTTTAAAGACAAAATCGGGGCTAACTAATCCTCTATCAGTTGAAAATTACTTGTGATAGAAATCACACTCCTAACACATGATAGGCTTTATGTGTTTGTTGAATGAGAGTATGATTAAATAAGACTGTATTAGTACTCTATTTTCTTTATTTTAAAATTGTCACTGTGTAAGCATGTGAGGATAGCTTTATCCTAAGTTTCATGTGATTTAAACTCTCAAGGAATAGGGAGAAAATGTATAAACCTCATTTCTGATAAGTGGCATATGTCCAGAATATGTAAAAATACCCAGTTTATAATTGAGCAAAGAATTTTAAATAGGCATTTTTCCATGAAAGACATACAAATCACCAAAAAGTTTAGGAGCAGACATTCTATCTCATTAGCTATTGCAGTTCAAAAATTCAAAGAATTACTATGTTTTTTTTGTGTTGTGCTTGGTTGAAGTAACTCGAAACACAACAACTGTGGATGAGATGTGGAGTAATTACTACACTTAAACATGGTTAGTGGGAATGTAGAACAGTGCTGCGATTTTGGAAAATAACTTTATAGTTGGTCAAATGTTCAATGTGTACAATTGTCACCCAATAATTATACTCTTAGTAAATACTCAACTTTATATATAAAACTTTATATAAAGCTCTACACAGATGTTCCTAGCAAGGTAATTCTCATTTATTTTTACTAGTGTCTGTTATTGACACCTCACACACAATTACTTGTTTCCTGGTTTGTTGAAGCAGTTAAGTCAGACAACTCTTGCCCCAGTAATGCCTGTCAAAGTGGCTGACTGTGAGCACTCTAGCACAACACTCATCAGAAGGACTCTTCTGATGTAGAACGCTGATTGTACTGTTCTCATCCACCTTGGAGTACATCAGGACAATTAGATTAAACTTCTTTCTCTTTCTTGTGCTTCTTGAGAGTGGGATAAGAATTCTTTTTCTTGGCATCACTACAGAGTCTTAACACAGGTTGAAGAATGGACTCCTTTTAAATGCTGTAATCAGACGAAGCTGGTCTGTTTTCCAGTTGCTTACCAACAAAGACCAGTCTTTACTGATAAGGAGGAATTACTTCCTTATTCTGAATTTCAGCTTTCACATTTTCTATCATATCCAAAAGCTCAACCTCAAGGGTGATAGTCTTCCCAATAAGAATCTTTATGAAGATCTGCATCTTGGCAGCTGATCCACTACAGATGGCAGATCTACATTATTCCTAATGCCTAGGAACATGGAAAGAACCCAAATACCCACCAACTAATGACTGGCTAAACAAAATATGGTGTATTCATGCAAATGCATATTAGCAACTGTGGCTAGAAATGAAGTACATGAGACTTGAATTGATTATATAGAGTGAAATGAGTCAGTCACACAAGATCTCATGCTGTTTAGTTCCATTGGTATGAAATATGTGAAATGGGTAAATTCTGTCATCTGAAGGTAGACTACTAGAGGCTTAGGATAAGGACTGGGAATGGATGTCAGTGCACACTGATTTTCATAGAGAAGAGATAAAAATAGTGTAAAATTAGATGATGGTGTCACTAGTCTGTAACTTTACTGAAAATTGCTGAGCTTAACACTTTAAATAAGCAGATAAGATGTTATATGGATGACATATCAATTTTGTAAAACAAAAACTTATCATATGAAACCCTAAATATAAGAAATTGATGAAATGAAAAAAATCCAAAAGTTGGTAAAGACAACGTTGTTTTGTTTTTTTTTTTTTTAAAGGGGAGAAAAGTTCCAGTCTTTCTGCCTCTATAAAAAGAAATATAACTACCTAGGAACAAAATAGCTTTCTGGGAACTCTAGGCAGAGGTGACCTATGAGTCCTTGAGCTCTCAGCATAGTCAGTTGCCATATGGCTGTCACTTGGACCACAGATGCATGATGAGTGTGACTTTGCAACAAAGCTCTCAGTGGCCAGACACTTTGGAACACTTTTTCCTTTATGTGTTCTAAGACTTTGGGGTAGGCTCTACAAATTTGCTGGGCCATAAGCAGGGAGCTGTATGGGAAGTGGAACATCCAGGACTTGAATTGGCACCAATTTGTACCTGGTCTTTGCAAGGTGAAGATTTATTCATTAAGCCATTATGCCAGGCCCAAGAAGTGGCTTTACTTCACCCCCAATGAAATCCCCTGATTCTTCAATCATCTTGTTTCTTCCGAGCTCATGACATTTTTTTCCCTACCATTCTAAAAGTTTTTGTTTTGTTTTTTGTTAATACTGATCTAATGGGCGCTCATCCAGTATTCACTACTGTGAAGTAAGAACCCAAAGTGGTGGGTTTTTTCACAGTTTGTTTCTAAGCTTCTCCTCTCAGTCTGGGACAACCTTCCTGACTGTCTTCTCATTCAGTGGAAGTGTTTATTACTTCCTTGTGCCCTCTACTAATGCCTCAAAATATGGCTGCAGGCTAACAGCAGCTATTAAAACTGTTGTGCAAGCATGTTGAACTGCTCTAAGATTGAATTCATAAACAGGTGTTATCTTCAAAAAAAGAGTGTGTGATAGGATGAATTTTACTTTCATAATAAAAATAGTAGAAGATCCTGTAAGGATCACATAAATTGCTAATGGTGAGGCTGCGATAACTCATCAGAAAGGTGTCCCTAATGCAGGAATTGAATTTGTTACCGTGTGTGAGCCTTATCTTTCTCAGATCATTTACTGTGAGAATGGATGAAATGGTTAAAACAAATTGGGTCTGTTAATTCACAAGACGGTACACGATGGTTCCCTAGAGACAAGTGACATGAAAATGATTCTTGCCCCCATACTCCTTGGAAGAAAAATAATTGTTTGCATGAAAATTCCTTTTTATCACAGTTGTAACAAACAGCAAACTGAATAGTGACTAAATTATCCTATAAAATAGAATGGCCATTATCTAATGTGACTTTTGAGTAAAACAAAATATCTGCCGTTCAGATGTTGAATTTATGATGTTTTGAAGAGGCAAATAGGAATTTTTTAGTGTATTTCTTTGTAAATAATATTCTTTGATTAGAGTCTATAAGTTAGAATGAGTCTTTGTGGAACCATTTAATCAAGAGAGAAAAGGAAAATAGAACATCATAAAAGATGTTTATAGTATGAAAGGTTTGCTGATTTCACTTTGGGCCATATCTGTGGGTAATTTGGCCTTGTATGCAAACAAAACATAAATGAAGTTATTTTTTGGTGCGTATTTACATTAGGTCATGCCACATTATATTGCATTTTGTCATGTTATGTTATGTTTTGTTTTTGTTCCTTTGTAGACAGATGAACAAGCCATGCTCGAAGATACATTGGTTGCACTGTTTGATTTGGAAAAGGTTTCCTTTTACTTTAAACCATCAGAAGAGGAACCATTGGTTGCAAGTCAGTAACTAAATATTTAAAAATTTATTGGATATTGAACAATAACATAGTGCAGTTTTGATATTACCATACTGATATGGAGTACTTCATGAACTGAAGGATTGAAAAATTTTTCATGAACATTTTAATATGTATTACTTTATGGCTTAACTATTGTTTAGAATTTCTTTGAATTAGCAGTTTTCTACTGTTAAACCTAACAAAGGCAATATAGAAATTGCACAGAGAAGTAGCAACATGCTTGATTTAACATTCATTCCTTTTAATTTATGCAGATTAGTTATCTACTACTTCAACACTGTTGTAAGTTTAAAACCAAAGAAATCTTCAGCATTTTGTTATTTTTATGTGTCTCATATTTTACATATGGAGGATACTATATATTACTGTAGAGATGATAAACTTTTTCAGTGCAGAAGAGGCTCTTATTTTTCACATCCTCAATGTGTGGTACAATAAATAGAGGCTCAGAAGATTGCAGTGTAATCTATGACCTGCTTTTAGAATGATATTCATCAACAATTTCTTGACAAGATACTTCTTGATAAGGCTCTTAGACTCTTAGTTATTAGATTCAGTAGAGTTAACAAATGAATTCTCTCTCCTGGGAATCATTTTCAGGTTATCAGAAATAACAAGACAAAAATGATAATCTTATAGTAACGTAAAAGACAACCATGCAGATGATTTGAAGGCAAATAAAGGAGATCGGAGTATAGGGGTGGGGGCAGATAAACAGCTGCAAACAACAGGAAGTGAAGGTCTCCTAAGAAACACCAGATCTCCGATGATGGAAGGACTGAACAGTGTGGGTGTCAGCAGGGAGACCTCTCACACTGCTTTGATGCAAGGGTGGGAGTGCATGCGATGGGCTCCAGCAGGGTACCCAAAAGGCCTGCATGGCTGGAACGGGTCCCCAGGGAAGACCAGGCCAGAACGGAGAACAGTCAGCCAGACAGAACCATTCCATTGTGTCCTCCCTCCAATGTCAGTGAGTAGAGGAAGGAATTGGTCTTGCATATCAAAAAGCCGACTGCTACATTGAGAAGACATTCTGGAGGCAAGGGCAGAAGTCCAGAACCCTTCCAAAACTACTGCCTGACCAGCTGCGAGATATTGATGTCTTGGCTTAAGGGGAACAGAAGAGATGATTTAAAAAAAAAGTCAATGCTGTTTATGTAAATGTATGAAAAACAGAGCAGAGTTTCATTAAGGTTTCATTTCCACTGATGAGCAAAAGAGAACAAGAACATGAAGTACAAAATTAGACATTTAGGACTTATTAAAAGGAAAAAAATTCTTGGCAATATTTGATGAGGATAACGCTATTTGACCAAATTATGTGATTTTCTGCACACATCTCTGGAGGAGGATACATTATATTTCCATTTTCTTTAATAATGTGGGCATAGCTTTGCTGATGGAAGAGAGAACCCTCATTCTGTGATAGAGCCCAGTGTGCTCTTTATTTGCAGTTTTGCCTGCAGGGCTATAACCTCATAGAAGCACTGCCTTTTGTGGTTTCCAGTATGACATTATTGGCAAATGCTCTGCTGAACAAGTTTGAAAAGAGCCAATATTATAAAAGTATTAAAATATATACTTATGATATGTCTCCTGTGAGAAATTTAACTTTGGCATGTTGAAAAGCATACTAAATATTAAATACAATAGAGGCTATATAAAGAACAATAGTGTAAATGCAGTGTCAAACACAAAAGTGAAAGATCGCTTTCGAGGCCATACAAGCAAGAATTCCAGGAAAATTAAAAACTGCAATGATAGCTCTAATAGTCAGTTCTCCATAAAAGCTTATTGGATTCAGTTTTGCTGGCCCCTCTGCTTTGGGCTCTGGTGAAGACGGCCATTGGTGGTACATGTTATATGTATGCAGCTGGGAATGGAGATAAGCTTATGTCACTTTATAGGAAGTCAAACTAGACTCGCAATTCTTTCTAAGAGCGTACCTCCAATGATCCCGAATGACCCAACTTCCAAAGATTCCAGCACCCTTCTTATCAGCACCCAGTAAATAAAAAACTTTTTATACAGACCTTTGATGGGCACCCAAAGTCCAAACTATACAAAGAGAATAATTCTTATCTTAATGACTTGGCAAAGACAAGATTTACCTAGTTTCTATATCTTTGTTTTAGAAAGCAGACCAAAAAGCCCTTCTTTTTCCTATTATTAAAATGGTGTTAGTTTTTATCCCTTTTGCTAAGAAACTTAATCTCTTTTCCAAACTAAACCTTTCATGTCCCCCAAATTAAATATTGTAAGAAAAATAAAAGAAGCCTCATTACATGGAGCAAAGGGAGTGTGAAGTATAAGGGTACTGTCACCTTTTTTGGTAGGCAGACAAAAATATATAAATTTAATAAGGGGCCTAGAGTCTGTGATCATAACCTTAAACTTTACTTCTGTATTGAGTTTTATTTTAAGACAAGTTAGAAGCAATAAATATTGAATCAAAAATGTGCACTAAATGCTAACTGCATGGTGAACTTAATGTATAATTGTTGACATAACTATTCTACCTTTATAGAAAACTTTTATATTGTTTTTAATGAGGTAGGAATATTTGTCACCAATAAATATTGTAAAATAAGGAGGATTTAGGATCATATTGTGAAATAATGTAGTATTTTAGCTTTCCAAGTGTTTTAATCAATAGTTACCTTTAGATATTTTTAAACAGCTTTAAGAGTTTGAACAGATAACTTGTAATGACTGTAGGCACCAACAAAAGATAATGTAATTTTGATCTGGTGCTCAGGGAATGGAGTTTACAAGACACATGCTAATTTTTTAATGGTTGCTATGTACTCAATTTCTTGCAAACTGCTCAAGAAGTTTACCCCAAGGACTCATTTTTAATAAACTATGAATGAGGAAGTTACCTTGAGAGATTTTGAGTCCAAACCATATGTAGCTAAGCTCCTCATTTAGCTGAGTGAGACATCTGATCTTTGAAAATGCGATCAAGTTTCCCATTTCAGATTTATATATACAGTTTAGTAATAAACCTGTTATTTTAGCTAATGAGAATCTGATTTAATATCCTTATACTAAAAGCCCTCTCTGTCTTCCCTGGACTTGTTCCACATAAGCTGTTTCAAGGTAATGCTTTTTAGTAATGTGCAGGATTGGTTTCAAAGGTTGGCAGCTATGCCGTACAGCATGGCCTGATGTTAAGGAGTAACAGAACACTTGATGTCGTTGTAGATGTCCCCCTGACATATCAAGCCGAGGGAAGCCGGCAAGCTCTGAGAGTTTACTTCCACATTGACAGCTGTCATTTTGAGCAACTGCCTCAACGGTTGAAAAACGGAGGAGGGTTTAAAATTCATCCTGTTCTTTTTGCGCAAGGTACAAATCATTTTATCATTGTTTGCGAATTTAACTGTGATAGTCACATTTTGCTTTTCATTAACTTCAAAATCCCTCATAGTATTTAGGCAGTGTGTTTCCTTCTTATAAGATAGTGTCTTGTGTGATTTAAATCTTTATCTAATAAGAGTTCCAATTATGTGCACTGAAGGTATAAGATATCAGCAATGTAGTTAAATGAAGGTAAGTTAAATTTGGCTATACAAATTAAGTTGAAACTGTGGTAGAGACATTTATGCATGGTCAAGCTATTCTTTGATCTAGAAAATATCTGATGCTATATGTAAGCAGTTGATAAAAAAGCTTACATTTTACTTTCAACTTTATATGTATCTATATACTCATGTGTTGAATGTTTCAGATATATTGTTGAACTGATGCTTTTTGTTATTTTAATGTTTGTCAGTTTTTCTCAAGGATTTTGTATTCTCTCTCTTTTTTTCAAATAATAATGAGTGTTACCCATAGCAGAAAAAATTAAAATTAGCATGTAAGAAGATGCTTGCATGCAGTGTGTATCCAGGGCACAGTTCTGGTTCCTGGGTGCTTCTTGCTTCATAGCATGCTGCGTTGAAAAGATCTTAAATGGTCTCTTCTAGTCTAGAATACCTGCTGTGGTCACAGTGTTACCTTAGTTTTCCTGAATGATACTATAGAGAATTTTTCTTCTTTTTTTGAGTTTTTAAGAACAGCACTGACTTTGCTATAGGACATTAACGTTCTATGAAAAATCGAGAAATGCAAGAATTTAGGTTATCTGCATAACTAGAGGACAGATAAGCATATTGAAACCAAGTATATCACCAATTGACATTTTTGCTTTGTATCATGTATTATTGTTAAACCTTTGTATTTTAAAATACAGATGATTTTTTTCTTCAGTTGTTCTAGCTTTAAAACTAGATACTTAGGAAGAATCCTTTTACTAGAAGAAAATTTCAATAAGGAGAGGATGCTAAGACTAGACAGAAGGGTTTGTTTTTTTTCATTTCTCTTTGGAGGAATGTGATTTATAGGAAGGTCTATGTAGGTCATAAAGATTTTGTGATGAAAAGGAATAAAACAGAATGAGCAAAAGTAGATTGCTGAAAATATGTCAGGAGAATAGTTAAACCTACTGTCTGTTAAAGGCAGTTACTGGTAAAGGCAGTTTGATAATACAGAGAAGTATGTTTGTATGGGATGTTAATTTTTGTGGAGCTTAACTGGGGTTTACAGTTACAGAAGCCTCTTCATTTCCTTTCTTTACTTTCTGTCTTTGTAAGATTTTTGTCTTTGAAATCATGACTCAAATGACAGATGGCACTAATGATCTCCTTAAAAAATATTGCGTCTGTGACACATTGGCCATAAATGGCCGAGGCATCAGCTCCAACAGCCCATGTGCATTCAAAGAAGAGTATTTTGCAAGCAGCCTCTGCTTTATAATTCTAAATGTGTGTAGTTCAGTGAATATTATGCACTTCAAAATTTAATTTAGAGAAAGGTTATGGTATACTTTTGTGTTTAGCATTCTGGTGGCTAAAAAATGAAAAGCGATTTAAATAAGCTCCCGAGGGAATGCTTCTGCGGCAAGGTCACAGATAGGTAAAGCTGGCCAGGAACAGTTTGTTTCGCTAGGAATCTGTTTGGTGATAAGAATGTTTATTTAAAGGGGTGCAGAAGTTCCTCGGCCTTCATGATTCCCGGGAGGAATCTTCAGTAGCTCTTAGTATGCATCAGATTGGGAAAAACACAGGAAATTCAGACCTAGCTGGAGGAGATTGCCATCTGGCAATTGAAAGTGGTGCTAGATGAAAGAGACTTCAAATGGTGTCTAATCCTGATGAATGTTTTTCTGAAGAGTTTCAGGTTTTAATAAGATGTTTTAAATTCTCTTTTTAATTTTTTAAAAATTTTATGAGAGGAATGGACAGAGACAGAGAAACATTTCGGCTACTAATTCATTTCACATGCATTTGCAACAACCAGGCCTGGGCCACGCTGAAGCCAGGAGTCCTGAACAGGATTTGGGTCTTCCCCGTGATGACAAGCACCCAGCTACTGCCTCCCAGGGTGGATGTTAGCAGGAAGCTGAGATGTCAAGCCAATGACGAAACCCGGCCACTTCAATAAAGGATGCAAGTGCCCTAAGTAGTGTCTCAAACAGTGTTGCTTTTGGGGCTTGTTTTGTGGCATGGTAGGTTAAGCTGTCACCTATCATTGCCAGCATCCTGTATGAGTGCCCATTTATGTCCTGGCTGCTCTAGTTTTGATCTGACTTCCTGTTATTGGCCTGAAACAAGTAGTGGAACATGTCCCAAGTTCTTGGACCCTTCACAGACATCGTAGACTCAGATCAAGCTCCTTGCTCCTGGGTCCTTGCCTCTAGCTCCTGGCTTCTTATTTCAACTTGGTCCAATAATGACCCTTTTTATATTGTGACTAAGCAAATGGAAGAGCTCTTGTTGTCTCTCCTGGTCTCTGAATTTCTAACCTCCAAAAGAAACAGCTAAATGTTTTATTTTTACAAAAGAATTTTACTTCTTTGTGTTCTTTTATGAATAGTTTGTTTGCTAGCCAATTAAAATTAAAAATTTGAGATACATTTCAGAGTTTTTTGAAACGTCTTTTGAAGTTAGCTTCCTGAAGTTGAAGCAGACTTCAAGGCCAAATTTATCACTTTCTTCCAATTTTTCCTGGCTCCCAGATGCTAGGGGGGAGGGAAGGGAGAGTTCACAATAGTTGATGGCTCTCTTGCAGAGCTGGAACCATCCAAAGAGAGCATATTTAAAGAGATGTAATTGGCAAAGGCCAGAGCTACAGAACAGGAATCTGGGTAGATAAATCGATACTGTTTTCCAAGGTAAGGAATACAGAAACAGGATAGTTTCGCACAAAATGGGATCAAAAGGATAGAATATGACGATCACACTAACACAGTCCTGTAGCTAATCTTCCCTAAGTGATCTGTAGGTGTCCTAGAATCAGCACCATCGGGATCCTTGGTGCAGTAAAGAAACTCTAAGTAAAGTTTGGTGAAAATGGAACACAAGGAAGGTGAATATTTAGAGTCACTTTATCCTCTCACCACTGACTTTTTTCGTGTCTTTGTCAGCAGCCCTCAAAACTAGCTGCAAATTCATCAAAGGATTTTCAAATAATACTTAAGGACAAGGTCCCCACCAGGTCAACTAAGAATGAGTCTAAAGTGTGGGATCAGAATGCTAGGATATTCTAGAAGGTTTCCAGGTGATTGTGGAGTCTGTGGGAGAGAGAAACTACTGGTCTGTGTGGATTATAAAACACCATGCAATTATGCAGTTAATCTTTGCTTAATGAGAGTAATTCATTTCACAGATGCTCCATGTTTTCAGATTCTGGGATGATATTAATAGGACTAGGAACAATGCAGTGTATTTCTCCACTGGCTGTAACAATGTTAGGATATGAGCATTCTTTCCACGTGTCTTTTTTAAAAGATGTGTTTATTTACTTGAAAGGCAAAGAGAGAGAGAGTGCCTCAGTTAGAGTCCTGGTTCCATCTTGGTTTCCAGCCACCTGCTAATGTGCACCCAGGGAGGCAGCCAGTAATGGCTCAACTGATTGGGTTTCTGCTTGCATTGGGCTGCCAGCTCCTGGTGTTGGCACTGGCCATTGTGCGTACTCGGGGAGTGTACCAGAGGATGGGAGCTCTTTCCCTGTTTCTGCCTCTATCTGAAATAAAGAAGCAAATAAGTGAAGCTGTAGAGATGTCTGTCTATGCTCAGAGAAAAATAAATTACCCAGGAACATTCTGTTTCAGATAAAAGGGAGCACATTATTGTAAATACTATAATTTTCTGACATGACTCCATTCAAGTATTTTTCCACTCCAGATCTCTTCTTAAGAGTCTCTAAAAGACTAATCTTTTTTCTCTTTCTATATTTTACAATATTTTTCATTGTGACCGTAGTATTTTTAAAGAGGAAAGAACAGTCTCCAGGGTGGAGATGTCCCTGTGTCAAGAGTCTGTATGAGTTTAGGGGTGAACCTTCTCCTTTCTGATAATGGAGTGGTCAAAACTTATTTTCGTTTCGATAACTGTAGCTAACTCTGCGGCATTCTGACTGACTGTGAACATTGATGGAGAATTCCTACAATACCTATGCTGGGTCTTACCCATTGTGCTATTAAAAGAGAGTGCTAGTTGAATGACATGACTCTTAAAATTATTCCTAAGAGATTCTATGGTTTTTGAATTAAACCCTGTCACAGAAGAGCCTCAAAATGTTTCTGAATGAAAATGGGGCTCCCTTTCAGTCTTAGAATACTTTAATACTTCATTTTCTTTAATGTTTATTAGATTTCCCCCTCTTTTTACTGTCTTATCTTAAATGTTTTTCTGTAATTCAAATGTAATAAAAGTAAAAAAAAAACAGTTCAGTTTGTATTTTAAGTACTTCTAAAAGCTGGTAAGTAACAAACATTTCAGTCAAACAGGTCAATGCTGCTTTGCAGAACTTATTATCCTATGCAGGAGAACAAGGAATGCTAGACAAGATGAGGCAAAGAGAGACCCAGCCTTGAAGTAATTAATATAACATTGTGTATGTAAGCTACTTTTGCTGAAGGAACTTTGGTGTTGCAGTGTTTTCTCATTTCTTATAACAGCAAATAAACATACATAGGGAAAACTGTCTTTTTGCTCTTCCTGGCCATACAGTTTAGCTTTTAAGTAAATGTCTCATTGCTTCTTACTATTCATTTCTCACAGTGCTTTACATATGCCACGTTCTTCTGAGTTTTTTGTTTTGCTTTGTTTTGTTTTGTTTTTTAAAGAGGCAGAGTGTCAGGAGGTTGGAGTGAGAGTGGGAGTGAGAGCAGCAGAGAGAGAAAGCATCGTTCAACCTCTGGTTCTCTCCTCAAATGCTCACAGTGGCCAGGGTTGGGCCAGTGCAAAGCCAGAAATCTGAAGCTCTGTCTGTGCCCCAAGTGAGTGGCAGGACCCAACTAAGTAACCACAATCTTCTGGCTCTTGGGTGTATTTCCAGGGAATTGGATCAAAAGCAGAGCAGCCAGGACTTGAGCCAACACTCATTTGGGAGGCTGGTGTCCCAGGTGGCAGTCTAACCCACTGCACCACAACATGAGCCCCTGTCACACACCCCTTGGACACACACACACACACACACACAGTCCATAGCATCAGAAATGCTGATGATGCTGTTTGGATTCCCAGCTGTTCCACTTCCAATCAAGTTCCTTAATGTATCTGTTTTAGCCATGAAAGATGGCTTGGGTCCCGAGAACTGCCTGGGAGACCTGCATGAAACTCTTGGCTGCTGGCAGTGGCTTTCTTGAGTCTGGCTGTTGTGATTTGGGGCAGTGAACCAGCAGGTAGAAGATTTCTGTCTCTAACTCTGCTGCTCCCTCTGTGTAAAGCTGCCTATCAAATAAATAGACAGATAAATCTTAAAATTTAATAAAAACAGTCATTTAAGAAGGTGTGGAAATATCCATTAAAGTTATATTAAATTACATTATATAATTGTTCTTATATTGTAACCACCTTTTAGAATAGGACTGATCATACTGGCCATAGATCTTTATAAACATTAGCTTCCATGTCCTGGTGCATGTAGGCACACATGCACGTGTACACACACACACACACACACACGCCATGCTGCTCCTTCCCATTGTTTACCCATCTTGCTGACTGAAAATCCACTTCACAAACTGAAGTGAGCTTGCATGAATCCTTTCAGCTCCCCACACTTTCAGATTGGCTAAACATACTGGTATGGAATCTAGCTCACAGAATCTGAAATAGGTAACTCCTGAAGAGTATTTGGCATGTAGCATAGTACATGAAAGGTATTAAAAAAAAGACTTATTTATTCAAAGTCAGAGTAGGAGAGACAGAGAGAGAAAGAGGGGTTTTCCAGTTGCAGGTTCACTTCCCAAACGGCTACAATTGCTGGGGCTGGGCTGGGCTGAAGCCAGTTGCCTACAGTTCCATCCAGGTCTTCCATGTGGTTGCAGTTTTCCAGGTACATTAGCATGGAGCTAAATGAGAAGTAAAGCTGCTGGCATTCAAATGGCACTCCAATGGAATGCCAGAGTCACTGGCAGCAGATGAACCCTTATGCCACAGCACTGGCTTCAGCTTTCTCAGTAACTGTGTAACTGGTAGAACTGTTGCTTTTCATGAAGAACCTGGTGATCTCAGATATTTATTAATTGGTTTACTAATGAACAGAAACTACCGTTTTATTCTGATTTAAGGGCTTTCCTCATTAACTTTCTAACTAGTAAAAGTGACTAGAGTTGGGTGTAACTGTTGATAGACTGAGTCCTCTTGAAATATTTTCTTCTGAGGGACAACAGCTTGTTTAAGGAAGTGAGTATGACATGTATCTGAGGGTAGTTTATCTAGCAGAAATCCTTTTATTTCCTGTGTTTATTTACAACCAGAAGTTTGTTAAGCTAGTTCCCAGCTATTATAATTAATGCTTGCTGGAGTCATAAGGAGTAAATAAAGAAATCCTTGAAACAAACCCAAAGATGATTTGATTTCCTGTACTAAAATAGATGCCGTAGGCTTCTATTCAGATCTCCCAAATTGATTTTCTCAATTACTAACAAAAAATATCACTTGAATAACTGTAATTTTGCAATACTTCTCCAAAGTTTTATTATTTGCTCAGTGCTTACTTCCTATGTTTGCCTCCAAAATGATAAAAGCTTCATCAGTTTGAGAAAACTTTAACAGCTCTTGCATGTAAGAGTTGTGAAGCGAAATTAGTAGTAGCAGTTTTGAAATGATCTGCAGGAACCTAAGGTCTGTTAGTAGTAACCCATTTGGAGGGACAACGATTTCCATGCATGGATAGAGCGTTACTATTCCCGAGGCGAGCAGTCTTTCCACAGGAAACGTTTCATTTTTGGACCCTTTTGTGTGATTTATTTCCTTTCCTAAGATTTGTAAATACAGCCTCATAGAGGTTAATGCAAAAAGAAACCGTCAGAAGTTCAGTAACAAAGAAAATCTGTACCAATCAAAAACATTGAAAATTAGTGAGATGTCATGTATGTGTTTATTTTTAATTCAAGTAGAGGTCTAAGATCTCATTCTATCTATGCTTTATGCTTATGATGTGAATATTTCTTATCTGAAGGGAATGCAAAGAACCATGCAGCTGGTAAGGGTAAAACGAATAGGGAATTACTGGTGTACTAGTGTACTGCAACTGCCTCCTTGATGTCAGTGTGTGACACCCACCGACCTTCCCAGGATGCAGCTGTGTCTTCCAGAACCAGTAAAGTGACACATGATGTTCATTTGGACAAGCAGGAGAATCTCAGAAATCTTCATTCGAAGGACCAAACCCCATTTGTTTATTCAATTAAGGCATCACAACTGGCTACATGAGAGATGCTGATAATGAAAGAGAGCCTTTTTAAACTTTTTATTATTTATTGTTTTTATCCTTGACCATATTTAGGGATCCTGTCTGGCGTCCCTGGCGTCTGTGCTAACAGACAGTAGTCTGACACTCATGGTAGGTAGCTCTCCATGTGAGGTGGTCCACATGCCCATGGGAATGTCGATTCAAGCTGTTTTACACTAAATGGATTCCTCTGCTTGGAATTCTTACCGGTGTGACAGTAAGAGCCTCAAACAAAGATTGAGACACTTAGGCCCCAGCATAAATAAGTGGAGGTGACAGTTTCTTTTTCTTTTGCCATTTCTTAATGTAGTTCTGCTGGTCACACACATATGCATAATATTATGTGTATATGTGTGTGCAATGAATATGTAAGAAATTCATGTGAAATATGTATTGTGAAAAATATGTGCATGGATTTCAAAGATACTTTATGCCAAAACTTTTAATTCTGCTTTCCCACATTTTTTAAGCACCCAAGTGCGTAAGTAATATACCTGAAGTTTGAGTTTATCTCACAGGAACATTTCTGAGGAGGAAACTAATTTCCTTGGTACTGTTCATAACGTGCACTTGGGGTGGATCACTGTGACCAAAGACAGATTAAAAACAAAAAAGTTAAGTTTAATAACACATATACATGGAGATGCCCTAGAAAAAAGAGAAGCAATTTTCAAGAGTTAGCTTTGCAGGTAGGCTTAAATTCAGTAGATCTGTGTATTTTCTTCCTGCAGTTTTAGCTACCTGAAATCATCTATAGTGTAAAAATATTGAATGGTAAATTACAGAAATTTTTAAAAATGTAAGTTGGTGTGTGTGTGTGTGTGTGTGTGTAATTTGTTTTGTTTCTTTCAGTTTACTAAATACATAAAGAGAAAGAGGCAGGCAAATGGAGGGCTCTCACCTACTGGTACGTTCTTCAGGTGCCTGCAGTGGTCAGAGCCAGGAGCTGAGGATCTAAGCCAAGTTTTCTAGGTGTCTGGCAGGAACCCAGCCACTTAAGCCATCACTGTGACTTCCCAGGGTCTTTATTAGAACAAAGTTGAAATCACAAGCCAGAGCTGGGAATTGATTCCAAATATGCGACAAGGACATCTTAACTGATTAACCAAACACCTCCCTCAATTCCTAAGTTTTAAAGTGTGTGCTACTCTACCATGATAAAATCTTGCCCTGTTCTACTCCATCCTGTGGAGGACATGAATCATCTTTTTTCTCCGGGGTATCCACACTCTTTATGCTGCCTGCCCATTGTCAATTATTTGTTTTTCGTTTTAAGATCATTGATTGTGGTGATACAATAGTTCTTATGTCCAAGTAGACCTTGTTTTACTAAGTAATGACTCAGAAGTGCAAGAGTAGTGGTGTGGTCAATTCAGATATGACAAAGGGAAACTATAATAAATAAACAAAGAAGTGAATTTTTGAAAGCAGTGAAAAACTGAAAGTCCTGGACCTAATATGATGTCAATAACAAATCTACCTCTAAAACTGTAAAGAAGGAAAAAGAAATGTCCTGTTAGTTTTACTATCACACCTACGATTGCAAAGTCATAGCTATGTGCATAAACTCTTAGTTAAGATGGAAAAGATGTCTTAGATTTGTGTTGGTGTGTATAGATACGTACAGCATCAAGATTTTGGTGCTATCTGCAGTTGCTGTGGTATGCTGCAGATACTGGAAGGTGTTCCCTCTGGGACTGGGAAGTGAGTGTCTCTGACTTTTATCCATTGAAAGAAAGTCTTGGGTAGGCCCAGTTGTGAAAAGGTGCCAGGAAATGCACAAATTAAACAAGTATAAGGTCTGTTATGCAGATCTAAGCTGAGGTTTCCTCTGAGTCTGTAGTGATTAAGTTACCCTTCTTTTATCAGTAAACACAGGGAGACATCCCTGTAAAGCGATATTTTAGTTACAGGTATACATCTTCCCATCCAGACAGTAACTTCTTTGTTTTCAGGATTTCTCCTATGTCTGCAGTTTCTCAAAATATTCCTCATGCCACAGAGGCACATTTTTGGGTAACATATTCTGATCTCCTACAGATATATTTTGGGGTGGAATATTTTGGTTTTCTCCACTGCATGCAAATGTTGTAGAAATAGAGAATCATTTAAGCTAGAAATTTCCTTTGCCTACTTAAGAGAAAATCACCAAATGCTTGATGTTTATTTTGAGAGCAGAAGAACAGTTTTCATTCATTTTTGGACTAGTTAAACATAATTTCTTGCACATATGTGCATGCTTGGTTCTATTTTTCACAATTAGTAACAATCAAGGAAATTAGATCAACTGCGGAGAACTTAAGTCATGAAATTGCATGTAACGTGTATTTACTTCTCTTCACAGCACTGGAGAGCATGGAAGGCTATTATTACAGGGATAATGTTTCGGTGGAAGAATTCCAAGCCCAGATAAATGCAGCCTCATTGGAGAAAGTGAGACAGTACAACCAAAAGCTCAGGTGTGTAACAGACCAGGTTGAATCTATTTATTGAAATATTTGACAGGAATGAACGAATAAAATTTTTGATATTCTTCACTGTAGTAGATTATGAATGATGATAACTATTGTACTAAAAACTTTGATCTGGCACAGATTATTTCAAGTATCCTAGTAGCTGTACTTTTTATGTTTCTCCCCCGTTTACTTATTTATTTCATTTTTTCAAGAGTTACAAACTTTTTTGCTTTATATTTTTTAAAAAATTAAAAAATTATCTATTTGATGATAAAGTTTCATAGACAATGATTTCTCCTATATTATTACAGTGGTATATTCCTTCAAAAACACTCATAAGTTCATCATTCTGTTCTTGAAATGTGTGCTAACATTGTAGGAGTAGGCAAGGCAGAAAGTTCATCCTATTTCAAGATATATTTAAGTTTTATTGTCTGTACTTATTAAAAATAAAATCATTAATATAAAATATTTTGGATATTTTACAATAATATTTTGATTTCTGAAATAGGTAAAGGTAGGTGATTAAAATATATGGTAAATGATTTCCAGGAAAAGTAAATTATTGACATGTATTATGGTGTTGCCCCTGAGGGGTTCATTAGAGTAAGGGTAACACAGGTTCTTTTTTTTAAATGAGTCTTTTTTTTTTTATTTTATGGTACAATTAAGTAGGGTCTGAAATTCTACCACTAAATTCCCTCCCCTCAACTGATTTTCCCCATATTGTTACAATAGTACAGTCCTTCATAATAAATTATAATTCAGTTTGTTATTTGAGTGTGCCCCCAACATTGTTGTTACAGATAATGTCAGACATTCCAGCATTCCAGTGTCTAGACATTTCCAGCAGTTTCAATGGGAGTCCATCTTTGATTTGGAAGTAGTCATGCATATTGAATTGTATCTTCACATCTGGATATAGTAGTGCCTATTACTTCACCACCATACATTCTCTTAAGTGAGAAGCCACAAAATACAGTCAACAATAGATATAAAGCTAAAACAAATACAAAAAGAAAAATTAAAAAAATACATCTCCGTAGAGTCGAGAAAATGTGCCACTGATTGACCAACACATGGGTGACAAAAAGAAAACATAAAAGCCTAATTTGTATGATGGTTTCCTTTTATTAGAGAGAATAAATGATATTTGTACTTTTGGATTTGACTTATTTCACTGAGGATGATGGTCTCTAGTTGGGACCATCTAGTTATAAGTGGTATGATTTCATTCTTTTTAATGGCTGAATAATATGACATGGAGTCGATGTACCATAGTTTCTTTAAGCACTGCTCTTTGGACAGAGTTGTTTCCATGTCTTTGCTATTATAGATTGGGCTGCTATAAATATAGGACTACAAATATTTTTCTCATATGCAATTTTTATTTCCTTTGATTATAGTCCTAGAAGTGGAAATCCTGGATCATATGGCAAGTTTATTTGCATTTCACTAAGTACTCTCCATACTGATTTCCATAGTGGTTGTACTATCCTGCACTCCCACCAGCAGTGAAGGAGGGTACCTTTCTGCCCACATCCATGCCAGCATGTGTTGTTAGTAGAGTTCTGTATTGGAGTTAGGTGATACCTCAATGCAGTTTTCATTTGTATCTCCCTGGGGGCTAGTGAGGCTGAGCATCTTTTCATATATCTGTTAGCCATTTGGATCTTTTCTTTTGAAAACTGTTCATTTCCTTTGCCCATTTTTTTTTCACAGGGTTGTTTTTATGACTGTCCCTGGGTTTCTGAAGCTCTTTGTAAATCCTGGATATTAGTCTCCTATCACTTGCATAGTATACAAAAATTTTCTCCCATTCTGTTGGTTGCTTGTTCACTTTGTTAATTCTTTGCTTTACTGTCCAAAAGCTTTTTCATTTGTTTATTTGTTTATTTTGTCTTTGACTACCTGTGCTTTTGGGGTCTTTTCTAAGAAATCTTTCCCTGTTCCTATTTCTGGGAGAGTGCTTCCTATATTTTATTTCAATAGTTTTATGGTTTCTGGGTATAGATTTTGGTCCTTGAATCATTTAGAGCTGGTGTTTGTATAATGTACCAGATGTGGATCTTGCTTCTTAATTCTGCAAGCTGCTGTCCAGTTGTTCCAACAGCATTTGTTGAATAGACTAGATTTTTTTCCCCTGGATTGTTTTTCATTTTCTTGTGAAAGATTAGTTGGCTGTACATGTGTGGGCTCCCTTCTGATGTTTCTATTCTATTCATTGATCTCTGTTTCTGTACCAGTACCAGACTGTTTTGATGACCACTGCTCTGTAGTATGTCTTGAGGTCTGAAATTGTGATTCCCCCAGCTCGATTTTTATTCTTCAGCATAGCTTTGGCTATTCATGGTCTCTTGTGTTTCCAGATGAACTTTTATATCTTCATTACTATTTCTGGGAAGAATGTTGCAGAGATTTTAATTGGGATTGCATTAAATCTGTATATTGCTTTTGGTAATATGGATATTTTGATGATGTTGATCCTGCCAATCCAGGAGCATGACAAGGTTCTCCATTTTTAATGTCTTCTTCTTTTTCCTTTTTAATTGTTTTGTAGTTTTCATCATAGAGCTCTTCCACATATTTAGTTAGCTTAATTCCTAGGTATTTAAGATTCCTCTCTGTTATTTTAAAGAGGACTGTACTTACAATTTCGTTCTCAGCCATGGAATCATTTGTATACACTAGTGCCATTGATTTGTGGGCAACACAGGTCCTTAATATACCAACTCACAGCTGTGGCCCTCGTGCAAAGACATGCTCAGTGTGTAAGATGTGAGAAGCTATGTGCTGGGTGTGTAAAAATAAGTACTTGTGAATACATATGTCACTATTTGCATTTTAGTGTTTTTCCCTTAAAAAGTCTGTTACTGGTAAATAGAAGGGAAATTTAACCATAATAAATGAAATGTTATAATTTAGAAACTGATGTTTTTAAGATTCATATATTTCACTTGAAAGAGTTAGAGAGAGAGGAAGCAACAGAAAGAGAGAATCAATCTTCCATCTGTTGGTTCACGTTCCAAGTGGTTTCAGTGGCCCAAGCCGAGACAAGTCAAGCCCAGCATCCAGGGGACCATCTGGGTGTCCCATGTGGGTGTTAGGGGCTTACACATTATCGTCACATACTTTTATAGTGTTGTATTTTGGACCATCTTCTGCTACTTCTCCTAGTCCATTATCAGGGAGTTGGATTGGAGATAAAGATGCATAGTTATGAACTGGTGTCCACATGGGATGCTGGAGTCACAGGCAGCAGCTTTACCCATTACATCATAATATGGGCCCTGAAGTCTTAATTTTAAATATATTATTATCATGTGCCTTTCTTCTGTAAATTTTCTTGTTGTCAGGTCACTTTAAAGCCTGCTTGACAGATTAGAGTTTTGAGTTTTAAAATGTTTTTGTTCTAACTTTAGTCTTCAAAACTCATAGGTATTATTGTGGCATTGCTTACTGTTTCATAGTCAGTATGTGGAGATCCATCCATTTCTAAAATACCCAACAGGGGGCAGTATTGTCACCAGTATTTCAAGTCAATTGACTGGCTATTTTTTTTCTAGTAGGCATGCTTTTTTCTACCCTGCCTCCCACACGCTTTCTTCCCCAGGATTCTTTGCTTTATCTGTTGCTTTATAACTTAAAGCCCTCTTCTTTAAACCCCAAGATATTTTTTTAATGATTCATTTTTTTCTCTTCCAGCTAAAATGCTGTTGGAGCTCCCGATTTTTCTGACACAACTGTCAATTAGACTGCCCCAATTTTATTACCCTTTCTAAATTACTATTTCTCAAAGACATATAACATATTGACTCATGTTACAGGAAAAGTATTGTTGAAAAATCTTGAATTCTTATGTATATCTCCTAAGAAATTCTGACTTTAAGAAGCTTGCGTTTAGTCTCATGAAAATTCTTTCTATTGATAACCATGGTACTATGAAAGACAGGCTGCAGGTTTAGAACTGATGACATTTTATCCCTGGATTATGTTTGAGATGTAGCTGCAACATTAAAGCATTGGGGAAGAATACATGGCCCTGAGTCAACAGGCTAGACCTCTGTTTGATAGCGCTGTACTCCATTGCCTCAAACCAAGGCTGTGGTGACCACTTCAGGATTTGCTTCCTGATGATGGTTTAGACCATGTGCCTCACCACGTTGCTTTTCTGTTCTGAGGACTTTAGTGACTTCTTACTGCTCTCAAAAAGGTATCAAAGTAACCCCATTGTGATAGTTACGATTTTTCTTGACTTGATGCAAGATGTCTTTTCTCTACCAATATATCATTTACACTATTTTCTGTTTCTAAGCATGTACTTTCCTGCCCTGTTTCATGCCTTAGTACCCATCATGTTTCAGCTCTTGGTAAAACTTCTCTTCTTGCAATGCAATATATGCCTCTAGTGTGGCCTCCTTAATAAAATAAATTTTCTGAATTGGAGTCCGGGTGATGCTTCATCTAGGTTTTCTAGAAGCACCTTTGGATTGTCAGGTGCAACCAGAATTTAAGAACAGACTTCACATAGAGGTAATTCTCACAGATTGAATCTTGTCTATCAACATCAGTGTCCTGGGTGAATTGGCTGAAACTCTTGGCTTTCCTGGTGATTTTTGTAAGATTTATTTTTTATTTTTATTGGAAGGGCAGATATACAAAGAGAAGGAGAGACTGAAAGAAAGTTCTTCCATCTGCTGGTTCACTCCCCAGTTGGCCACAATGTCCAGAGTTAAGCCTATCTGAAACCAGGAGCCAGGAGCTTCTTCCATGTCTCCCACAGAGGTGTAGGATCCCAAGGCTTTGGGACATTCTCTACTGCTTTTCCAGGAGACAAGCAGGGAGCCAGATAGGAAGTAGTTCAGCTGGGACAGGAACTGACCCCCCATATGGGATCCTTGTGCATGCAAAGTGAGGATTTAGCCATGAAGCTATTGTGCCTGGCCCTTCCTGCTGATTCTTAAGCAGAGATTTCCAAACCAGTGTTGCTTGGCTAAATGACT